TCCTTGCGGGCATCCTTCATGGCACGGTTAAGCTGTGGGCGAGCTGGATGGTCAAAGGGAAGAGTTCAGGGGTCTCGTCGGTGGCGTATCCGAACATGATACCTTGGTCACCGGCACCCAACTTCTCCAAAGCCTCGTCGTAGTGAAGACCCTGAGCAATGTCAGGAGACTGCTGCTCGATGGCAACAAGGACGTTGCAGGTCTTGTAGTCGAACCCCTTGGCAGAGTCATCATAGCCGATATCCTTGATGGCATCTCGGATGATTTTCTGGTAGTCAAGACGGGCCTTGGTGGTGATCTCACCGAAGACCATGATCATACCTAGATTTGAGAATCAGAATACTGTACACTAATCTATTACGGTGCGGAATCGTATATAGAACTTACCAGTCTTGGTGGCAGTCTCACAAGCAACCTATATTTCATTAAGTGTTAGTTGACTGCAGACAATTCTCCCCCCCCTTACAGGGGTGCTCAAGGAGGGGGTGATGGCCACCTTGGAGAGAGGGTCCTCAGCGAGACAGGCATCGAGAACGGCATCAGAAACCTGATCGCTATATTCAATTGTCAGCTATGCCATCCGAACCGTCGTCTGGAGATGCGTTGCACCTACGCAATCTTGTCTGGATGGCCCTCGCCGACGGACTCAGAGGTGAAGAGGAAGTTGCCCTGGTGGGTTCCGTTTGCTAAGCTGCCCATCGTGACGGTTGTAGATATAGACCTAACGACTCAGAGGAATAACCAGCACTCGGACTGATGGATATAATGTCAAAGGAGTCGTTTTTTGGGGGGAGGGGGAAGAAAGAGAAGAAACTGCTTGGATGGGGCTGAGAGGTTGTTGAAGCTGGAAAGGGGGAAAAGACTGAAGTTTAAGTAATTCGGCGGTCTGGCGGGGCAGAAAAGAAAAAAAAATCCGGAAGGAAAAAAAAAGAGACTGACCGAAAAGGGAAGGCGGTGGCAGATGGCAGAAAAAAAAAAGGCTCCGAGTTGGCAGAAAAAGGAAAAAGCCCAAAAGGGGAAAGGCGGTATCTTTTGCTCTGTATACACACCAAACCATCTCTCCATGGCGATGAATAGATAGACAGACATGGATATATAGGAGGGAGTAAAAGGGATGTGCCACGATATGACCGTGTGAATGGAACAAGTTCAAGGCGCAGGGAGCAATCACCGAACGGCTAGCATACAACATAACTAATTACCAAAAATTTATTACCCCAACACGCCGCAACGCCGCAACGCCGCAAATCACAACCAGTTGAAAGGGGGAAAGCAAAAACTGCCCGAACCATCCTAGTATTAGAAGGGATACGCGGACCAATATGTCGAAGTTCGGGGTTCTGGTTATGGGCCCGGCCGGCGCGGGGAAGACCACCTTCTGCACAGCTCTCATCCAACACCTCCAGAACACCCGGCGCAGCTGTTTCTATGTTAACCTTGATCCTGCTGCCGAGACCTTTTCCTACGAGCCAGACCTGGACATCCGTGAGCTGATAACGCTCGAAGATGTGATGGAGGAGATGGGCCTGGGCCCCAATGGCGGCCTGATGTATTGTTTCGAGTTCCTTCTGCAGAATCTTGACTTCCTCCACGACGCTCTCGACCCGCTGAGCGAAGAGTACCTGATCATCATCGACATGCCTGGCCAGATAGAACTATATACCCATGTCCCGCTTCTGCCATCACTAGTTCAATATCTTTCTCGGTCTGGCGCACTCAACATCTCCCTCTGCGCCGCCTACCTTTTAGAAAGCTCCTTCGTCGTCGACCGGCCCAAGTTTTTTGCCGGTACATTAAGCGCTATGTCTGCCATGATCATGCTGGAGATACCACACGTGAATATTCTCAGCAAGATGGACCAGATAAAAGGCGTTATTGGTAAAAAAGAGCTCAAGCAGTTCACCTCCGTGGACGTCAACTTGATAGAGCCCGGCAATGTGGAGGTCTCGTCTGGCAGAGACCCGTCATCGACCAGCGAGGTCCTGACAGGCAGCTCGTTCAACCGTCTGAATAAAGCTGTAGCTCAGCTAATTGATGATTTTAGCATGGTATCATTCCTCAAGCTCGACGCACAGGACGAAGACAGCATCTCTGCCGTGCTAAGCTACATCGACGACGCGATACAGTACCATGAGGCGCAGGAGCCTAGAGAACCAGCTGCGGAGCCAGAGGCAGACGACATGGAGTGAACGCCACCCTACCTGACATATACCTTGTTGACCCCAAACAAAACATATTCCTGGGTTGATGATCTACCCATGCCAGCCAAGGCTAGTGCCGCGCTATAATTATTTCGCAAACCCACGAGAAGATGATGCAAGTGCTTGTGGCGATGGCACAAGAGGCTGGCCACACAAAAGAGATAGCGCCAAATAAGAGTGCGGTTGGCCATTGATATCCGTAAAGGAGATGAGTGGGCTGCTGACCACTCCACAGGCCTGGGATCGTTCTATAAACGCCACCCCAAGAGGCCATAAATATTAAAACCATTAAAAAGTAGTTATACAAACACCAAGAATAATAAGAATGAAAATAAGCTCCAAACCCGTCAACACAGGCATTCCAGCATCAATTCGCGAAATGTAAATTCACCTCCACGGCCTTCTCTGCGAGCTCCTCCATTGATCTTGTGATCTCCACCCACCCGCTGTCCCAGAACTCCCACCAGCCGACGAATTATTCGCTATCATCTGCTGTATAAACCCTTCCAGCAGTCCCAACGCCCACGCAGCATCATACCATACCTTTTCCCACCCAACATTATACGTATACCAAGCGACCCCCAGAACTATACCCCAAAACACCAACCGGAACACCAACATAACCCAAAACATAATGACCCGCCGCGCATAGTCCAGGATCTTGAGTGAAATGATAAAAATGAGAAGCAGAGCAAGTATTGAGAAGAGGTCGGGTGGGGAGTTGAGAAGCGCGTTTATCGGCGTGATAATATACGGTTCGATATATGTAAGTTGCGCAGATTGCCAGTGATCCCGGGCGAGTTGTGTGTATGTGAAAATATTCTGGAGTATAGGAGGCGGGATGAAGCGTTGTAGTTGGTTGACGGCTGGGAGGATGTATTCTAAGGACTCTTATTAGCTATCCATGATATATATACAAAGGCTTCAGTTGTATGACTTCTAAGAGGCGAGTTACCTTCAAAAGCAGCCATGGTAAGATATAGCCACGCAGCCTCAGCTGTTGTCTTGTGTGCTGGCTATTGGTATATGAAACTGCCTCCTTGATCAAAATCCCCAACGATGCGATGCCAGCTATACTCTATGTTGAGCTACTTTATTCTCTTCTGTTGACTTCATCCTCAAGGGCTTTTATTTGTCATGTGATTATTATGTGCTTAGTAAGTTAACTGGCTTTGTAAGAGACGCTGTATAAAAGTTAAATAATTATAAGGTAGATATTAATACAGTGGTGAATGGAAAAAGAGATGACATAGGAGAAAAAAATACCAAGAGAAGGGCAAATCAGGAAGGTAACATAGGAAAAGGTCAAGTTAGACAAGTCAGAAGAAAAGGTAAGCTAGGGGAGAAGGGCTGGCTGCAGGCGTTCAACACCAGCAATATTAGGCCCCATTCTCCTCCTCTTTGGTGAGCCCAGGCCACTTGTTGAGTACCTGCAAGTCCACGATAAGGGTCCCGATCTCCTCCTCTCCGTCCAAAATTTTCATATCACCGTTTTTAACAAGAGTGGTAGTGAAGCCACCACCTCCCTGGGACCTAAGCCTAGAGCAGTTTAACTCTTCTGTGCATCCGGGGCCTTTGGTTCCAAATTTCTCAAATGCTGGCCTGCACAGTTCGTTGTAGGCTACCTCAGGGTTTTCGGCATCTTTTATCAAGTCCTTGCCACGGTCTGTTAGCTTTAGCGTGGTCTTGAGTGCAAGAGCGTCTGGGTTGTTGTATTTGAGCTTTGGCCTGGCATAGCCAGCATCACTGTACTTGAATGTGGTATCGCCCAAGACCTCGTAGTTTTCACCCTCGCCTTTGTCTATCACAGCCCCTCTCATTTTGTCGCAGAAACCATCGGTCTTTGCACGGAACGGCGCTGCTTCCTGGAAGACGGACGGGAAATCTTTACGTTGCAACTTGATGCAGGTAGACTTGAAGTCGAAGGATTTGCCGCGGGCCACCAAGTCGCCGGTGCCTTGGCCCTTTGAGTGAGTAGCACCAAGACAGTTTTTGGTAACATGAGGATCGATGAAGTCGACATCGGGAAACAAGGGATATTCCTTCTTCATACACTCGGTAAACTCAGGGCTCTGCTTTTCGGCTAAGACGTTGCTGAAGGTCCCAACGTCGACGGAAGACCCGGCCATTCCTGTACCAACTGGCGTGGCGTACACTGAAGTGGCCAGGAAAGAAAGGAGAAAGGCCGCGGTTGCAGGGGCCATGATGGCAGAGGTAAATTGAACCATGTTGTCAGTGTAATGCTTTTTGAAGCGTCAAGCTTAGGGTATGGTAAAGATGGAAGGGATTGGGTTGATCGAATTGGAGAGTGATCTGTGTGTTTGATTCTTTGAATAGTAGGTGAACTTCAGGGTGGCAGAGGGGTTTATATAGACAGTCTTCTCAGTGCTGCTCATTGTAAATATGGAGGGTCTTAAAGTACAATATCATAACTATACAGTTATCTATCGTTGTAATGCATTGCGTCTTATGCGCTAACAGTGAGTCGCTAATAGTCGGAAACTCGTCTCTTGAGTAAGCCATTGGCATCGACGATGTCTAAGCTCCGTCAAATAACAAGCAGCGATTGACTGTCTTGCTGTGGAATGATTATCCAGGGTATCACTGACTGCATGCATCTCATAAAGTGCTGTGGCGGCGGTTTCACCTGCTTGCTTGATGAAGTAACGAGCTTGCATTCTGTATTCAGTGCATGTTACCCCAATTTGTCTACTTTGTGTACTATTTAAGTAGTCCCGTCTCATCATAGTATGTTGGATGAATAATAATCCGATATATAAGCGCAGGTCTTGTTTGAAAATGATCCATCGTAAGGGTACAGAGTCCTCGAAAAGAGCGTGGAGCAAATATGGAGTATCCAATGCTGTGTTCTTTGACAGATGAAACTTAAGAGTACCACTTCATGTCTTAAGGTGGCTTGAATTAGCCGCTATCGAAGGCAGCCCCCTTGAAGAGCTTTGGTGGTTTCGAAGAGTATTTCCGCCTTTAGCAACAGGCCATCCAACATGGGCTTCACAATCGCTTCGAATGTCTAGTGCGGTCAACTTATCCACCATACAACCATTTTGAGGAGTTGGAAGGACCTTGTGTTCTTAAGCGATGCTAATTTCTAAGACACAGTCAATTTAACTTGAGAATTCTCAGCACATTGTAATGGCCAACTCCAGGGGTTAGGACCACCCCGACAAAAACAGATTATACATAGTGATGGCGAATGCGATCACAGGCCACTGCACTCTTATGGCTGATAGTTATGCCTTATGGGATGCCCGTGGGACTGCTTGCAGGCTGCCCGTTTGCATGGAAAAGTCACCAGTCCACCATGCACATGGTGGGAGGCCTGCTGCGCTGTTACATTACACATATATTTTTCCAGAGCCCACCCCTCGAAAAGTATATTCTATTCAACTGCAGGTAGATTGTAATATCAAGGATGTCCGAAGAAAACACTTGAAATTACTGGGAAGGATATAAATGTGCTCCGCTCAGCAGCGAGCTGCAAGCAATATAATCAATGAATATCTGGCTCTGTAAGGAGCACCATAATCACCATCACAGTACCCGCTAGTTATTTTCAGTTTTTGTAGAAACGTTGACGCGTTTGTGCTATAGAAATGATAATTTAGTTTCAAAAATTCGCTAATAAGGGGGCTAAGGGATTATAAGATAACTTACTGATAGAAGAAGAGAACAGACTAGACTGACTGCGGCACTAGCATATACACAGATGAAACTATACCAATGTTAGTACAAAGCACCTTTCCCATACATGATTATAAGAATAGGAAATTAGAACTTACATTTTCTGCCAAGCTGAGACAATGAGAGTCAAAGCCTCCGTGCGCAACTCTGGTGACAGCATTTTCAAAGAATCACTACTTGTGCCAGAGAGAATTTGTTGAATATCTTCTAGAGGCAAGTTAGGGAAGAGGTCTACTAAGCCCCCTTTGGCAATATTAACAAAGAGAGCACCGCTAATAGATAAACCTAGAGTCATGCCCCCAAGTTGTGCTATAACGAAATGTTAATATCATATGCCAAAATATTATGCAAAATGTTTACTACTTACCAATTAACATAAGAGTAAGGCAATTCGATGCATCTGCTGGGTCAACAACTGCTTGAATAACAGCAAAAGATGCCTGTGTATATACACCAGCTCCAATACCTAAAATGGCTTCTAAGCCATAAATTACCCCTGGCGAGGTATTGATATTGACGATGGTTGCTAAAGCGTAGTTTTAGTACACAGATTAACCCGAAACTTTGATGGAAGTAGTAGGTTATAACATAAATCGACTTACCCATGAGTGTAGAAGCAATAAGAGCCAATATACTACCTCCCACATAGCATGGTTTATAAAATCCAACCCGTGACATAAAGACTCCACTCAATGTCATAAATGTGATGAGCAGAAAGATGAGTGGCAATAGTCGAACCGCAGACTGGAGAGCAGTGTCTCCACGGGTGAACTGAAAATAGATAGGAATATAGTAGACGGTGATATAGGCAATGGCACCGACAGTAGCACATGAAATAAACAGCAAGATTGGCTCCTTTTGGACGCAAAGGTGAATTGGCATCATCCGGCTCTCCTTTGTTGTAAGGATGTTGAAGCTCTGCTGAACGGTAAAGACAACCCATAAGACTCCTGAAATAGTAAATAAAGCGATGGCCTGTCCACTGTCCCAGGCATATAAGGTTCCACTGAAATTGATTGCCATGACGAGGGTAACAAAGGCACCAATGCTGAGGAGGGTACCCATCCAGTCAAAGGTAGCTAGTTTCTGGCGCTGAGGGACACCTGATAGGGGATTACTTGAGGGTATAACAAAGAAGTAAGTGGGTAATAGAACAGCACCAAAGAGGAGGTTGATATAAAAGGCCCAACGCCAATTGTATAGCTCAAAGCCCCCCCAATAACTGGCCCAAGGACAGTACCCAAACCCCAGACCAGGCCACTAGAATTATAATCACTATTAGTATGTGGAATTGAGTATCAATCACAAAAAAAAGGAAAAGGGGGGGGGGGGGGGGCTAACCCACGTTAAGCTTAGGTACTGTGGTCTTTCTTTACTTGTAGTATCGGTGGACATAAGCGCCAGAAGACCAAAGTACATTCCATTTCCTCCAGCTCCAGCGAAGACACGACCGATTATTTCAGCTGTCATGGTAGGGGCTGCGCCATAGAGTGCCGAGGCAGCCATGAAGATGACAGTCCGAAACAATATACACCCATTTAGTATCATATAAGGTGTAGAGTTTTCCCAAGGGGAAGAACCATAGCCATTCCACCGATCATAAATCTGCAATGTATTCCTGTATCAGTAGTTCTGCTTTCGAGAACAAGCGAATGCACGGGTATACTACGTACCCGACTGAGAGCCATGGCAAGTCCTCCGTTTCGTCAAACGCCGTGACAATAGCCTACCGACGTTGGGTTAGCAAAGAAGAAGAGTGAAGTTTTAGATAGAGACTGCTGGTAGGTACTAACTGGCACAATATTTGCAACAATTGTGTTATCAAGTGCGTAGACAAAGATACTTGTCAGGGTGCTCACGATGAATAGGAACCACTGTTTAAGTTAAGGTTAACTAAAGTTAGCCGCCATCCGCAGACCTAGATATTATACGCTTTTCAGCCAAACATGACCGCACCTTCAAGCCCGTAATCTTCCTAGACTCCTCCTCTGCCGGCTCAATGGGCGGGCCTTGCGGTTTCTCGAAGTCAATCTCTCCATTAGAAGAGTGATGGTTGGAATCGGACGAGGCCATGGTTGTGCAGGCAGGCAAAAAAATAAAAACACTTGAGAACGGCAACACCTAAGAGTTTGCTATAAACAAGGAGGCCCTCAACTCTCCAGAAGAAGGAGGAGAACTAAATATACCATTCTGCCTCTGTCCATCTCCTTGATCTCCCCTACTGTTGAATTTGTCAGCTGTGGAAATAAGACCGTCTAATCTCCGGACTGAGGATTTCCACGCAACGTACCTTTTAATCATTGGCCTTGCCAGACAGTGTAATATTTTGCCGAGTAATGGGCTAGGGATTGAGCCAATGATGCTGTGTATGGGGATCAGGTCTTGTTGTTGTGTATGTTGATGATGGGAGGATGCTGGTAGGTATATTGATCGGTGTGCTTGAAATACAAGCCATCAGCAAATATCAATTTCCTAACACAAGCAGTAAATTGACACCCTAGTTATCAGATATATGGATCGGCACGTTGGCACTGCTCCATTGCTCGATGTTCCACCTATATCTGTATGATGTAGCGACACCTATTTGCCATTCACTAGGTTCGCCTTTCTTTAGACATATTCTTGTACCTAGAGGTGCAAGAATGTGGAAAACTTCTTTTATTTTACCAACCCATCACAGACGGGTACGGTCGAACAGCCTGATACATGGAAGCAAGCAATTGGTATCAATTCTCAGCATGTTTGATCACAAAGGTATTGAACTAGAGTACAAGTTGAACACGATCAACGGGGGGCAGGCTCAAAAACGGTAGAAAGAAAAGCAATATGTGTCTAAATGACGCCTCCAGAAGAAAGGAATTCATCCAGCCTGCCACCCTTCCAATCTCAAGGGCGGACAAGGTCTTCCAAAAGAGAAGAAAGGAAGAAAAGGTATGAAAATAAGTGGTACGAGAGGTGGTGACCTCAGGATATAAGATAAAACAAGAACGGAAAGTCAAGGATACACAAAATGTAACATATTGACGAAATAAGGGGAAGAGTAATATCAACTCCTGGAAAGGAAAAGAACCATGATAAAACCGATGTTGCGCCCGTTTAATGCTGGAAAGAAGGAGAAAGGGACCTCAGAAAAGAAAAGAGGAAAAGAAAAGTTCCCCAGCTGAAGAGGTATGCGAAAAAGGAAATAGTTTTCTAACAAAAGACTAGGAATAGTTGAGACTCGTACCATCCCGAGCATGGTGTATATATTAAAGCTCTAGTGGAAAGGGATGGTTGCTTGATATTCGACATCTATCGTTTCGTGGTTGATTTCATGGCTCGTTGGTGGAATAGTAGATTTGGTTATATTAGCCGTAGGAGGCTGCCATCTCGGCAGGCTGATGGGGTGGAAGGTAAGGCGGATTATGGTATGTAAGGTATGTGTGATTAATCACTGTTGACGCTGCTGTATTTGAGCTTGGAGTCTTCTTGTTTGGCGAAGTGCTTCATCTCTATTAGGAGAGAATTGTTAGCATGGTTCAAGAATGAAAGCTATGAAAGAGGAAAGAAATAGTAGGTTGGAATGGAAACTTGCCTGTCAGATTGCAGTTCAGCTACTTGCATCTGCGCTGTGTTCATACGGCTGACGACCTCGCCCATTTCAGAATCCGCGTCTCTCAAGGCTTGCTCTAATGCTCTGACTTTTGTTTCCAGATTCTCGATTTGCGCTACCTGGTTCAATGCCAGGGCCTCGCCGCTACTCGTCCTACTGAGGCGCGGGGATCTTATGGTTGGGAAAGGTGAGTTGGGCGAGATAGGGGAAAGCATCATGGGGCTTCGAACGCCATCTTTGGCTCTGAGTAAGAGTGCGTTGTGGTTCTCAGTTAGAGCGGAGATTTCCTGCTCGTGTTTACCGACTTCTTCCTCTGAACGTTGTTGGGCTAGCATGAGCATTTCCTCAAGGGACTTGAGCCTAGATTGCATCTCGTTGATCTTCGTGGCGGAGAGCTTCTGCTCCCGTTCGCCTTGGCTGATGGCCTCGGCGAGTCGAGCACGCAAAGATGCGTTAGATGTAACTTGTTTTCTAATCTCATCTTCTAGAGCCTCATTAGGTATCGGGGATCCTGGCTCGGCATTTTCCTTATCGATGCGGAGTTGTTCATATGTTTCTTCTAGAGAGCTGGCGGTAGCGTGGAAGTCAGTCATACCATCTGCGTTCGTACCATCCATGTGAGGCACAGGGATATCGTAGTCTTGCAACAAGGCGCGGAGAGAGCTGGTCTCTTGTTCAGCACGATCGAGATCCATCTTTAGCCCGGCTAGACCCTTTTCACATTGCCATTTTTGATCCAGAGCGTCATCTGCGCGGCGACGAAGAAGGTTTATTTCTTCACGCAGATTCTTGACATCACGTTCATAGCCTCTTTTGCGAGGCGAGCTAGCTTGCCGAGCACGATAGAGTTCGAGTTCAACGAGCCTGAGGCGTTTCTCGTGCTGTCGAGCTTGGTACGATTGGCGTTCGAGTAGACTCTTGACCGTCTGGTGGAGGGCGTCGCGCTGAGTCTCCACGTCCCTCATCTGGTTTACCAGTGACTCGTGGAACTCCGGCCCTTTAACTATCATCGATGTCGGACGGGATACGGAGCCAGATCGGGATACACCATTTCGGACTGGAGGTATCCTGGCGAGAGAATTTGATCGGGATAGCCCACCACTAGATGCTCGATTGTTGCTTAGACCGATACCGATACCGATTGCTTCTTCGACGATTGAGTCAATACGGGGTGACTGGGGCATTTCAGGCTGTAGTTTCCGGGACTGCGATAGGAGGTTATTTTCATTGCGGAGATTCTGAAGGTCTTGTTGCAACTGGGCTTGTAGTTGGTCTCGTTCATATTTCTGCTGTTCGAGCTCCACTCTCATACCGGTGAGAAGGTCTTCCATGTTATCTTTCAGCTGTCGTTCTTCCGTGAGCCGACGACGAGTATCCTCCAAAGCAGCTTCTAACTCTTTTGACTTTCCAGCAGCATTTGATGCTTCAACTTTTTCAAGTCGGAACTAGATGAAAACAGTCAGACATAACCCTTAAGACAGTAAAAAAGGGGGGGGAGGCAATACCTGACTTATTTGAGATTCAAGGACCTGGACATGAGACTCTGCAACCTGTCTCCTCGCTCGTTCCTCCTGCCATTTCTGCGATAGTTCGATCTTGAGCTGGGCACGTTCCTGCTCATAGTTTCTCTTTAATTTCTCGATGTCTTCAGCCCTGGAACTTCCGCTATCACTCAAATCCTTGATGGACGAGCCGTGGCCCGAGTCAGAGAAGTAATAATCACTGGCCCTTCGATCAGACTCGCTGCTCTCCAACTGCATTCTCTCCACGATATCTTCGAGCTCCATCTCTCGACGGATGGACCCCGCCAGCTCTGAGCTGATTTCTCGCAGTTCGTGCTCCATGTCGGCCAGCCGAGAGGTCACGCTAGCGTCCATTGGCATGGTTTGAGCCCGGCCCGTCATCTTGGGGGTCACGGAGAAGGAGTCTCTTGGATGGTTGGTGTATACGGTGGAGGCGGCGGTGGAAGTGTTCATCGGAGAAGGCATAGGGGAGAGGGCGGAGTCCGAGATCTCGGTACCACTGGACTCGTTGCCAGGTGAGGCAGCGCCAGCGTTAGTCTTCCAGCCGAAGAAGGAGGTGATCTTGCTCCCCGGAGTCTTTGGTGTCGGTCTGTAGTCGACGGAGCCGTTAGACATGGACCGTACACTAGTAGAGTCAACGCGCAGAGGCGGAGGTTTGGCAGATGGTGCATGCTGGGGAGGGTGGAGGGCCATGGTGAAAGACCGCTTGTGATCTTTGAGGCTTTGGATTACCGCATTCAGACTGTGTCCGGAGAGGAGCGGTTCGCTGGTGAGACGGGCGCGCGTAGGCTGCCAGGTCCGGGGCGTCTCGACCACAGAGACGGTGGAGTGGTTCACTCGATGGTGTTTATGGCCGTATCCTGGAGACTGAGGCTTCGAAGAATGCCCATGTGGAAATCTACTACACCGTCAGCTTTATGGTCTATACAAAACGAACCCAAAAAAAAAAAAAAAAAAAAAAGGGTACGGAGTACACACCTGTCAAGGTCTCTCACGGAGAAGTTGATCGACGTAGCGGACTGTGGAAGAGAATCATGGCCCGAGGAGGACGCAGACGGTCTCCTGGACTGCGCTAGCTCGGTGAAGTGCAGAGGAGCAACGTTGGGCGGCAACGGCTTCCTGCGTATGGGCGAGGAGGAAGCGAGAGACGGGTGTGTGTGGTGGTGATAGTGGTAGTAGGGAGAGGGAGTCGAGGTCGAAGGAGTGCGCGTACCGTCCCAGTAGCAGCTCTGAGGAGAGACAGGAGTGGCGCCTGGTGGCGCCGTGGTGGTCCCCTCTGGTGAAAAAGCCGCCATATTGGCCGGGCTTGTCTCTTGTTTGTCTCTCTGCTTGACTTCTGTTTCTTCTGCTTTCTGCTTCTCCTTTCGCCGGGTGTGGACGAAGTGGAGAGTTCAGGGGCTTCTGCAGGCAGGGGGCGGGCGCTGATTGGCCGTGCGAGGGCCGGCGCTAGGCTTTTTAGCCTTAGGCCTAAACTAGCTTGGCCTTACCCCTTGGTACTTAGGTAAGCCCTTAGGTAAGCCAACCAACCCCCTGACCTCCCCAAAAAAACCCCCTGAAGACCCTAAAAAATCCCCTGAAGAACTCGGCGCTAAGGAGAGTCACGTGGACTTGGAAGGGGGCTTCCTCTTCTTCCTCTCCTTCTGCAACGGAGTAGATGAATCGACTTTCTATCTCGCACTCCAAGGGATCTTCCAGAGCCGTGCGCCGTATGCAGGGTAGGTAGGGGGACGCGGGATAGCTCCTCTTTGTTGCTAACCTGCCAGTCGCGCTTTGTTCCTGCATATAGCGCCATGCACGCATCCAACAGCCAACAACCCCAGACGCGGTTGGGGACAGAAAGTGGAAGGTCGACAGGAGGCACTATGCACGGAGTAGCCCGTACCAGAGAGGGTGTATATATATATGTCAGGGTATATATATATGCACCCAGTTAGAGAGGTAGTAATAAAGGTAGGGAAGATGTTAATGCAGTGTCAGGAAAAACCATGGGGGGAAGGGAAGGGAAAGGTTGCATATTTATACGGAGTCCATGAGCTGCGGTGTTCCCTTGTCCCCGAACGAAGGCGAGAGAGGAACGTCTCTTTGCTTCTTTGGTGCAGGCCGTTTCTCGATGATGCTCTTCGTTTTCGACAGGGAATAACGGGCTTTATCCACCGCGGCCTCGAACTCGTCCGTCCAATGGCTGGTTTCTTGGGCCTTCCCTTTTTATTTTTCAATACGCGCTGCAGCGTAAGGCCAACCTTGAAATTTTTGTGACTTGCAAATCCTCTTTAGCTGACGGGCCAATGGGAAGCTGTGGTTTGCGATTTCTGATCGTTGGTGGCAAACAGGATATCTCGACGGTTCTGTGTTCCATAGTTCTCGGTTGTTGTGCAATTTTGAAGATCTGATGCAGTCGGCTAAGATGGTTGTAAATGGGTTCAATGGCGTAGGTGTACCGAATTCAGGACAAGCTCTAGCAAGTACAAAAAAGGCACATACAAAAAGAAAGAGACCAAAAGACCAAAAATAGAATATATAGACAGAATTCCCGAGAATATCAAACAGCCTCAGCCTTCAAACGTATATCGCAGCCACTCCCCTACAGCCCGGAGACTCTCCCACCTCACTGACTCGTCCCGATCGGTCATCAAGGCCATCACCCGTGCTTTCAGGCCCAGCCTGTCCAGCTGGTGTCGTCGCTCTGGTACCTCCCTTACCAGGCACCCTATGTCGTTACACGCAATGGCCAAAACCTGCTTGTCCGTCTCCCAGTCCTTCGACAGGATCTCGGCCAGCTTCTTAGGTAGGCTGCTCCCATCCTCGTCTAGGATCCGTCGTGCATTCTCCCGCCAGAAAGTCGGGTTGCGGTGCGGTGGGGACCAGCGTAGGTGGCCGGACTGTACCTCCGCCGCGTACTCGTCAAACGTCGTCTGCTTCTTTGTATACTCTTCCAGCATCTCTGTCAGTGCAGACAGGTCTTCCAGCAGATCCGGGTCGCTCAGGTGGCGGCTGGTCAAGTTGCTTAGCATCGCTGGTAGGCGGACCACCACCGCATTGGGCAAAAGGTTGGCTTTGCTGCTGGATAGTAGGTTACGGAGCGTCGAGAGTAGCAGACGGGTGGTTTTCTCCTTGGGTGAGAGTCTCAGCAGGTTGGTGTACAGTGCGATCATTTCGTGTTCCCTAGACCTCGTCAGTCAAGTTATATGAATGGAGACTACTATATAACGGGCGCTTACGATTCAATTTCGGCACCGATCAAATCCGCTTCGAAGCTGAGCTGCCACAGTACAAGTAAGACATGGTATAAAAGCTGGATGCCAACACCACCACTGATACCAGCTTCTCCAGCTCGACTACCGCCCAGGGAAGACCCGTTGTCCCTGGTTGCCCCGGCCGCCGCGCGCAGAATCCCAATCAGTGGTTCGACGGTATCCTTTCTCTCCCTCCAGAAGATCTCTCTCGACCTCTTCGTCCTAAGCAGAGCAGAGTATCCCTGCACCCCGATATCCTGTAGCCCTGTATCCGCACTCTTGGTCAAAGTAGACAGATAAGAGAACAGCTTGGGAAGCGCTACCTCGTCCTTTGGTGATGTCTTGGGAGTGGCTCTCAGCGATGCCGAGACAAGATTGGCAAGTAGCGACGATGTGAGCAGTGGGATCGGATCTTCTGAGTTCGTTGAGTTGGCGAGAAGAGGCAAGAAGTGTCGATAGCTCTCGTTATTCTCCACTAGAGCTGACGTTAAAGCTGGCACATCTATTAACAGTTAGAGAGCCTTCAAGTTATCAGAACCAATAGCAGCCCACTTTAGACATACCGCTAATCAAGTCTCCAGCAAGGACAAGAATGTACTGTATTATATCCGTCCGTCGAGTGGCAGACTCCAGGATGCTCTTCTCCGACCCATTACCGGCCAGCAATGAAGTGTACGCATTGACGTCCTTCTCGATAGTCTTCTGTCTTGAGTCCTTCCGCACCTTATCAACTGCCTTGACCCGCCTAAGCTGTTCTTCTGTGATGTTCCCTGCTCGCACTGCACCCTCCCATGGTATCGGTCGAGCTCTGATATTGTTCTGTAGCGAGGTGAGGTACGTGGGTGGTTCGAGAGACATGACGGATGCTGCAACGGATAAGCCTGGACCGCGGGAGTAAAGTGAATAGCTGGTCTGTTCGATTGTAGTAGAGCTGCAGCCTGCTACTCCGGTCAATGTGAGGCTTGATGCACCTTAACTAGCTGCTGGTGCTGCTGATGTCGTTGATGTCGTTAGTGTCGATGATGTTGCAGTCCCAAGTTCAAGCTCGAAGTTCGCCCACCAGCGACGCCAAGCCTGCTGCAAGCTAAACGTTATTACTCAATTTTTAAGGCTACAGCTTTGATAAATACAGCAACAGAGTAAGGAGACGGCAGCTCTTTTATTTATTTTATTCTTTATTTTACTATCACACGAACTTCTTTTATTCTTGGTATGCTCCGGGGGAATTTCTGAGGGATTCTCATATAGGAGAGGTGACAAAAGCCTTCTGTAGACTGGCCATCACGCATGCTAACCTCCATCTTATATGAAAAAGAAGAAACAGTTAATTGGCACGTAGTCTGAGCCTGGGTATAACATCGTATATACTAGCCAGCCAACCAATCCAGATGGATATATATGTTGGCGATCGAGTTATGAGTAGAGGTGCAGTATCAAATCATCAAAGCACCCCTACATTACTCAAATGGAAGCAGGGAACCACAAGGCCTTATAAATAGCTAGGCAGCAATGAGTAACGGTCGCCTGCTTTTACATTGCATATCTGAAGAGAAGGCAATTGTGATCTTCCCTGTATAATCCAGTCGAGAAAACCGCTTTTTACAGCTGGACTACTGCAAGTATGTGCAGATATTTTATCATACCCCATCATTTCTCCTCGATGCACCGCCAAAGCATGTCATCAAGGGACGTGCATATATTCTCTGTGATAATTCCCAAAATAAAGGGATCCACCGTCGCCGTGACTACGAACACGCTGTAGAGACGTAGTACGGGGCAATTTGGGTCATCATGGAAGGACACAAACTGCAAAACATGTCTGAACTCTGCTCAGACAGTTATATATGTATGTATATACACAGATCAATGCCCGGGGTTCTCTGTAGTAAAAGCTGGTAGGTTAGTCTGACAGAAATATACCAACCTCTAATACCTCCACAGAGGATATTCGTTGGGCATATAGGTAGGTGAACTGTATCGCGGCGAGGCCCACTGTATTGACAGGATAGTTAATTTATGGTAGCCCCAAACATCGTGTGAATGCCAAAGACAATGACAGCAATGCTTAGTTGCATGTAGAGATATACTATATGTACCATTAGTCGTGACCTTGGGCCTCTTGACAGTCTTAGTACATACTTACCTCGAGAGTGTTCCTTCCGTTTTCTTTCCATAAGTCCATTGATGGACAAACTGAGGTCACTTCCATGCTTGGCTCTTCGTTGGATGCCTCTGATTTCTGCTGCAGCCTCGCCTGCATTGGAGTAACTACCACGCCAGCATTTCTGAATCACACTCCCTAGGAGGAGTTGGCTGGTATCTGGGTATTCATTCCTCGCATACCGAGCCTGTAGCTTGTCCTCCATCACTCCCTCATATGCTTTAAACGTTGTTGAAATCTCAAAAATGGCAGATCCGAGGGCAAACAGTTCTGTCTGTGTCGTAGGAGACCCTATTATAGCCTTGGGATGCTGGGCTGTCGGGCTAACAACGACGGTGGGCCTGCTTCCGTCTATCGAGCTTCCAGAGAAATCACAATATTTGACGTTATCGTCCCAGTCGACCAGCAAGTTGTGAAGGCCGACGTCCACTTGGAATATGCCATTTTCATGGAGGTACTGCATCCCTTCCGCTGCCTGGGCAGACCATTTTAGGACATCTTCTTGGCTGGCTGTCCGTCCGTCCTCCCGGAGCTCCCATATCCTAAATCGTAGTGGATATCTCAGTCGTTCCAGGACAATTAGATCCTTGTAGGTATACAGGAGCTTTACAATCCGAGGGTGATCTCCAAGTCGTTCAAGAATCTTTCTTTCTACTCTCAACTCCTCAGCGTTCTCTTCTCCACCGGTTGGCGTCTTTATCACCGATAGCTCGTCCACTGCAAACACGATGCCTGAGACTCCTCTGTTGACAAAAGACAAGTCCCAGAGACACTTGGGGAACCTTGGCTTGGCCTCCTTTGATATACTTGACATGATCGCGACCTGAACATCGACGCAGCCAACAGGAGGAATAACATTTTCTATGTTTTCTCTGTTTTTGTTGCAACTAGACAATTTTTACTAGAGACGCCAAGCCTGGGCCAAATATATATCACGTGATATGACTGAGGCCCAGAGGAAGATTTTATCGCAGAATTACAGGTTCATTTCTGATATTGGAGCTGTATCAGGGGGTCTTTCAGGATTTTCGGGCAGTTCTCCCTATATCAGTTGCCGGGGCGGGCAGGGTGGCGTGGCGTGATGGAGTACTCGTTTGACAAGGGCATTGCTTCTAGGTGTTCCTGTGGCAGAAGACTGCCAGGGAGGCTTTGACTGTTAAGATCAGAAGCGAGTGCGGATATGTAGCTGCCGATGCTTCACCATGTCTTTTATCAGAATACTGATTAACTAGATCTCCGTAGATTTTCCTTCAAACGGTCTTTAAATTGAGAGATAGCTTCATATCCCGTAGAGAAACTGTCATCTCGGTATCACAGGTGGATTATCGTTGGTATGACGGAATACCATCAGCTATCTAGAGTAGAGGAATATTAGCATGCTATTTCATCCGTGGTCTATAAGGATATTACTTCTCATTTGACAATATCAAGTCTGTACCTCAATTTCTCTGGTGGCATCGCGGTCGTTGGAGCTCGTGGATGTACGCTCGACAGTGATCCCACCTATGACAGCTAACAGGCCATTTGATAGAGAAACCCCTCTCTGGGGGTAAATATCGAGCAGGAGTTGCTGAATACGAATTTGTACTGTGTTTCACATGGTGTTCATTTCGCTTGTGATGTTTATAACAAGTGGTGAGAATAGCAAAAGCCGCCGTAGGGAGTTCTTGTATCTAAATCAAAGCAGATAAAGGCGCTTCTCGCGTTGCATAACCAGATAACCAGCTGTCATTGTTATTTGAATAATTATATTTATGGGTGTTTTGTCTATGCAAGCGGGCGCCGAGATTTGCGAAACTCGCTCTTGATCTGGCCCTCAGTTCTCGATCAAAGCTAGGCTTGTCTCATTATCATAAGGGCGTCAGCTACAAGCGGACAAGAGAAAGAGAGACAGCACGATTCACGAAGATTCTCCAACTACCTTTTGACTGTTTTATGTGTTGAAAGCCAGCTATTGATATTTAACTAGCTGGCTAGCTCTCAATATTTATCCGTCGCAGTAACGGAAAGAGACGCCCTATCAACGCAAGGCTCCGATGACAACTAGTACATGCGAAGAATCAAACCGGAGGTGAAGCGCTGAGCCATGTCGGCGTCCAAGTGGAAAGTCGGCTCTTTCTTGCAGCAAGCCGTGGCTGGCGTTGAGTCTCGGCTGGACACCATCTTAGCTGACAGCGACAGCGAAGCTGCGCAGAATGCAGACAAGACCGAAAAGCCGGCAGAGAAGCAGCCTGGCCTCAGGGCGGGCATGCAAACCCCTTCATCTACGTCTCCAAGTATGCCTATCCGTCCTCGCACTGTATGTTCTAGTTAACTGACAGCTACATATTAGATCTCTCGAGGAATTCTTCATCCGCCAGAACTAATGACAGACTCCAGGAACGCCTTGCTCGCGCGATGGCGAAGCAGGCTGGAGCAGCGAGTGTTACCAGTCCGCCGTCTTCGACCGGTGTACCTTCGCGGACCTCTACTCCTCTTCCAACAGACGGCAGCAGAACGAGTATTGACAGCTCTGCTGGAAACATAGACAAAGCTACAGATGAAACGAAATCAGATAGCAAACCCGCTCGCACGAGCCTAGAAGTTACGGCTCAAGGAAGGCAGTCAAACGAAATACAATCAAATGAGCTGGAAACACCAGAATGCAAAGGAGCTGAGAGAGATATAGACCTATTGAAGGCGAATTCAAGCCAGCAATCTCAAGTACCTGAGATCAGCGTAGCCGAATCCCGGTCAAACCATCTTGAAGACTACGAGACGGCTATGGCGAAACTGCAAGCGGACCATGAAGCATCGGAGCTACGATGGCAGGAGGAGCTGCACAGCTACATAGAGAAGATCGATGCCCTCCAAGCAAAATTAAAATATCTAGCAAGCGAAGCTGTCGAATCGGCTCGTAATTCTACGGCTTCTGCAACGCCTGGTACCATAGAGAAGAAGCTCTCTGAAAAGGAGGAGAAGATCGCTGTGCTGATGGAAGAAGGCCAGAAGTGGTCAAAGACCGAGCTGGAGCATAGGGCTACAATCAAGAAGCTTCGACAGTATATATCGGAGAGCACCCGGACCCAGGTAGAGCTCAAGAGGCGGATTGAAAAGGCCGAAAAGGATCTAATCCTCGCAAATGATCGTGCCAAACGAGCAGAAGCAGCAGAGAAGCGTGCCACGGCCAGTTTAAACAAACAGTCAAGCACGGAAGAAGACTTGGAGTCAGCAGTCGCTGAGCGGAACATTTTGAAAGCTACGGTCTCTGACCTGAGTTATCAGCTATCAAGAGCTTCTGCCAGAGCTGAAGCAGCGGAGAAAAAGGCCGAAGAAGAAGTTATGCGAATAGAAAGCCGCCAGGTCTCTGAGCTCAAGGAGGAACTTTCAAGTGCGAAAGTGGAACACGAGCTCAACGAGGAGAACCTTCGACGTGAGATTCAAGATCTTACAGAGAGCCTTAGTCGAGAAAAGGAGCGCTCGCGGGCTCAGGAAGTTGAACTTCGTGGAGAACAATCTGTCTTGGAGAGTAAGATGGAAAGCCTCCGAGCTCGGGCTGAGGAAGCCTCATCGAGCGTTACCGGGGATGCACAGGCCAAACTTCTACGGCAAGTAGAGACTCTACAGACACAATATGCCGTGGCAAGTGATAACTGGCATGGTATCGAGACTTCCTTGCTCTCTCGCCTGGCTAGCGTGGAAAAAGAGAGAGACGACATTGCGAAACGGGAAGGGGACATGCGCAGGAAAGTCCGCGAATCTGTAAGAAACGGCCCCTAATCTATGTTCTCTAAATAGAAGAGAAACGATACTGACCGTGCAAAACCCGATAGGTTCTAAAAGTTAAACGAGCTGAAGGAGACTCTGAGAACTCTCGTGAGCTTGCTCGTGAGCTGGAGCGAGACCTTGAAGAGAGCCAACACGAGGTAAAACGATTACAAGCCAAACTAGAAAAGGCAGAAGAAGAACTGTTCGCTGCGCAACAGGACTTGTCAAAGCAAAAGGAGATACTGGATGCTACTTGGGCACAACGGCTTGAGGATGAACGGTCCAAGTGGCAAGAAAATATAGCATCATCCCCGGCAATACTTCAAGCTCGCGCAGAGTCAGTTACGCCTAGTCGACGGTCAGATGTACTCTCCTCCTTGTCTGAAATTCCACAGAGCCGCAGATCATCAACTCTCCCGAAGCTGGATACTCCCCCCAGACAGAATTCTTACTCATCTCTAAATTCCAACCCCCTCCTCCGTGGCTCTTCTTTACATGACGCACCATCTCCTCTAGCCGATACTGCCTCTATACAAACCCAGGAGCCCGATGATTATTTTAACGGCGGTCTTACTCCAGCAACTCCCTCGGTACCTGGAACCCATACTCAACATTCTCGCGGAGCTCATGATGTTGTCTCAGCTTCTACTGTTGCTGCTGGGCCATCCGTCCAGCTGGTGGAGAGAATGAGTGCTACGGTTCGTCGTCTTGAAAGTGAACGCGCAGGATTCAAGGATGAGTTAGCACGTCTGACTTCCCAGCGTGACGAAGCAAGACGTGAAGTCGTTGAGCTTATGAAAGAGGTCGAGGAGAAGAGAGTCGGGGATGAGCATGTACGAGGACTTGAAGAGAAAGTTCAACAGCTGAACGAGAGATACCAAACTACTCTTGAAATGCTCGGTGAGAAGAGTGAGCAAGTAGAGGAGTTAAAGGCTGATATTGCCGACTTGAAGGACATATATCGTGACACACTCCAAAAGCATCTACAACAATAATAGAAAGAGTCTGGTGTTATCGTCTTTTGTCTTTTTGCGTTTTTTTTTTTCATTTTATTCATTTCTTCCCCCTGTTATGAGATACGAGACAATCTATCGCGAAGAGATGATTTTACTATGTATGTATTGAAATGTGGAATGTTGTTTATTAGAAGCATGCAATCAATTCGTTATTTAACGCAATCAACAATAACCAATACCGTCATTCATCATGGCAACTCAATGCCCTCTCGTTCTGCAGTTTCAAGGATATATTTTCGAACCTGTGAAAGAGTCAGATGTGAGCCCGTCATAAGAGCTGATAGGTCTCTTACTTTAGAATCAGGAGAAAGTTCAATAGCAAGCTGGCCGTTTGCATCTCGTTTATCGGCTTCTGCTCCTGCTCTGAGAAGAGTCAAGGCAGCTTCGCCGTGTGCTTCAGAAATCGCATGGTGGAGAGCAGTTAAACCATCGACATCCGAAGCGTTCAGCGGGCTCTTCCCTTCTTCTATAAGAAGTTTGACCAGCGGGACAGAACCGATTGCTGCAGCGCGGTGGAGCGGTAGTTGGCCTCTTTTATCCCTCACTCTCGCACTGCATTTGTTGGCAAGTAATCGGCGAACTGTAGATATATTGTTTTTTGAAGTAGCAAAATGGATAGCATTCTAGCAACTAGGTTAGGAGGTGTTTTTAACATTACTCCATGGCTATAGAATAGAGACGGCGTACCTGTCCATTTGCACTCTTTATGTTGACATCTGCGTCTTTACGGAGCAATAATTCAATTATAGGGTCCCCTTCTTCGTCCTTTAAGCTTGCAGCAATCATAAGTGGTGTCCATCCCGAGGCGTCCTTGTACTGATGTTAGCTCTTTTTGTCCTTGAGAATTGATAATTTACGAAGCTTAAAGCATGTAGGGTAAGCTAACTGTAACATCTGGGTCAAAGTCTTTCATCGATATGAGGAGTTCAATTATTGATGGCCGGTTATACGCAACTGCCCAGTGGATGGGCAGCCTCTCATCTCCATCCCTTAGGTTTGCGAGTTTGGGGTTGGCCTATGAATCAAATCTTATTGTCAGTAGAGCCAACAGGATACCTACTAGCCCTTGAACAAGGCTATACATGACTCTCAACTCACGTTGAGTAAGGATTCAACCACTAGATCTATCTAGATGTTAGAGCAATATCTAGATGTCAGAAGGATTTTGGGGTATAAATACTCTTTCCCTCACGAGCAGCTTCATGAATAGCGAACTTGGCATTATATTCTGGGTCCATCTTTGCAATATGAAACTCTGCCACTATAAGTTTATAGAAGTCTCTTCGCTGTATGGTATCACTTACAACAGTTGGAGCCTTTGACAGTTGATGGCGGATGTTTTGGATGGCGGATCAAGTCTTGGCGGCGAGACGCAACTTTTTCATTTTTAGCCGCAAAAGCAAGCTTCAAAGTCATACCATAAACCATCACCAGCTAACAGAACTTGCATACCAAAATATTTGCATTAAACACTGGATAGGCGTATCCTGACAGATACTCTCAGGCGAACGGGTTCATTTACCCCTTGCGAATACACGCCGAATCCTATCTTGCCTGCTGAACTAGTAGCGCGTTTCCTGGACACGCTCCTTTTGGCGTGCTCCTAGATTTCAGCGCAACCCTGAAGCCATTCATCCTTGGATCGGGCCCAGGATTAAAACAGAAATATGGAGGTAATTCAAAACGACGTTTCCGCGAACGAAGCTGTTCGGAAATCCGCCAAACGAACGCACGAACTCTTTGGCTCCGATTACCTCTTTCCCGCCACGCCCATATCATCAGAATCTATCGGTGTCTCATATCGACGGAAAAGGGAATACGGGGATGTACAAACGTTGCCTCCATCGTTAGCAGAGAAGCAGGCAAAAGCGGCCACGGCACGAGGGAAGCGCACCAAAATAAAACCAGAGCCAGGAACTTCAACTGCCTTGGTGAAGAGCTCTGCTCCTACTGGTACACAATCAAGTGGAGATGGCGCTCCTACAAGCCTTATAAAAAGGCTGGATATCTCCCAGCAACCAAAGCCGGATTGGCATGCGCCATGGAAGTTGATGCGAGTGATTTCGGGACACCTAGGATGGGTTCGAAGTCTTGCGGTAGAACCTAACAATCAATGGTTTGCTAGTGGTGCAGGCGATCGGACCATAAAGATTTGGGATTTGGCTACTGGAACTTTACGGCTTACCTTAACCGGCCATATATCTACGGTTAGAGGCCTGGCGGTTTCTCCAAGGCACCCATACCTATTCTCGTGTGGAGAAGACAAGATGGTGAAATGCTGGGATCTCGAAACGAACAAAGTTATTCGACATTATCACGGACACCTCAGTGGTGTCTATACTCTTTCCTTACATCCTACCCTGGGTATACTGGTGACAGGAGGCAGAGATGGTGTGGCGCGTGTCTGGGATATGCGTACTCGAAGCAACATACATGTCCTCAGCGGCCACAAAGGCACAGTCTCGGACGTAAAATGTCAAGAAGCGGATCCTCAGGTTATTTCTTCGTCCCTCGATGCAACAGTGCGATTATGGGACTTGGCTGCTGGCAAAACAATGGGCGTTCTCACGCACCACAAGAAAGGAGTTAGAGCGCTCGCTATACACCCGAAGGAGTTCACTTTTGCAAGCGCCAGTGCCGGGAGCATAAAGCAGTGGAAATGCCCAGAAGGTGCATTCATGCAAAACTTCGAAGGCCAGAATGCCATTATCAACACTCTCGCCGTCAACGAGGATATGTCCTTGTCTCTGGTGGCGATACGGCTCCATGTCTTTCTGGGACTGGAAGTCGGGTCACCGTTTCCAGTCTCTAGACACAATTGCGCAGCCGGGTTCTTTGGATGCCGAAGCAGGCATCATGGCTTCTACGTTTGATAAGACGGGCCTGCGATTAATTTGCGGAGAGGCTGATAAGACGATAAAGATCTGGAAACCTGATGATGAAGCTACGCCCGAGACACATCCGTTAGACTGGAAACCAACTCTCGGGAGAAAGAGGTATTAGAAAGAATTGCATATCAAATTTCTGATAATGGTGCTTGATGGCGTTCTCAGTGGGCTTGGGAATACTTCGTTCAGGGCACTAGTTGCTTTTTGTAAACTTTACACTTGTTATGACTTTATCAACAATCAATCCATACTTTATTGTAAATCCAGACCAATGCATTAGTTATGCCTATTCTCTTAATCTTACATTATGTATCAAAACCCAAACCCAACATATTCCCTTCTGGGTCATCCCTAAAAGCTGCCCTCGCATCTTCTGCTGCAATTCTTAGGCGAACTTTGCTACTCCTATTCCCTTTCCCCAATGCATGGCTCATGCCATCCCCTGACTTTACTCCATGATCTCCCTCCAGGACGACAAGCCCTGCATCTACTAGATCGACAGTCGCGAACCCCATTCCTTGAATTTCTGAATTGCAAATCAAATTCTCTTTGAGTTTAGCACTAGAGGAAGCAGGTACGCTCGTTGCTGCATCGGATATACGCTTGGCTTCATCGAGGATATCACCAACAGTAGACTCATTAATTCCTGTTCGTCGAATTCTCGCCAGCAGTCCTGCAAGAAGTACCTTTGATGCAAGTGGCAGACATCGAAGAGCCTGCTGAAGGGGAGTGGATGTTGCCTCTTGAATAGCTTGCTTAATAGTAGCAATGGTGACTCGTGGAAAGCTGTCCTGATCTATAGTGTTTGCATCTTGGGTATCTTCCTTTTGAAGAGATTTTAAAAGGGCTGCGGCTTTGCGTCGAGATGCGCTTTTGCTAGGTGTTGGCGGTAGAGACGTTAGATCAGCATCATCAACAATGTCCACAGAGGAAGTAATAAATGATTTGTGTCTCTCTCTTGCTTTGGACTCGCTGACTTGCTCTGCTATTTCTACCGCTCGACGACAGATGTCGAGCGCACGACGGGCATCACCGCTAACGGCAGCAACTTTCCGACTTGCGAATTGAACTGCGTCTGCGTCTACAATATTCCCAGGGACGTTCTCTAGTCGTGAACTGATGATCTCCATGAGCTCTTGGTATTTATATCCTGAGAATGTGATCCTAGTAAGGCCCAACCGACTAGAGATCTTATTGCTGAGAGTTCGTTCTGGAAGATCCATTGTATTGGCAACAGCAAGAACCACAAGGCGAGAATGTCGAAGTGCAGGCCAATTGAAGAAATTATACATGACAGACTGGTTTTTGGTAACTAGTTGATCCAGCTCATCCATCAAAACAACACAAGGAACACGGCGAGGGGAGGGCCGAGAGAATTCCCGTGAAAGCAAATCCAGTGCATGCGACGGTGAGATGCGGTCACCTTTCAATGCTTCCCAGAGCATAGAATATGACTGGTGCGGATCTGTGACTTTCATACCGTTGATCTCCACAAAGATAAAGTCATCCATCTCCTCATCCAACACTCGTGTGTTTAAATGAGCAATGACATCACGAACTGTGGCAGTCTTGCCTGTGCCAGGTGGTCCTGATATGTAAATGCAAGTTCCAGTCCCATCATTAATCGCAGTGTGAAGACTGTCATAAACAGAATTAAACTCTGCATCACGGCAAGGCAGGGATGTCGGGACACTGGATACATGAAGCAAATTTCGAGCCTGTCGATATGGAGACGCTGTGAAGTGTGAAGGAGAAAGAGTGCGAGTAGAAAGGGGGGTGAATTCAAGTGGCCTCTTCACTTTAATTCTATAGTCGTTGTTAATATCGAGTTCTTTCGAATTTGTGAAGAAGGGCCTTACCTTTTATGTGTGGGCGTCGTTAGGTACTTTTGGCGTTGCCGGGACTGGGGGGTGCCAGCTATTGACTCTGTCTTCTGGCGCTTTCTGGGTGTCGATGGAACAACATCATCACCTTTTTCTTTCACAGCCTAAAATACGTTAGCGATGGTAAGGTGGAAAGCTTCTTGGATCTGGTACGTACTCCTTTTGGGGCTCGTTTCTTGGCTTTGGAGAGGGAATCTTTGATATATTCGAAAAGGTTGAAGACTCCTTCTTCAGATTCAGTGTAGATATCTTCCCATATAAATTCGTCAGTGTACCTCCCCTGGAGCTGCTTCACCCCCCGCCGGCAAATGATGCACTTGTTAAATTCTGCGGTGGCAGCCTTGCCCTTTGGCGGCTTTCCATCGGGATATTTTTTGTAGAACGCATCTTTGGACATCACTATTGCTCGTCCATTTATAGACATGAGAGGATTGATATTGAAATCAGTCGTTATATACTGTTCGTTAGGCAAAGCATCATCCCTCTGCTTGTTCTTTGTAGATAAAAATTCATCCGGAGAAGTAAACCACATTAGATTCATAGATTTGACAATATCACCGCTGTCAGGATCAGGATCATCAAGGAATTCGTATATTATCCCAGCCCAGTCCTTCCCAGCTTCGGGAGATTTCAGGAGAACAATGTGGCCGAGTCTGCATTCAAATGAGCCCATCCTCGCCCCTATTATTTTAGGGCCAGCTTTCCTACCTCTCGAGGGCTTTAACGGGGAGGCCTGAGTGTCTTCATAAATCCATTCCCATGGGAGATCCTCGGACCCCAACTCATCGTCAGAATCCTCATGGAATATACCTCCCTTGGTTAGCCACTGTCGAGCTAGCTCTTGAGCTCTCTTGCTTTTGCTCTCCTTGGTATCCTGGGCCGCCATGTTGCTAGTCTGAGTTGACGGTATGTACAAATCTGGAAGCAGTTTCAGAAACAATCCATCTTGCTGGCCCTAGAAACCTCATGTATCCCCCTTATGCTTCTTCGTTCAGATATACAATATAATGTCAACTTTTCCCTTGACGTATTGAGATTATTCCTAACTAGGACTAGCTCCAAATACAATTTTGAGCTCTTTATCACGTGATATAAGTTTTGAAGTTGACCCGTTTTGGAAATAAATTCAGGCACGAAACTATTCACGAACCAACCGCAAGTCTTGCGTCTCAAAGCGGGAATTGGATTCAAAACTTCTCGATGCTACGGATTTTTTCCTAATAAAACGGCGATTCTGGTATTATATTCAGTTACCAAGCGCCGTCTGGTTAACAGCACGCACATACGAGGACTTCATCTAGTTTATACCGTTAACCTATTGACGTGCCATCCACGAGTTAATAAGCCAGCTAGTCTTTGATAATAACTAAGATGGCGCTCTTTGGGACGCAGAACCAGCAGCCTTCGACTACCTCGTTGTTCGGCCAGTCAACAAACCAGACACAGCAGAGTGGAAGCATTTTTGGCGCACCGCAGCAACAGCAGCATCAGCAGGGGAACTCTCTTTTCGGACAATCATTCCCGCAGAAACCACAGAATGGCTTGTTTGGTTGCATTGATCAACAGCAAAAGCCAAGCCCATTTTCTGGATTTGGCACCACAGCACAGCAACAGCCGCAACAGCAAAGTGGAGGGTTCACGCTTGGTTCTACCCAGCAACAGCCCCAAAACCAACAAAATGCGAGCCCTTTCATAGGATTTGGCGCCACCCAGCAACAGCAGCAACAGCCTCAAACGCAGACGGGGAAACCATTTTCTGGGTTTGGTTCTGTCTCGCAGCAGCAGCAGCAACAACAGCCCCAGCTAGGCCAGACTCTAGGATTCTCACAAGCTGCTGGCTCAACGATATGGACTCCAGGTCAAGGGATGACGGGCGGTAAGTGACGAATTTTTCCTATGCGGAAAGCAACTTGCTAATCATCTTATCTACAGTCCACCGAACCGTACCTATGCAAATTATGATTGTAAAGGACAAATGGGACGCAACAAGTCGATCGTCTCCATTCCGTGGATATCTCTACAACAACGTGGGTGAAGAATCTGCACCATTCTTCCAGCCAGGCCCCAACGATGACGAGAACAAGTGGGAGGAGGCATTGAGGAAACGCCCGGGACCTGGATATGTCCCTGTTCTTGTACAAGGATTTTGGGAGCTAGGGAAGCGTACACAAAGACAAAAAGACTTTTTATCGATGATGCAGACGCGACTACACGAAATAAACAATGCTTTGACAGAGTTATTGTCGCGACATGACTTGACTATTTCGGTTAAAATAGCAGCATGTCGACGCAAACACAAAGTGTTGAGCCAAAGGTGCCTTGCCCTGGCATCAAAGACACAGTTGTTGCGAAATCGTGGGTATGCCATGGACCAGGCCGAGGAAGAATTAGCAAAGAAGCTTTTCCAACTAGAGCGGGCGGTTTTCGACCCGTCCCTTAATGGCAGGTCGGAAGAGATTTGGGCCAGGATGTTGGCCATCAGGGAGAACTCAAAGCGCCTCCAGCTCGAAATAGAGCGTATAGGGAATGATACATCCAGCCAGGCGGATGATACTCTTGACGACACAGCTCTCAAAACAGCCAAAAAGGTATGTCTACGAGAAAATATTCTATTCGCCAGAGATTAATACTAATAAATCTTTAGATCCTTGAGGACTACGCCACTCAGATCCAACATCTCAACAAGGAACTTGCTGCCGTTCAAAAGGATTTTGGGAACTTGGAGTTGTCAATACCCTCTTGATCGTGGATATTATAGCGCCTGAAGCGACTCCGAATTATTTATCATAAGCCTCTAATTGACGTTCCTTTATCATTTTATTTTTCTGATGTACGATTTCATCTTCTATGCCTCTGAAAACGGCGTTATGGGGGATGTCTGCGGTGGATTAAGTATCAGCTTCAAGATCACTTGACATTTAAATTTCTTGCTTCTAGTTTCTTATATTCATACATGTACGATTATGACACCAACAAGCCCTGGCTACCCTCTGTTAATAGACAATTCTTGCCCAACAGCCGTGTTTGCGTGACCCGTGGTAAAATAAAAACCTCTAATACGCAACCACATTATCGAACTCCATCCATAGTACTAAAAAAATCAGGGTATAGTCGGTTATGTACTGATTTAGAAGAGTTTTCGAAGGAAGTCAATGGCGAAAGGAGCTATTATCACAATATAAATTAGCATCATTCTATTGCTTAATGGATAGCAAACAAACCAGTACTTACAGAGGTATAGCAACACACTTCCTGTGGCAACCATCTTGAGGGTTTCAATAGCTTCCAATTCTCCAGCCTATATTACATATATCCCGTAAGCTATAGTTCGGATTAGATGGCCTATAGTCTCACATACCTTTATCTCCTCTGGAGAGACTGTTTCTTGACCTATAAAACGTGTTAGCAAAACAGCCTCATGTTTCTTTTGCTGCAAGTAGGACCCTGTATATTTACCTGGCATAAACATATTGGTAGATCTGTCGAATATACAACGTATCTCCTCTGAATAGGCGGTATTTGGTGTTAGTTGCTCTATTCAAGCGTTTATTGTTCTTATTAAATTCAACTTCAAGTTTTTTTTTCTATTGAAAGTTCGCAGCTGCGCACAGGCCAAGTCAACCTGCTCTGGGAAACTTCACTTCAACTTTTTTTTTCGACTTCTTCAACTTCTTCAACTTCAACTTCTTGCGCTTCCTCGCCTCTTGCGTTCTTATCCTATTTGCTTCTCGCAGGCTGCTACACTATCCTGTGGTATTAGTCTTAGTACTCAGACAGAGCTCGAGCCTGCAGCTATCCGGCTTAACTTTCTGCAACGCGCAAGACCGACAGGATGTCAGAATCTCCAGAACCGCGCCTGGACTCACCAGCCCTCGATAAAGACGAGAATGAAGACGATGTTGCCCTTGACAAGGACAGGGATATTGCAGCAGATATATCCGACGATGAGTCGGTTCTTTCTGATGTTGACGAGGCGCAATTTGAAGATTTCGACCCTGCAAATGTCGCGATTGATGACCGCCCTGCACTCGCCATCGACGAAGAAAATTTAAAACTGGTTGGTCGCCATAAACGCCGGAGAACCGAAGAAGATGGAGATGGTCAGACGAAGAAGAAAAAGAAGGAGGGGCGCAGAGATAAGAAAAGTCATAGAAAGAAGCAAGGAAGTGAAGAGTTCAGTGGCGGAGAGGAGATGGACGGCAAACGGAGGAGAAAACGCAGAGAGGGAGGAGGAGAGCGGGCTCCTAGACAGAGCAAGAAGCAAGCCGAAGAAGAGATCGATGAGGAGTCCTTGGATCCTGCTACCAGTGAGTACACACCGACCATATAATAGCTCATTCAATTCGCTAACTGGGCTGTTCAGGGCGACGCCGAGCTTTGGACCGGATGATGGACGAAGCACTGAAGAAACCTTCGAAAAGACGCTTCAAGAAGGCAGATGGAATCGTGGGTTACCCTGTTCTTCCCTTCTGGCTCCTGTTAACACGGTTGAGTTATAGGACTTGGCGGATTATGCCGATGCCGAAATCGAAGACGTTCGCAAGCGTATGACCGATGCAGCTCGTCTAGACAGTATTGCCCGCAAAGAGAATCGCCCTGCAATGCACAAACTAAAAATGCTTCCGGAAGTAGTGTCTCTGCTCAACCGGAACCAATACGTCAACAGTCTTATCGACCCGGAAATAAACCTTCTGGAAGCTGTTAAGTTCTTCCTCGAGCCGCTTGATGACGGTTCCTTGCCTGCCTACAATATCCAACGAGACCTTCTCGCGGCATTACTACGACTGCCTATCAACAAGGAAGCATTAATCGCGAGTGGTATTGGCAAAGTTATAGTCTTTTATACGAAGAGTAAGCGACCAGAGGCCGGGATTAAACGCCAGGCCGAACGTCTCCTCGCCGAGTGGACCCGCCCTATCCTCCAGAGAAGTGATGATTACTCCAAGCGAGTGTACGAGGAGGTCGACTTTGACCCTAGGTATGTTCCCCAAACCTTTGAAGTTGTGTAATATAATTCCTAATACCTTCTTAGTCAACTTGCCGATCGAACCGTATCGGCTGAAGCTTCAGCTGCCGAAGCGCGTGCCAGAGAGCTGCTTCCGCCTCGTCTTGCCAATCGTGCTCGTGTTGAAAGCAGTCATACTACCTATACCGTTGTACCACGGTCTACTGGCTTTTCCGAGAGCAAGTTTGCTCGCCCTCTAGGTGCCAGCGGAGAAGACAGATTCAGGCGCATGAAAGCCAGACAGATCGCTGCCACGAAGGGATCGAAGCGCTAGATTCGTCATTGTTTTTTTTTTCTTTCGCTCATTAAACATCATAACCAACTACCCCTTCCCTTATGCAAAGTTGACTTCTTGCTTTATGTCTTTTTAGCGATTCCGATTCATTCCCTTCTACCTCTGCGAGGCCCTTTTTTCTTTATTTGTTCTCAATCTTTTGCAATGAAATGTAATTCTAGGCGTATATGGAACTCAAAGCATGAAAATACAACAATAATTAGCTGCACTTGGGCGAATTTGGATTTGGAACTGAACAAGAAAGTTCATCGTGGTTAAATGTACAAATTTGCTAATGATCCTCACGGCAACTTCAGGGATACGTCTTGCCCTCGTCGCACACTCGTTTAAACACTTCGTTGGTATGCTGCAACACCTTCTCGACACCGTCCTCAGTCCTTATCTTGGATAATTTTTTGTTTGCAGGGAACACCTCTCCGTCCCAGTTCAGCAAGTAGCTGCCACTGCCCTTTGTCTCATCACTGCCCAACGCCACGGGACCTTCCACGCTGTCACCATCAGCCTTGGGAGGGAACCTGTTACTCGTCGCGGCAAACAGATGCCTCTCTCCACTTTCCTCAAGCGGTACCATGAAGGGCTTTAGCAGCGTTGGCAGGACGGCCGACAGGAGGCCTCCAAACGGGAGGCCACGCAGCAAACCTGTGGCCACGCCGGAAGGATATGAGTGGACGAAGGATGTGTGTGGGTATTTCTGAGCCATGCTTTCGATGAAACAATTGGCCATGATACTGGCGTGTGCGGCACATTTACTGAGGCTGAAGGTATCCTTCAGGCTCAAGTCTGCAAAGTTGAGGCTACCGGAGCCACCGGCGCGAAGGGATGCATGCGGATCTAATACAGTGACAACACGGGACAGCCCGGCATTATCGCCATCTTGTGCCGCTGCGCTTAAAAGGGGCTGGAGGTTGGTGATGAATCTCATCCGGGCATAGAAATGCAGCACGAATTTTCGATCGAGGCCTTCAGCCGTCTCGTCCCGGCCTTTCATCGTGAAGGTGCCAGGAGTCATGAAAAGCAGGTTGAGCTTCTTTTCCCTAGCTGTAATCTCCTTGCATACGTTGTCCACGTTCTTAAGGAGAGATACGTCGGCTTGGAGAAAGGTGGGCTGGGCTGAAGGGTTTATGTCTTTCATCGAGGCAATCGCACTGTCTGCAGCAGACTGACTGCGCCCGATAAGGTAAATCCTGGGGGATGTAGAGTGGCGGGCGAGGGCGAGGGCAGTTGAGAGAGAAATGCCAGAGGTGCCACCGACTAGAAGACAGTTAGTGATATTGGCCGGTGGAAGGGAAATTCTACAGAAGAGCAATAATAAGGACTCACCAAACACTGCGACAAGACCTGGGCCTAGCGACTTGAGTGTCGCATTGTGGGCTTGTACGGTTTGCAGATTCACCATGGTTGCTTCGTCCGGATAACCTGGTATATATATAAGGGGGGTATATGGGCTCACTCTCTACAGCGAACAAAGGGATATCAAAGGCAAAGCAGAGGTAACGGAAGTCGTTGAGGATACGAACTGGCCATCTTAGAACATCCAGTGCGAACTCGTGGACTTTATATACCGTCGAGAGGAGCTGAAGCTTTGTAGTCCAGAAGCTTTTTTGGCTGACGAGAGCCACTTTTTCTTTTCTTTTTCTTGACTTGGCTGAACATGAGGCGGAGCGCTAACATCTGCATTCTTGATGTCAACATGTCATTACTTGTGGGTATATGTTTGAACTAATCATCTAGAGGGTGAAACGATGCGCTCGGAGGAACGGAAGCAAAGTGGCACTCGTTGAAGCCTCGCAAAAGTCGACCTCGTCCAGCAAGACATCTGCGGCCCAGGAGGCAATCTTCGCCGCTCTCTAAAGTACCTATATGCATATGTTAATTCTAGACGAATGTCGTTTATGCCACAGAGACCAGCAAGCTCTTTAGGATATGCGGAAGTACAGTTGACGAGGCCTGAAATCCCGCGTAGTGCAAGCTCTCTGGTTTCTATTCGGGCTTCCTTGATGATCAAAGATAATAAAGCCATCAAGATTATTTCATCGGTTACTTTTCTCTGGTACCGTTTTATCATGGGAATTCCAGAGGATATCCGCCCTAGCTGCTTTGTATGCAATTATACCCTGAATCTCATGAAACAGACGCTCAATATCATCACTGCCGCTTCTGCACTGTCTACTAGCATTGACTGGAATTATGCCTGGCATAGCTTGTTACAAAGTTACAGCAAATTTACCGCCAAACTTCGCTGAGACTCTGTTCCAAGCTGGGAACTGTGGTGCTGCAGCCTTTATCCTTTGGTCTATAGAATACAAGATGGCATATCTAGCTACTTGAACGGAGGGAGTATATAACTACAACACCTTCCTACGGGTTATCCATATGAAGCAACCCCAAGAGACAGGCCAGCATCGAAGCATAGAAGTCAGTAAGTTTACTCCATGTTTCCAGCGAAAGAATGCATTCGTATAACATATAGATTCACACAAAAGTCTTGTTTCTTTTAGTTTCCCGGTCCACTTGATTGAACCTTCATTTAGAGCTTTTTCTTATAATATTTCTATAGTATATAGTATAGCTATCGAGCCACTATTGAATCCACTGCATCGCCTTGTTAGCTTGTACAACTGTACCAAAGTTACTCATTCTATTGCTGGTACCCAGCTTCTAGATTTATTGGCCTTGGTCTACTGTTTTCATCTCTCCTCATCTTCACTAAAGGCGACAGATATGTTGAACTAACACCTATCTATAGGACATGAGTTTAAAGGTACAGGACAATCATGTCTGGTTACATGCGACATCAAACCATTATACTTGCCCTGTATATAGAATTACTTACTCATTACTTCCCCTTCTGACTGCTGTTCAGGTATTTAGCAAATCTTTACATAAGATCTTTTGCCTAACTTCGATGTATATACACTAATTCTCTTCTTAACCTGGCTTGTAGAAAGTAACACCGAAAACATGACGAGGCACAGCGTCACAGCCTGTTTAAGTCTGGCAGCCACAAAGCCTACTAGCTTATAACATTCATATTCGTTTTGAATCCAGAGGAATGCTATAGGTAGGCTCCGCGGACCTGAATTCCCTAACTGAAGCATTAGAGTGACGAGAAGTCATGACTTATTATGGGTAGCTGGTGTTGATTCTACTTATCTGGGATTGCTACTATTTACGGTTTGTCACTGCAAACCCTATTAGAATCTTTCTGCCTGGACCCACCGAAGCTAATGTAGCTTAATTTGACCACGCCTCGCTATGTAGGTAGCTGAGCTGCCCCTGGGCAACTTGTTCGAACCTCGATAACTGGGTCATATACAATGTCGTATCAGGCGCAAAATGTAGAACCACAGAAGTGGAAAGTGGGAACAGATAAGCGGAAGCCCACCCGTCGTGACCCGGAGAAGAGGCGGCAACAAAATATTCGAGCACAAAGAAAGTACCGTGAGTGTATATTCTCTCTGGGTTTGGAATGTACGTAAATGAATAATGGAATTTATCTATTAGGAGAAAAGCTCCGTGAGCGTATGAGCTACCTAGAAGAACTTGCAGCCTCTACGCAGAGCGGTAATGCTGGGACAACACCGGTTACTGCAACCAGCCAACCGGAGACAGTTGAAGCTCAAGAATCGCCTAATATCCTAGAAGATGCCATTTCGGATGGCTCCATCTCTCACAGTGCTTCTACACTGTCTGTTTCCTGTTCCTCACCGCCATCATGGGCCCAGGCAGAATGGCAACTCCTTCTTCCCCAGCCAGACGATATTCAAGGATTGAATACATTGGGCGATTCTACAATATATACTTCACAGCTTGATGATACGATATCACCTGAAAGTATGCGGAATTCTACAGCACTGTCTTCACCCTCAAACAACCCTTCGCTTGCGTTAGACACCTGGGGATCTATGATAGATATGCCTGGTGCTTCATCGACACCAAGCATCCCTACGAGTGTTGATGGCTCCCTTATCATATATGATAAATATGACCATTGCTTTCAATCAGACTGGGCTGCTACTATCGACTGCGGGTGCTCTAGCCCTCACTTCCAAATCGAGACGCAAGGCTTGAATCCATTTTATACTGGCAATATAAGGATACTCAGGTTCGAACGCAGTGCGGCTGATCCGTATGCAAACAACCTTCGCCTTGAACAGTTGTGCACTTTATCTGCAATCCATGATCTTGGATTACATGTTGGTATCAGTGAGGCAGCAGTGTGTGCTGACGAGTCCTTGTCGCCGTTTTTCAGGCCCATAATGGAGTCTACCGATGACACTGACAAAGAGAGCGCCATTACCGAGGTAAAGCAGATGTACAAGGTGCTAAAGCCCGACTTGAGGCCGAATTGCGAACAGATTACCATCCAACATCACCCGTATATAGATATCCTACCCTTTCCAACGCTGCGAAAGAATCTCATCACCCACCAAGCCGAGGTGGATGAGGACGAGTTCTTCTTCGATATGCTTTCCGGTCTAGTGTGCTGGGGGGGTGCGGGAATCGGGAGGAAGGACCGAGATAGTTCCACAGGGTATGCTTCCACTGGAACACCTTGGGATGTCCGTAGCTGGGAGGCAAAGGCCTGGTTTCAGCAAAAGTATTGGAGTTTACTGGGCGGTGAAGATGGGGAGCTTGTACGGCAGAGTGAGTGGTGGTGCAGCATTAGAGGGGACTGAATACACAAGGTGTGTGTTGAGATGTGATTCCAGGGTCATCACGGAGCTTCAGATACGGCGTGGTTATCTCGGCTATACGAGATCAGGACCTATATATGGAAGCAACAGGCCACCAGCAACCAACGGGGGCAGCATCAATACGGGCTTAGTGCTCTTTTATAGCAAACGAAACTTTCGAGCTCCAAATGAATAGGCGATTTGGGCATCTAGGCTCTGATTTGCAGTTCAGACACAAATGCTCTATACAAAGGTCTCGGACACACACACTCTCCCTCCCTCTCTCCCTCTCTATCTGCCTTCCCATCATCAAAATGTTCAAGTATCACGTGATATATCTTATATAATCAAGAGTATTATATAATCGACTATATCTTTGTCTTTTTTCCCCTTTTTGGTTATATTTTGTATGTTGAGAAGAAGAAGAGAAAAAGAGAAGAAAAGAAGCTGAAGTGTATAGGCGTTAAAAGCCAGTTTCCCCAAAAACCCAACGGCAAGACGGCTGATTTGGAATTATTTTGTGAAGCACGAAAATCCGATGGGCTGATTTGTCTTAGCTAATCCCGTCAAACCCCGAAGCCGAGTTTTTGCCGTTGCAGAGAAACGTCATAAGCAACGGAAAACTTCATCGTGGAGCATCTTTTGTATCAGCAGACTTTTACGCTCTTCAGCTTCTTCTTCTCCCTATGTAACGATAGAACAGTCGCATCTCTTTGCGTTGGGTAATCTCACAAGTCTAACAGTCTTTCGTTCAACCCGCCACACACACATACTGCAAGATGAAGCTCCTTACCAAAGAAGTTGAAGATGCTCACAACAAGTCAGCCATTCTTCCCTTACAGACCGATTCATCATTGATACTAATAATTTCTCCAGGGCCGTCCTCCAAGGAGTAACTATCGGTGGAATTGCAGGTCTCATCGGCGGCTGGGCCGGTGTTCTGATAGCATCGAAACGATGGGCCGGAGTCCGGAACCTCACACTCCCCATGAAAGCGTTCCTGGTGACCTCGACAGGCACGTTCACCGGCATCGTCGCGGCCGACCATGGATCCAGGTCATTTGAGAGGAGCCAGCGGCAGGACATGGAATTCTTAGAAGACCGTGAGAACCGATTGCGCCAGCAGGAGTTGGCAGAGATGAGCATCAGGGATCGTGTGTTTGAATTTGCTCGCAGGGAAAAATATAAGATCGTCGGCCTCACCTGGATCGCGAGTATGGCCGGTTCGTTTGCTCTCGTTAGCCGAAGCCCATATCTGTCTGGTCCACAGAAGATAGTGCAGGCTCGTGTGTACGCCCAAGGCCTCACTCTGGCTGTTCTTTGTGCTACTGCCGCATTTGAGATCTCGGATCAGAGGAAAGGCCGCGGCATCGCAGATGCTGTGAGGGCCAGGTCGAAAAAGGACAAAAACTCTCCCGATGACCTGTGGAAAGATATGGTCGACGCAGAAGAACATAGAATGCACGACCAAGAGGAAAAGGTCAAGAATAAGCAATAAACAGTCACCGCACTCTCTATAGTGGTCCCTGCTCTTGCTCTACACTGTTATTTTGACCGCATTTTAGGCGATAATACGATTTTTCGAAACGCATGCTCGTGTACATTACTTCACTCTCTTTCACCACCCAACGGAGACACTTCGCAATAAATCTCCTCTCTCGCGCCTAGTCCTAAGGATTCCCCATTCCGGAGTTGCTTCGTTTTCCCCAATGATGCCCATGTACTAGTTATACCTGTGTCTCGGGTTTTATTACCCACGTTCACTTTCCTCCTTTTATTCACTTTTTGTAAAGGGACCAGACGGGGCTGCATTTCTTTTGTTAAATTGACGATCTTCGGGATAAAAAAGGTGTTCTTATGACTGTAAATATTATATGTTGATTGTCCATTCCCCAAAATACAGCACTTCCTAATCAACAATAGATTATATACATGACAAGCAGATTGTTGATTTGTATATAGTATTAATGTATTAACCTCTCCACTATGCTAAAACCGCCAAACATAATTGCCTTCTAGTTAGGTAAACTCCGAATTCCAAAGGGTTAACTCGGCGTTAGAAGTATATACACGTCAAAGAAACAAAAATAAAGGAACAGAGTATAATACATCGCGGGCCGAAGGAGAAAAAGGCGTATCACATGGATAGATCAACTTCTTCATGGAGCTTTGCGTCCATGTTAGCAAACGATCGAACAACGTTCATGCCCCGAATTCGCTCCTCTTCGATCCTATGCCAATCCCAGGCACCAGCCTTCTCAGAATTTTCGTTATTTTTCTTCATGTTGTCCAACATAGCCTGATCAATATCCGAGTTCTCTGTCAGAGTCAGCACTTTGCGGAGAAGAGGCTCGTCTAGGGATTCCCCAGACCCAATGGCCTCGCCATTGACAGGGGTATCAAGTGCTGTCGGCGGGGAGGGAGCCTCCTCCCCAGCTGGCCGCGGGGGCAACAGCCCACTGGCTCGCAGCACGTTCTCAGGGCGAACAGTTTTCCTGCCTTTTTTCACAACATACTTGCTCACGCCAACGGCAAGCAAAACTTTAGGCTCCCCCTTTCGTTTAGGGAACCGGAGGAAGAAAGTCAATATATACAGCCATTTTTCATCCCAGCCCGCAATTTTGGTCCGCATCTCATATTTTTCGAACGTTTTGATTTCCTTCTTGAACGTGCAGTATACAGATCCCAGCATCACGGCAATCCTGCCCGGGTACAGCTGCTTGCCATTAGCATCGAGCTCCTTGTTCATCTCGCGCTTGACAAGCTCAAGGCCAGGACTATACAAGTCTGTCACCAGGGTTGTACGGGCAATATCGAGATCAGAGAAATAGGTACTGTTTGATTTGTGAATATTGTAATCTGTCTCCCATAGTGTTGTCCTGCTCGTTATACTCGACGGTACGAAGATGGGATGGACATGGCCTGGTTTGGTGTCCTCTTTCGATTTGGGATTCGGATAAATATGCTTTTTTATATTGATGCGGCTGAGTAAATGGTAGAATAAACGAACCTATAAGATAATTCGAAGGTTAGCCGGGTCAAGGGCAACAGACAAGGGTTGCAACTGAAAGCAGAGGAGTTTGTAGAAAGACACAAATTGGAGGAACAGACAGCGCATCAAGGGTAACCTTACATGCCACGAAAAGGGTGCGGACTTGAGATTAAGTAAGATATATAGTAAGGCCAGATTTTTCCAGGTCAACTGCGCACGAGCTCTTTTGATGGCCAGATGAATAGCAGCCAGAGCTACAGGAACCGATAGCACTGTCATTGTGAATCCCGGTGCAGCAGCCCTCTTATGCTGTAATAGGAGTAATTCAAATCCGTTGTAGAGGAAGCCGTATCTGCGCTTCAGCCTCAAAAAACCTTGGGGGAATTCTAACTCGTTCAAGGTATATATGATGAGAAATAAAGAAGCTGGCCGATGGAGTAGCCAAAATCCCCAAGGCAAACGAGTGAAAGCTGCAGCAGCAAACGGCAAAGACAACGAAAGGAACCAAGAAAGAAAAGAAAAATATTAATAGATTGAATGATGGCGTTTTTCTAGTTCGAGTAACTTTTTGCGCGTCATTAGCACGGGCTTGTCATGTGATTGCGTGCCTCGGCATATACAGTAGCTTAGTCATTATATAGATGCCCTTTTTTTGGTCCGTTGATGATCGGTAGAATTTAACAAATCAATATATGTACAACAAGGGCTAGTTAAATTATACGGGACTGTGTGGCCGTTTGGTACACGTATGCAATAGGTATTTCATGTGTTAATTTTGCATTTGTTATACTATGTAGTATTCATACTAGAATATTGACCCGAAGCTAGGCTATCTCGGAATGATAAAATAAACCCTGAACGCTCATTTATCTGGGGTTGTCACAGGGGCCGGTAGCAGCTTGGCCTAATGCCTTATGATCCGCCATATAGACTCGACAACTTGACTGCCACTCCTTGTAAGGGCGTTTGTATCTTCAGTTTTCTAGTCAAAACAAAAGATTGCTCCCTTTGAGCTTCGAATTAATGGTTGAATAAAGAAAAAAATGTATAAGGTAAAAGAAAAGTGAGTTCTAGCAAACATACCATTGCGCTAGCATGTGAAATTTAATAATCTAGCCTCCTTTGAGCTAAGCGTTCCTCTCACGCGTAAGAGAAACAAGGTGGTCACGTATATTTCCATATTCAAAGAAACTTAGAGGGAGGTAACCATTTTGGATGGAATTAAGGGCGGCCGATGATCCAGATATGTACTGGAATTTTTCATGCGTCTCCATTGCATTCTTGCAATCACTCGGTGAGCAACGTTACTCAAACGGACTAATATCTGTATCGGGTGGAGTAATCTGATAAAAAGGGAGCGTTAGTAAAATGTATATCTCTTAAACATATAAATAGGGCCAACCTAGAAATCAACCACTTACCTTTAGGACTGACAACCAAACCTCTTCCTTTCTTCGCACCTCGATAAATCGCCTCGAAGATATCGATCAACTCTTGCTTATCCTCCAACACCCAGTTGAGCTTGTTGTTGTTTCCCGTCCCAAAATCACACATCATGTGTTTATTACGGAAAAAGAACATTATCGTCATGGGGTCGTAGAGTTCGTACATCTGGATGAAATCTGGCACCTGGTCGATATCACAAAGGTAAATCACGGCGAAGTTCTTGACCCGATCAGCTATTCGGTAGAGGACTTCATCCTGTCTCATACCTATATTAGTGTGCGCGCATAGTTAGTTTCTTCGCCTTGCATGGTTGATAAGTAGAGGGGGGCATACAATCCTTATCCCAGTCACGGCCAAATCTAATGACAACCAAACGCTCCTCCTCGGAAAGAATAGCTTGGTCGACGTGCCAGGCGGTAGTAAGATGGGGAAGGACGACGGAACCCATTTTTTCGATTTGCTCTCTCGAGCTTGATTTGACTCAAATGATGTAGTCGAAGGAGAGGATCGTTCAAAATCAAAAGCGATGATAAGAAGGTGGTTAGGCACCTAAACTTCCCGAAAATGGGGCTCTTCGGAACTTTCGGATTATGTTTATTCCGTAAGAGTGATATCAAACCTTAAATTGACCTTCCCAACCTACTACTTAATGAATTGTGCATGGGTACATTCTCCTCTAGTAGGGGACTATTAGCTGCGTTTGATATTCAGATCATGGTGATACCAAAGTTTCTCCTAAGAGCGTCATTCCGATCTATTGCTTCTCTTGTTCAAAGGCGTGTCCCTATTACCTGCCGCGGTGGGTAAGCTATCACCTTATTACTTACTATACACCTAGGCTGATATTAATAGGCAAACCTATCGGTCACGAAGAAATTTTTCAGTATAACAATGGGCACTTTCTCGTTGACGAAGAGTATCAGTATGCGAAACGCTATATTCGATTCAATATTGATAAACTCTGCAATCTTGTCACGTCAGTTGTTGGAAATGGTATCTCATCAGTTTCCAAGGTTGATAAGATGGAAGGGGGGTTCCATAAGGCTCTCTTAATGACGCTTGAGAATGGCACTGAAATTGTAGCCAAGATACCCTGCCCTCATGCGGGATTGCCGATGTATTCAACTGCATCAGAAGCTGCCGTGTTAGAATTTGGTAAGCCAAATTCCCACTTTACATAGTATATGATATATTCTCTAAGCCTTTATAGTCCGAACCCATACAACTATTCCGGTTCCAAAAGTTTTGGCATGGAGCTCGGACCCCAAAAATCCAGTCGGCGCAGAATATATCATAATGGAAAAGGCCAAAGGGGTTCAGCTACATACTGTTTGGGGTGATTTATCCCAATCCGGCCGCCTAAGAGTTATAGAGAGCCTTGTTCTGATGGAGAAACAACTACTATCCTTCCAATTTCCCGCATATGGCAATTTATATTTTCGTCATTCCATTCCAGAACCATCTTGTGTATTTCTACACAATGATATTGACCCTGCTGGTTTATATTGTGTGGGGCCAGCGGCTGATAGTGCGTGGTCAAATGATAATGTACTCAAAAAAGGAATCGAATCATCCGAATTCGATAGCGGACCTTGTAAGTCTTCATATAAGCTCTATTTATAGAGGTCTATTCTTAACATATTCTTAGGGGTGAATCTGAAGTGTTTCGGGGAAGCTCTTATTAAGCGCAGCTTACTTAAGGGGTTTCCATCCAACGCAAGAAAACTTTCTGCATGCCAACCTATTAACTACGGTAGTTCGTCTTCCCATAAGAAAGTGCTGGGGTCCGCAATGGCACTTGTACCTCCAATCTCAAGCCATCCGATCCTAGTAGCGAACTCTTCACCTACATTACTGCACACAGATCTACATATGGGAAATATATTTGTAACAGAAGACGGGCCGATAGAAGTCACCAGTATCATTGATTGGCACTCCATTACCATCGCGCCAAAGTTCATACAAGCACGATGGCCTATCGTAGTGGAGCCTTTAGATGGTTATACCCGTGGCATAACCCCTCCCGAGCCACTACCTGACCTCGAGCAACTAGACTCAGAAGAAAAGAAAATAGCAATATTCACTCACGAGCAGAACTACCTTGCTAAGGCTTATGAAGTTTGCACGGCTCGCCATAGTCTTCATTTACACAACGCGCTAGAGGTTCCACAAATTCTAAAGGAGATATACATTCGTGGCGGGGAAACCATAACGGACGGGATATTTCCACTTCGTTCCTGTCTGGTTGACTTATTCCATTATTGGCAAGATTTGGGCTTTTTAGAGCCCTTTCCGATAAAATTCACCGAAGACGAGCTCTCACATTATAATAAAGAACTTCCTTTATATGAGGAGTGGTACACTCTAAAAGAAATCGTTAAAAAAGCCTTGAACACTGACTCAGAGGGTTGGATATACCCGGAACTCGACTGGGAGGAAAAGAAACGTCTTAATGAAGAACTTTATCAGCTATATTTAAACAATGCATTGGCTGCAGATAGAACGATGGAAGAAACCAGAGCAATGTGGCCATTTCCTATCGAGTGATGAGGAGCTAGTCGAGGTATTGAATGTCAAATTCTTTCTCCACTCCGAGTTTGTTCGTTCCTGCATCTCCGGCTCAACCTTTTACCTCACAATTCGTTCTCTTTAGTTCCGTATTATTCTCCCACCACTGTCCTAGGAAACATGGACCTTGAATCTTCTCAGTTCAACGCCATTTCAGTTTCTTTAACCACCTTCTCAGGCTGAGAAAAGTCTTCCACGAACGGAGCTTCTTCACCAAGCCCTGGTGGCGGGAAGACGTAAGAAAGCATGGTCATCCAAAAGAACCCCATTACAAGGCCAACAAAGAATGTAAGGTTGAATAACTTAACCCAACCCTGTAGTGCCGGTGATTTTATTTTGTTGACGGTTGCGATGAGCCCAGCTGTGTGGATAATGGGTTAACTCACTCCCCTTGAGTTCTGCCGTTAAGATATCTTATTAGAATAAACTTACGGATTTCGGGCCATATACTGAGAGCAAACGATACGGCACCACGCCAGTTAAAGCCATGCCAATACCAGTATATGGAAGATGTATCCCCTTTATACAAGTCACATATACGCAATCGCTGACGCCTAATGATGAGGTAGTCTGATAGCATGATACCACTATGGATGAATGAGCTTCCATTTGATATTAATATTACCTTAGGATTAATAGCTTACGCCAGAGGAGCCATGAATATTCCGAAGCTGGAGAGTATGGTAAGAAACTTATCCGCGCTGGTAAGCAGTTGCCATGGCCTTGAGAGGGGTCAGTACTATGGAATGCAAAGTTGGACCAAACGCGGAACTCACTGAGATACAAGGCCAATGATAGCCATAAAATAACTTCCTCTCCGAATGTTGATATACTTTGGCTGCAGTCCGGCTAGATCCATTCCGGCTGACACAGAGTTCAGGACGAGCGAGATCTACATTCTAGTCAGGTGTGTCTCGAATATGAAGAGGGTTGGAATAAGTTCATACAGCAAGCTGCGTCGAAATGGTCCCTATAGAAGCAAAGAACACGCCAGCCCGAATCCGTGGACTTGAATGATAATGATCCTGCATAGTAGCAAGGAGCTCGATAGGATTCCAAATAACTCGACCAAGAATATCATTTGCTGCGCTGGTAACTATTATACCAATCATAGCTGTGATAGTAAGGGTAGCCGGCGCGGCAATTAATTGAGATAACGATGGTGCCAACGGACGATTTGCATAACGAGTCCAGTCAGATTGGCTCAGGGTCCCTCCACCCCACGCTCCCAGGATAGATGATATGCCAAACATCATACCCCATCCCACCGAGTCTGTAGCTGCAGGTTGGTGGAACATCGACCCAGGTCCCCCGGCAGTTTTTACTGCCCTATGAGGTTAAAAAAAACTGCTGTTAGAAAAAACAGTCATTCGCAAAGGAAGGATGCCGCTCAAGCTTACCAGGTCAAAAGACCAATGCAAGTTGTCCCGAATAAGATGAAGGAAATACCAAAAGGAACTTGAAGCCGCTCAGGCGAGATCAGGAGCAATGGTAGGAAGATAAGGTACCAGATAACCATTCCGATGAAGTCGTTGGTCAATAGGTGTGAGCTCTCGGAAAAGCTATTCTTTAGGTGCGCGAACCCTGGAATAACGGCTCCTATTAGGACTCTGGTCGCCTGGCCTCCCCTGTTTTAATATGTTAGTACTATTAAGCCAACGAGAATGTGGTATGTCCTCTGATCTCACCAGTACGACTGTATCCCAAACCAGATACACCCTAGGAAGCATCGGAGAATGACAGGGACTGCGAACAGTATCAGCTCGGTTTCTCCACTAAGGGCTGCGGCAAACGTACAATATGCTCCTCTCATGCCCCATGAGAATCGTGAGGCAACAGTGAACCCAATGTGGTGTCGCTCGCCCATCCACCCGCAAGACACAGCAAACAGGCCAGTGAGTATTCCTCCAATAGCCTACTTACGGTGTCAGCCGACGTAGTTGGAGTCCAAGCAAAAGAGGAACATACAACACAACCAATGGCCTGCTGCGGACTAAGTCCAAATGCTAGCAGGGTGCTTCCGATCGTCCATGCTGAAATGCATGACCCAGAAACCATCCAGTATCCTACGGGAACTCAACGGTCAATCATTTATACTACTATATAGCAATGACCAGAGGCTCATCCTACTCACCGATGTAGCCCAGAGCACCCCAGGTCCGTCGCTCGGGAGGAATGGGTATCAAATCCCTATTACACCATATCGTGTTCTTATAATAAGTGTCTTCCTCTATCGGTCTTTTGTAGTTCCCACTACGTCAGCAAATATCCCCCTTAACAACGGTTATATTTACTCCCCGGGCTGTAACTTATAAAACAACTCACACGGCAAGCTTGCGCTTTAACTTCTCCCAATCCACCATCCTCCTGGAATAACGAATATACCAATACACAAAGAAGCACTTGGATTACTCAGACCATGCGGAGCCGCGTGTGTGGGGTTTCTTTATACAACGAAGAATCCGGGGTAAACAACGCAAGGAGACAAGGATAAAACGGCTCTATATCTACACTTGTATGCGTATTAGCAATGATGAATCCAGCGATGGAGAATCCGTTCAAGGGTAAGATGGCCAGCATTCAGCCCGCCATCCGTCGCTTTCGACGAAAAGCTGCGGGATCAGAAAAGAGAGCCCAGACACATACCCAGTATAACTATATAACCCGTCAAATATCGACAAAGAGCGATTTCTGGAACGCAAGAGGACGACGGCTCGTATAGACGGGAGCAACTCTTGCATTGGGCGAAGTTTCGTCAGTCGACTAATTCGATGTTGTCGAAAAAGCAATGATCAAGGTATAGCCTGTTCAGCCACATAGGATCTCCTATCTACAGGGCTTGTCCGACCATGCTGGATAGGTCGAGCCTCTCTTATTCATATATCCAACAAGTTCTTCGAACTATATGCATACAGGATTTCCTTATTGACTACGGATTACTCTCAGGCCATGGCGAACAGAGACACTAGTACTGTAAACATCTTCTATAGCTCTTACTAGTACGATGCCTAAGTAGGAGCAAGTTATTATGTAGCTTCGCTAGTTTATAGAGATTTCTCTCTCAGGCTTCCTTCTTGTCTATTGTGCACCTTCTAGTTAGTTGAATATAGCTACATTTGGCCAATTAATAGAGCAGACGTTAGTAAAGGGGCAGGTGGATGTTCGATGCGAGAGCTTGAATACGTCAAGCCAAAGAAACAGAAGACTCCTGAAACAGCGTTCAACCTGATTCTTAAGGTCACTCTATAATGCTTTCTACAAGAGATCCCCCCCGGTTTCGTAACCACTCATGCAAAATAAAAATTAAATGGTGGAAGTTGATAAATGCCCGTTAGTGAAGGCGTAATGGGGAAAAGGAACGGAACAAAATATGAACAGCAGAAGGAGAAAAATGACAGGAGGAAACAATGGCGATATACCCCGGTTTGGCAAGATGAAGTGAAAAGGGAAGAGGAATATATAGTATACCATTACAAATCATCGTCATTGTCATCATCGCTCGTATCAGTGCGTCTTCCTTTGCTCTTGAGATTGGATGACATTTCATATTCTTCAGTGCCCCGAGCATTGCGGCCCGACATAGCCATGGCCTGGCGCCCAGAATCAGATGATTCCAGGAACTCTCGGAGACGCCGTTTACCCTCTTCGACGGCCTGACGAGAGGCTGCCTCTGCCATGTTTATCATTGGGCCCCAGAGGTTAAGTCTGAAAGTGACGTAGGCTCCAACTCCAATGAGTAGGAGGAATATGAAATATATAGGGTTTCGAAGAACTTCATCTCTGTTAGCCGGGTGGCGGTATTTTCGAGAGGTAAACAATGCACTTACCAGCGATTATTTCGTTCCAGCCCAAGGCCAGGAGAAGGCCGTAGAAATACAAGGGGACCTGCGTGATGCCACCGATGGCACTTCGTTTCGCTTCAACGTACACTCCATCGGCAGCTTTCTTGAATCGAACCGTCAAATCCTGTCTCTTAGCTTCGCTGAGCATAGTCATCTCTTCCTCCAAGCTCTTGCCATCATCTTCGTCCACCCCGCCAATTGGTGCAAGGTCTTCTTCATCAGCGGCACTGGCAGAGCTGGGCATATGGCCAACCCACTTATCCAAAGGCGGAGGTGCAGACGTCTCGTTAAGCCTAAAGCGAGCCAGGAGTGGGATCAAGCTGAGCGTTGACTCTCGTGCAGTTGTATAGATACCTTCGATATCATCAGTAGGCCGCCAAATCCGAGGAACGCCGACATCGTCATAACGGAATTTATCCTCGAAGTTTTCACGTAGTTTATGAAGAATGTTGCCCTCCATCATCTCTTCCTCGATCTTGGAACGCAGTACACCCCAGGATTTCCGTCGTAGCCTCCATAGGCCAACGTCGACCTCCTCCAAGCTCGCATCAAAACTCCTAGCTCGTTCTGTGAATCTTCGTTCGGCATCCAAAACAGTATTTACAAAGAGAGACCAGATTCTATCCCAAATGGTCTTTTCGCTTGGCTTGTCTCCGTTCTCCGGGGCCCGGGAACCACCTCTGCCTGATCCAAGGGCGTTGAATTCAAGGTCGATGGAGTCGCCCAAGCGAGATCTCACCCATCTTTCAACTCTAGTGGCAAGTCGCCTCATCTCATCCTTCCTGAGCTGCGAGCTGATTTTCTCGAGATCTTTCTGGAAGAGAGATAGCTCCTGCTTGTAATCACTCCACGGGGCTCCCTCTACCATTGTGGTGCTAGCCTCATTTTCAAACTTCTCTATGGCGAGTTTCCTTTCCCGAGTAACAATTTCGGCAAAATCATAACTAGCCCCTTTCTTCTGGCCTGCCTTGACTGCGGCGCTGACTGCTTCGCTGAATTGGGTAACACCAGATTTATGAGCAGCGCTGAGTTGGCCAGAAAATAGGGCTTTAAGTCTCGTGTCTATCTTCTCCTCTAGTTCGGATTTCTTGGTCATGAAAACTCGCTTGTGGTACCGGCTCGCCTCAGTTTCGAAGCTGGTCATTGTTTTCCCACGAGCTGCCCGCATAGCCACACCAAGGCTACCAAGAATTAGCGGAATCCCGGATCGAACTCCTTCAGCTTGTTGCACTTCAAAGGGACCAATGGTTTCGTCGAATAATATAAGAACCTCTCGCGCAATTTCATCGCAGCGGAACTGTGCAAGAAGCTCTTGTTGAGTAGGTAGATCCAGATCCTTATTATTCACGATTTGGTCCCAGATTCCTTCGGCGTAAACTGCAAAGCCATCGGCCGGAATTCGTCGATGGTACTCGGGTAGGAATACGCCGCCCTCCACCGCGGTACCTTTGGCAGACGTACTCGAAGGGTCACGATGGCCATCTCTGAATCGCGTACTGAGCTTGTCAACTTCTGAGGCAAATTTCTCCGGCTGGAAGCTCTTATGAGGCAAGCCTGCAAACTCAAAGTCGAAGTAATCTTCAATGGTTGAATTTTCTGTTCCCTCTGGTTTGGACAACGACATCCAAATTCGTTGGAGATCCTGCATTAGGGTATTCCGTAGATTCTCGAGTGGGGTTGTTCCCACAAAATCGCGGATAACAAAAAAGAGCAGAGACCTGGGTGTGGATCTATGTGAAGGGGAGAAAACATTGAATGTCAGCATCCCTTTGTAGAGAGGAGTGAAATGGTTTGACGTACTTTGTATCTTTGAGGAATAACTGAAGATTCACCTCAAATACTGTCTTTAAAAGACCCATATTTGCACCCTGGTATAAGCCGACCTGGTGCTCCCAGATATTGACAATAAGTACCTCACTCGTTGCAAGTGCGAAGAGTGCGCTTTTGCGCTCAAAGTCCTGGTCTTCACCGCGCTCTCTACCGTCGGTTCCTTCAACATCCATTACCAGAACATTATCCGCCATCTTCTCTTTTTCGTTTGAAGCAGTGCGTTTGTTTTTTGAGAGCCATATTCCCTTCGTTGTCTGACGCCTCTCGGTCTCAGACATGACACTAAAGTCTGTTTTAAAAAGGGTATTCAGGAGGGTTGACTTTCCGGTGGACTGTGAGCCGAAGACAGATATAAGATGGTAATTAAAACCCGCTGGAGTAACATTCTCGTGGGCCAGGTATTTGGATAAATTAGGGCTATATGCATGCGGATAAAGGTTAGCAATCAGGTACTATATGTTTTTGATGGAGTGCGTATGTTTATGTCTTCCTCAGAGGCCATTGCTGTATTCCCTGGGTAGAGCGCGATCGTGCTTAACAAGGGTGGCGGACGTACTTGAACTCCTTATCCCCGTCCACTACCTGGACACCATGCTGGTAGTTCCCTCCGTCAACATCTCCCACAGAAGAGAAATGCCCGTTTGAAGCCATTATCGGACCCTCATCCAAGTATTTATTTTTCCCTTGATCGCACTTCGACAAACAGGTGTCAACCTGGGCCGCGGGCTGTCCGGGCAGGCGCTTTAATGACGTATCAATGGGAACAGGTAGATATTATATAGCGTCAGTCGGAAAACGGTAAGGAGTTTCGTCTCTGGGAAGATATAGAGTCAGCTTCAGTCCTCTGTTTTGCCTTGCGCCGGCGAGTAGAATAGTTTAAGGAGGCGGGTGGCTAGTTTTCGGGCGGAAGGCACCAACAATAGAGCTTCAATGATAACAACTTAACGCAGCAGAGGCATTGATTCCATATACTCTCTCTCTCTTTCTCTCTCTCTCTGGTCAGCAGTCGGTGGCTGGCTGTATGTTCCAGGGCCTGGAGGTTGTTTAGTTACGCTGTCCTTTATTTTTTTTGCCTTCGACTTCAGCTTTTTGGTTTGGATCAGGAGACTGTGGCTTGGCGTGTTGACATCATGTTTTTATAAAGACGCCGCGTGAATCCATCAGATGATGAAGGCGACTTGGAGAATCTGACTGAGTGATGAGCTACGATATGGCCTCTGATTCAGGTGATGGTAAAAAGGGAAGAAAGAGCAGCCACTTGTATATACTAATTATTATATTTATAGAGATAATGTACTATTATTCCAAGATTAAGTATGGACGACCGCAACTTCTACCATCCCATTATATCTCCCCTACCAGTCTCGCCTCCGTGTCCGGCTTGGATATCGGTTGTGGCTGCATGACCGTTGCTGAAGTACCGAAATCAGTCTCGTCTGTACGCATGAAGACGAGTATACGAAAATATACTGCCTCCAGTAATGAAGAACCCACAGTATCAAGGCTAGATATTCTCTGGCCAGTGAAGTGAAGAAGTAGAGTGCATTTCCAGGGTCTGGCCTGCGATTTTTCTTTCATGAGAGGGTAAAAATATGTGTTGCCATGTATATCACCGGCCTGATGCTTCGATTAGCGAACGTGGAAGGTGTGTCCTTCATGCAGAGGCAGGTTTCATGAATAACTTCTCTCGTGGCAGGAAAAACGAGCATATCACCTGAAGCGACCCGGCTGCGATCATAGATATATATACTTTCTTCATAGCTTCCACAATAGCTTTGATAGCTAGTGCCTTGACTTCCTTAGAGCCATTCTGAAGGATAGCGGATTGCGTTCCAGCAATGGCGGCGATCAATTCCGCAGCGGTATAGCCTCGTCCAGCCAGGTATAGGGAAAGGTTCTTGAATGCCAGCTGCTGGAAGATTGTTCCGGCGACGGTAAGTGAAATGGTCTCCGCACCGATTTGAGCCAAGTTTATATAATTGATAGCATGCTGAACCTCATATTCTTTGACTTTAGCCGCAGCAATCCCGTAGGAAGCCTGCACACAAAGCCCTGTACCTATTCCAATTATGATACTGTATCCATAAATGTTGGAATCGGGCGTATCCACTTCAACTGTCGACATCAGAGTGGAGCCTACCACTATCAGAACACCACTTATTGTGTAGTATGGGGCGTAGTACCCAACTAGAGGCATAGTGATACCCTGAATCATTACCGACACTATCGCAAGAATAATTAAAGGTAGGAGGCGGACCGCAGCATCCACGGGACTGTCGCCCCGGGTGAACTGAAAGAATAGCGGGATATAGTAAGCAGGCACGAGGAGGGCCGAGTTCGTGCAGGATGTGCTAATGTATAAGAGTACCATCACCGAACGTCTCAAAAATTGAGCTGGAAAAACGCGTCTCTCTAAGGTTGTGAATAGAGGGACGCCTTGTTGAATGGCAAAGGCAATGAAGACCACACCGAAGACCACGAACGAGGCAATTGTGCGATAGTCGGACCATCCCCAGAGTGTGGAAGCAAATGTCATTGGGATTACCCATCCAACATATATTCCGGCGTTGAGTATCATTCCAATAATGTCTAACTCTTTCAGCTTTTGGAGGGCTTTATTATGGGAACTTGGTAGATAGTCTGGAACCAGGAGTAGCAGCACGGGAGCCTTCACAGCAGCTAGAACAAGGTTGATATAAAAAGCCTGAGTAGTTATATTAATAGGCTGCAAGGTACAGTAAAGAATTAAGAGTGTGACATACCCATCTCCAAGTAGCTTTACTGTGTGCAAAGAGACCTCCAATGACAGGACCGATAACAGTACCAAGTCCCCAAACGAATCCGGATGTACTCACGTAGAGTGGCTGACGCCTCTCTGGGACAAAGACAGAGAAGTATGTAAGGACCCTAAAATCTGTTAGCTTCCGTTACTAGATATAGAGATATTTATACCTACCCTAGATACATCCCAGAACCGCCAATCCCGGCAACAACTCGTCCTATAATCAGTGCATTCATGTTTGGTGCCGCTCCACAAAGGGCACTTCCGGCCTCGAATAGGACAATAGAAGCAATATATATAGCCTTAATGCTGAATATTTTGTATAATGCGCCGCTATAAAGGATTAGCTCTGGGAGTTGGAATATGAGAAGGCCCAACATACAGGGGAAGAATTGTTGCAACGGACCCCAAGGGAAAGCCGGATCCTAGCCAGCTAAGTTTCTGAACAGCACCAAACTGCTCTACAACTGGCGCTTGGACATCCGCTACGATGGTAGTATCCAATCCATAGAGAAAGGCTGAAGCAAGTAGTACAATAACTGCAAACGTCCACTATGCTACGTTAGAACACTCAATTTGAACCCCTGGTATACTTGTGCATAACATACCGCCCACCCTTCAGGCCTTCGTGGGAGCCCACCCCTCTTTGCAGAGCTGCATTCTTGGTTATTTATGCTGTCTCCATTTTCTCTGCCCTTCAGGCCAGATGTCTTTTCCTCGTGGCATTCATGTTTCAGCTCAGACACACTCTTCTCGTCATCATGGAAATATAGAGATCCAAGATCATTAGCGCCTGTACCATCTATGCTAGCCCCGGAATCCATCTAAAATAAAGGATTCAGGTGATATCAATCCTCGAGTGCCTAGAAGGTAAGTTCGTAAAAGAAACGACCTATGTATGTAAAAAGGCAAATTCAGCAATGAGAGTCTACAATTGACTCTTTAATATCATGTCACCCACTACACAATGTGGTAAGAGGTGAAAAGTGAGAAAGTTCTTCAAGCGTAAAACATTCATAGCTTGGAGGTGGAGAGGATTTATAATCATGACCTGGTCCGACTTAACAAGATTCTAAACAGAAGCTCCGCAGGTGAAGGTTCTGTCATTGGCAACGTTGAAAGTGCCTTGGCAAATCCACATTGCTACTGCGGAATTATCCCCAGAGCCTATATAAGTCGGATACCTTTGCAGGTGTTTTGAGGCTTTCCGTTGCAAACATAAATCTCTGTATAGATGTCTTCCGGGTCATTATAAGAAATCTGATCCAGAATCGAGCGTTAAGCTAGGAAACACAAAATCGTCTGTTGGCAACTTAACCAATAGTAGGCGGCTATTAATCTCAGACTGCATGTAACATAGTAGGAACTGTAGCCACCGAAGTAGGCAAGTACAGCCAGTAACGACACTTGGCTGACATGCTGGGTCATGGAAATTTTTTTTTTTTTTTTCACTCTCTTGATTCGACCAAGCTTGGAACTCCGTGTGGGTCGATTTCAACCCATGGGCCAATTAGCTATGGCCGGGAGCGAAGAAATCACTGTAGAATAATCACTGGGTATCATGTATAACCCTATCAACTTGCTAGGAACAGTCTCGGGATCATCCTTATCTCAACATCGTCGAAGGCGAACGAGATAGAAAATGTTGAAGTCGAAGCATTTGAAGGTGAATTTGACCTCAGGTTGGACGGTTGAGGTCGGACCTGCCCAAACTGTAACGGATTTAAGCTTATCCGACGGAAGCCCGTTTGAGCCTGTTTGGCTTGTTTGCATTTAGATTATTAATGAGTTACTCAGCTTTGCCAACCTCCCTTGTTGCTTCCGCTCTTCCTCCCACTATTGACATCCATCCAGGTTAAAGTCCATGGTTCGATTTTCTGGCAATACATCGAAGGAGTTGGTGTTCTTTTTTAAAATCCTCTTTCTCCAGGTAGTTTTTTTGCTCGGAAGCCGAAGTTATTGGTCACACCAAGCTTTCATCAGACATGACAAATGTCTGTTTGAAATGAAATTCCCTACTAACGTTAATTATGTTTTGTGAGATTATCTTCACAGGTTTGAAAGATTAACTCTAGATATGCACACAGACGTTGTCCTCAGACATGCTGTTAGAACTTCCCGAATACTGGCCTTGTTATTATTTAACTGTTGAGGAATAATGGTGGGCGAGTTAGGGGACAGATACATCGACTAGTCATGACCGATAATCTTCGGAGATTTTCCAGCGAGTAAATGAGGACATTAGAGACTTATAGCTATAATACATCCTTTCTCGGGCGGATAGTAGTTTGCTAGCATTGGGTAAATAATCTAGAATATAAATATCAACCCAATTCACTTGCCGGCCTTTATTTGTCGAACCCAACCTTTTACCTCACAATTGAGACCCCTTAATCCACGAACTATACTATATATTCGCAGACATGGCATCTGGGTTGTTGATCGATCCGATGCGGCTCCTCCGCCTTGCGCCTCTCATCAGCAGCACGGGAAGCGTGATGTACTCGACCTGCGAACTCATCATGAACTCCGCCTTCCTACACCCTGCGGTTCGCAGAGAAGCCGACGTCGTTCTCCCTCGGTGGTTCAAGACAGTATTCCAAAGTGGCGTCACGATAGTTATTGGACTAATAACCATAACCACGTCCACATCCTTAGCCAACATATACTTCTCATATGATAACAACTCCTCGATTACAGAAGGCATTATGGCTCTACCGTTCAGTGCCAAAATGTACGCTTTGGGGGTGACATGCGCCTTGGGTCACTTGACGTTCATCCCATGGGTTTCCCAGCCAATTGAACATTTGAAGGAAAACACATCAAAGCGAGGTGGTTCAGCAGAGATGGAAGATTGGTTGAGCGTGCATAGAATTAGATGGACCCTCGCGGACTTCCCCGCCTGGGTGGCCTTCTTTTTGGCTGTTTTGACATTTGAAGGAACTCTTTAAAATCCGACATTCTTCAGCTCCGAAATTCTGGGTATTTTGGATGTGTATTAGCCACGCGAGGCTGGTTATATTTATTATCATTTCTGAGCCCGAAAGGGTTGAATATCCACCAAAAAGATATTTGATCAAGTTAATATACAAAAAGTAATTCCAACTTTCCTGAGCACATAAAGATAAAGTTCAGATTTTGAAAACAAAATGGAAATAGTTGTCGCTTAATAATCAAATACTACAGAATCTCTCAGACAGGCTGAAAGTTCTGTCCATCCATCCAGTCGAAATTCCAACCTTGTCCAAGAAAGAGGTCTAAGTTGAGGTTCGGGTTACCAAATCCTCCAGCGTCGTCCATTAGATTGAGGTTTAGGTTGACGTCAAGATTAGGCTCGGGCAAAGGAGCACCATTATGTAAATGTGATGATGAGCCGGTAGGAGTTTGGAGCTGGTTGTTGTATAGAGACGGCAAAGAAGGGGTGTCTTGCGGTGTAGTATATCCGCTTGAGTTTGTGGAAGTCTGCTTCTCCGGTATGGAGTTTGGCGGACTCATTTGTTGCTGTTGCTGCTGAAACTGATATTGGTTTTGCAAATTTTGTTGTTGTTGCTGTTGCTGTTGCTGTTGCTGTTGCTGCTGTTGCAGCTGCTGCTCTTTAAGCATTTTACCGGGGACTATATTGACAGATCCAAAATATGGAAGAATAATCCTTCGGGCCTGGTTGCAATTTTTTGTTTTGAATCCAGACATCAGTCTTCCGTCAGCATCTCGACAAGCACAAAGTTTTTCAATAACACTCGCAGACTGGTAGCTAACGGAGTCTTCGGGTAGATCGGGGTCGTGACGAAGCATTCGTGCAATGGACATGGCCGACCTCCAATCAGCGCGAGTTTGCGGATCGTCCGCAAAGGGAGAGCCAAGTAGGTGGACAATAAGGAGGATTGTAGATGTAAAGACCTGGAAATCGATCACCTTGCAGAATATGCGGTCTGCATTGCGCATGTCGTAAATGCCTTTATAACACTCGATAGATTGCCTTGCCGATTCAAGAGCAGCATTATGGCAGTATTGGCATCTCTTGTCGGTATTTGACTTCAGCATGAAGGGTAAATGCAGTAGCATCCGCACGAAATGGTGGGCGAATTGTGACCAGAGGCGACTGCTCTTTTCTGTAGGGCTTAGCTGGCTTATCTGAGCTGAATCCCACCAATCATCTCCCATCTGTTTACCCATTGCCTCTAGCTCTTGATCGATTTTCAGTGTAAGTGGTAATGACATATTGCCTCCATCCTGGTTTCTATCAATGATAGACCCCAATGGAATGCAGACACGTAGCATGTACGCTTCACCGGGATCCATCTTCTTGACCTTCAGCAAGTGTGTGATATGGGGTATTAGGAGGTGAGTCGGGACTGAATAAGGCAATCCAAGTATTGAGCTCTGATAGAGGTCTGAGCACGCAAGTCCGCACCAAATATGCAATTTGCGAACACCCAATTCATCATCTGGGGCAGGGCGGTTGTTCGAGAGATGTAGACCAGATAACTGAGCATAATTTATACCCCGACGTGTCAGCAGCCATGTTTTTCGTGGGCGGCCGATGTTGCTTTGATATTTGCCTGCCATATAGATACATTCTATGCCAGATAGAGATGAAGCAATGTCGTCATCATCGATAACGTACTTCTGGACAGCAGCAACACATTGCTCAACATACTTATCCTTAGTCATCGGGACCTTGAGGCTCTGGAAATCAAATTCTACGGCACGTTGCTCAATAGTCATGATGATGCTGTACAGAAGCTTTCCAATATCAGCCGGGTTTTCGAGTGCCTCCGGCTTGAATAGCTCCGGAAATCTGGCACGCCATATAGTCCATAGTATTGCCGTTGAATTCAGCAATCTGTCTAACTGAGCAGGGGAAGGGAGAAGTTCCCGCAGTGCGAGGGCCGCGCGCCTTTCTTTTATAGCTATCGGGTCGACAGATCTCGAAATCTCGGAATCAATATGCTTCTCATCTCGAGAAAGTATGTGGTTATCAAACAAAGTCAAAAGGGGGGCAGCGCCAGGGCCCGTTCCCCCCTGATCTGTTGATTTGGACCGAACCGGTATAGTTTCCGGTATTGTTTCTGGCTGACAGTTCGACAAACATTTGGTATCTAGCTTAAAGGTTAGCTCAAGGAAAGAAGCGATAAGGCATTAATATATCCATTTGCACCAACCTCGATCCATACTTTCCGTCGGCGACTCTATGTATGACCAGTTTGAGCCCTCCTTCAGTATACCCTTGTCGCTTTCGTCCATTCGCTTCACCAACTTGCTCACAGTGTGCTCTAAAGCAGCTACCCGCTCCCTTAGACTGTAGCTCTGATCGCCAACTCGAAGCTTAGCAGCTTCTGCCCTCATCGGTGCATGTTCTTGATCGATGCAAGAGGAGCCTCGCGCATGGCATTCGTTGCATATCCCCGGCCGAGTTGGCGCATAAGTGCAGCGAATCTTTCGACGCCGGCCTAGCACGGCATTAATAGGATGGTTCTATGGGAACATTTCTCCATGTATCTTCTTTTGAAACGGTTGTAGATGTCAGAATAGTATGAACGCACATTCATAGCAGCTCTTTGTCCCTTTGCGCATCTTCTTACGCTGCGGCTCCTGGTCGTGCTGTGGCGTATCCGTGTCACCGGAAAGGGCACGACGAAACGGTTCCATGTTTATGGGTCTAGTAATAATAGAGGTTGTCAGGAAGGCAGCTCTACTTGTCAATACCAACAGGCAGCAGTTTAGCTGCCGCAATGTGGCGGCTCTTCTTTATATACGATCGAAAGGCCAGCTGAAAGCTTGTTAACCTTGACGCATCATGACTAATCAGGCTATTAATAATGAGTTTTAGGTTTGAAATACTTAAAACTTTAATCTTTCTCTTTCTCTTTAAACTTCGAGCCAACGCGAAAGCCGAGATTGATATATACTGCGTAGCCTTTAGGTTGACTACAAATAGCGACTAACGACTGGAGTTTAGAGTACAGAAATATATATTCTATTAATAATATGTATATGCCGTTAAAACGCCTTTTTTTTGCTACGTATCAATTACATAAATCATAACCAGGAAGAGATGAGATGAAAACATGACAGGTAGGGAAATAGAGAAAAGAAGAAAGTTGGGTATATCAAGCATGTCCAATGGCAGCATTCTTGTTCTGCAGCTTATTTAGGTTGATCGGTTTGATGAGGGCTGAAACAAAAACGGAGGCTCCTGCAAGTGCTATACAAACAATAAAGGTGACCTTCAAGCCATCTCCGTATGCGACGAGAACTCCCTCCAGGTCCTTCCCGGAGAATACTTTATGTAACTCTGAGGCTCCGGTTTTGATCACTAGAGCTGGGTTCACCTTAGGTGCCACTTGAGGCAATCTATTAAGGATTTTATTGACGAATGCGGTTTGGGCGGCAGATACCCAGATGGCGGCCCCCATGGTCTGTATAAAAAGAATCATTGCGGTTGCACTGGAGAGATCTTCAGGGTTCGCCAGAGCTTGGCTAACGATGACTGGAATCTGGAGGGCGACACCTCCTCCAATACCGGCAAGGATCTGATATCCAATCCAGGTACCCGCTGGTGTGTCGATGCCAAAGGTATAGACTAGCCCAGAGCCAATAGTGAGAACAACAGATCCAAAGACCATAAGGTAGCTAAAGTGACCGAAGGTAGCAATTAAGCCTCCAGAGATAGTCGAGAAGATACTGACTGCCAGAACGAAAGGCAGGTTCCGAATCCCGGAGTCCGAAGCCGAAGTATGTTTGATTGCCTGGAAGTATATGGGGAGGTAGTAGATCAGGACGAAGAATGGGCCGGCGAAGAAGAAGATGTAGATGGAGCTGATACTGATGTTCCAAGTCTTGAACAGTCGAGGTGGTAGAAGTGCTCGGTCGCCCATCCACCATTCATTTGCAATAAAAACAATGACCAGCAGACCGAAAACAACGAGTGTACCGATAACAGTTGAGTCAGACCACTTCTTGGTGGTTCCTCCCCACTGCATGGCCAGGAGGAAGCTGACTACAGCTGCCATAATTGTGAACGTTCCAGCCAGGTCCATCTGCAAGAGCTTCTCGCGAAGGGGAGCCTTAACCGGTCTGGAAGCGGGCGGGGCCGTGAAGAAAAACAAAATAATGGCCGCGCTAATGCCCCCTACTGGGAGGTTAATGTAAAAGCACCATCTCCATGATACCTTATCGGTAAATACACCACCAAGGAGTGGGCCAATTGCACTGGCCACACCATACGTTGCTCCTAGGATACCTGTGAATGCGGGTCGTTGCTGAGGTGGAACCGAAAACCCGATGATCGTGTAGACACCACCAGTAAGACCCGAAGCGCCGGCGCCAGCTATAGCTCGACCAACAATCAAGGTAGTGCTGTTATTCGCGACAGCACAAATCAAGGAACCAACTTCGAAGACAAATATGGCAAGCATAAACACCGTCTTTAGTGGGAAATACTTGAACGCCTTCCCCCATGTAGATTGGAACGAAGCCACAGTGAGGAAAAACGCCGATCCGTACCAGCCCACTTGATCTAACGATTTGAACTGGGCAGTGATGGTGGGGATTGCGGTAGCAACAATAGTCATGTCCAAGGCGATGAGAAAGATGGAAAGGATAAGAGCCACAACAATAAAGGACAGGGCAAATTTGCTTGGGTATTCTGTTCCATCTTCGTCTTGGTTGGGTACAGCGTTCTCTACACCTGGATCGCTTGCCTTTTCGGCTTCTATTTGAAACGATGTCGAGGAGGGGTTGTGAGACCCCTTGGGAAGGCTGGTGGCATCTATCTGTGTGGTATGATCAGACAATGTCGACAGAGGACGTTGGGGCGTCGACCTTTCGGTCTCCAAGGCAGTATGCATTTTAAACGATGAGGACTGCAGCTTTTGTGTAATGTCGTCTGGTTGAAAAGTAATTGCAATCGAATCTGAACTGACAGAATAAGTGATATCGACAAAACTGTATATGTAGAAGTGCCAATGGGCTATATGGAATAAAGGATATAATGAGATCCGTTCAGGAGAAGGATCTCAGCAGAGCTTTATATCCAGACAACTCCATCTCAGCCTTGGATCGAAAAATCCTTTGGCTGAACGATCGACAGCCAACCAAAGCCGGCTGCGGCGCATAAAGCTCATGCCATGAAGGTCCGTAATGACGTAAAAAAAAGCAAAGATAATGATACTTGAATCATTATCGTGAGAACAGAGAGGATGCCTACTCTTGCGGAACATCGCTCCGTGTCGTCGCCGTAGCCCCGTCTCCTGGAAGGAAGCCGCTGTGAGCCATGTGTGTCAGTATGGGCAATCTATTCGGAATTATGGGGAAGAATTCGTCCGCCCAGGGGATATCTAATCTAAGCAAACAGGAAGATTCGACCCGAACCCAATGTTCGAGTCATAGAACTAGTTAAGTTCATTCCAGACCAGCCGCATCCGAAGTCCCTGCATGGGAATCGCCGTTTTGCCAGGAACCTGGACATAACGAGAAGTTCCATGACCCCATAACGCCAATAACAAGCTTCGTTATTAAAAAGTAATGGAGATAATGTTATCTCCTTCCTAGTAAAGCTGGCTAATAGTGAAAACAGGTAAAGGAGCAAAGGAATTTCTCAAAAAAGAAGCTTTTGGCGCGGACAGAAGGTCGGAGATAGCGTCAGTATGACTAATACGTCCGTGGCTTCGTCCGTTCCGCTGATTAAGATTAAAGTCCCGCCGCAAAAAAGTCTGTGCACTTATCTTGCAATAGTTTAAGTCTTCGTAAGTGTCTGCCTAAAGTACAAGGGTTAGAGGAGTTCAGGATGGACGTCCTCCGTGTGATCCAACAGGATCCGATGGATGTCTCGCCGTGGGCAAGGAACAATTCCGTATGCTATCCTTCTGGATACCTTATATAGGAACTACAAGAGAAAGATTTACATCCGACAGCCATCGCCTACACGACGAGAACGATGGCTATCACCGAGGTTGCGATTCTGAAACTCAGGCCAGTGGCCCTAACAGCCTCCAACAAGCCCAATGAGACGACTACTGCCTTTCTCCGGAATGCCAAACAGAGTATGGAATCCTACACTGGTTTTCCATTCTACATCTTCACCCAATTAGAAGATCCCGCTCACGTTTACATTGTGGGCAACTGGGAAACCCTGGCTCAACATTACGATGATTGGATTCCATCCGACGCGAACCAAGGCCTGCTGGAGAGCGGCAAAGACCTATTTGATATCGCGGGACTGGCACACCTCGATATTGATCAGCAGGAACTTGGAATCCCGTCAGATGCACCAGTGGTCTCACTTGGATGGTTCTATATGCTTCCCGGCCAGAGAGAAGCGTTTGTCAAGGCCTGGGAGGGAAACGTTCCCTATCTGAAAGAACTTACTGCGCCATATATAGTCCGAAGCGGCTGGCGTATTGACGGGGAGAGAAAGGTCGAGGGCAAGGAAGCGGTTGCTGCGGAAGGAGAGCCCGAGTTTGAAGAGTTTATCGCTTTCACGGGCTGGCGGGATGTCGGCCATAATGAATCGTATGCACAGTCGGAAGGATTCAGCCAATACCAGCAGCTTCTTGGCTATGCCACCAAGGTTGAAACGAAGCGCCTTATAAAGCTGGATCTATAATGATAAACAACCAGGATGTTGAAAAGTTTTTCAAATTATGGAAAATAGCAGTACACGCTCAAATGCCAAGTGATAAATTCCTATATATATTATAACCCCTTATCGCCCGTTCAAAGTAAAGCATCATTCAACTGCAACAAGGGTTACTTGGCTTCAGTCAGATAGAAGCATACACCCGCTCAACAATATCGATGGAAGTTTGCTCGTCCAGGATTGCCCCAAAACTGAGAGTAGTTGTAAGCATATAGTAGCAAAGACTAAAAATAATAATAAAGGAACAGAACGAGGGACGGACAACTACATACCCAAAGCAATGGATATTCCTGACCAGTTCTTCACTTATCCTTTGTAGGCCTGGAGGATCCAACTGGTAGAACTTGGGGTGATCGCTGATAAGTCGCCATGCTTGTACCGGTGTAATTTCTCCGTCTAGATTAAGCGCCCCTGCGAGCTCAAACAACCTCTCCAGTTCGCTAGCCGGTATCTCCCACGTAGATTGGTTTTGCAGGACTGGCGGGCTTCCAACAAGAAGCGGCGCTTGGAGAGTAAGCGCGTGGCCCGAGAAACCTTCCTTCCCAAGCATACGGTGACGCAAACAGCAACGCTCAAGGCTATGATACAAGTTAGCTGAAGGCCGTATCTTCATAATGATTTGGGGGAATAAATGGCTGGGGGCGATAATATTACAATAAAACAAAATCAACAGCAACCTGGGTCGAATCAAAGTGGTATGGATGAGGCTGTATAACTTGCTGCTGGTAGTATCCCTGGACACCTGAACCGTTCTTTGGCCGTATTTGAAGCTCGCTGTTAAAGTCCTCTGGCCGAGGCTCATCAGCCCCAATCTGATTCGTAGTTGGCGACGATATGAAGAATTCCGCTGCCTTATGCAGGACCTTTTGCGTAAGCGTCACCCCAAACCCTTCTGGGTACACTGGAGGGATCTTATCAGGCCCTTCGTCAAGGGAAACTTGCAGTCTCTGGCCAAATCCGGGTTCACCAACCACCGTGACAGTGGCCAGGCGATCTCGCGGTTTGGTCTGCGGAAGCGGGATGCCATGCGCAATCATAATTTCTCGAAGGAGGCTGTTTTCCGATGTCAATCGGTTGGTATCACTGGAAACGGATTCTCTCTCGTCTCTAAGGCGCAGTAACTCTTGTTCAAGAGATTTTATATATTTTTCCTTCCGTTCGCGATGGTTGCTGTAGCCAAAAAAAAAAAAAAAAAAAATCGTCTCAGATGGAGTTACAAATCAAGAGGGTCATATGTTGAAGTAGAATATACCCACCGCTGGGCTCTCCTGACTTGATCCCGCCGTCTTTCGTGCGCTGCTTTGGCCTTAGCGGCGCTCTCGTCAACGACAACTGAATCTGAAGTACAACCTTAGCACATAAACCGGATATAACAAAGGAACAGTAGCATGGCGAGAAGACTCGAATTCCTCCACTGCTACGGCGCATCTTGGGTGATTTCGACATTTCGGACGGGAAATATATAGCTAGTATATACATCCCTGAAACAGCCAGATGCCACAATTCACCTCTCACCAACCCCCTTTCAAACACAAATCTATCTTGGGATGTATAAGAAGATCTCCATGCTTGTTCCATAAGGGGGGGGAGGACGGCGAATAGGGCGCCACAAACAGCCTGTCAAAGACAAGAACGCGAGAGGAATCTCCATCACCAAGACGAGATAGCGGTAGGGAAAAAAGGGGGGGCAACTTATGCACCTGGATTCCAAATGCGCGAGTTTTGGCAAATACTTCTGCGACTTACCCGGTGGTTCTTTGGAATCATTCTTCAGAAACGGAAGTTTCTTTTTCGACCGCTGCCAAAGCGTCTCGAGGGTATCGCCGAACGGGTCAGCACGCGATTGGAGACCAGCGTCCGACATCTTCAAGGCGTTGGGGGTCCTTCAGTCGCTGTCTCGTCTTCGGATGGCCAGCTTGATCTCCTTTATTTATACGGAGTACTCCGTATTTATTCCTGGAACTAGACCGGTGACGCTTGAAGCTGAGGTTGAAAGTTGCTCTCGCTATGTGGAAAACCCTAACACAAATTTATGCGTCTATAGTGGCGAGCTAATATTTATTTGGTTACTTTTGATATCGCTGGATGGCAGCGCTTGGGAGGGCCTTCGATGGAGCCAGAAGCACCAAGTCTTGGTCATCCTGAAACCAGAGTCAGGGGGGCCCATTAATTCAACTGCTGCCATCACAACAACCATCAACACCAGGATACTGGTTACATAGTAGGTACAGCAAGATCAACAACACCCAGAGAAACTTCCGTGATGTGCATACATCGTCCCCAACTAGCATGAAGGATTCATGCACGCCGGGAGCCACCGTGGCATGGGCAGGCAGATCTCAAAGACGAAGAAGTCAATCCCTCCCCCCCATAACCAACTACATAAATATGAAATATACAGGACTTGCAAGCGACTGGATGGACTAATTATAGACCATGTCAGCTCGATCTAAGCTGGGCAAAAGCTCTCAATTTCGTGCAACAACGGGAATCCTGGTCACCAATGGCTGCGGCCCTTTGCAAAATATGCAGTCAACTTGCCAACCGGACTACCAACTGGGAACGCCCACCGATAACGCTCCATGAAGGACTGTATATCTCTGTCCATCTCTGCAGATATGGCCTGCCGCTGGGTGAGAGCCTCCATCTCCTCTTCGGCCACTTCGATTTCTCGCTGTAATTCAACTTCGCCAACCCAGTGGCCAAAGTCGGTTCTGTCCAGCACTACCTCGAATCCCTCGTCAAACTTCCAAGTATCGCGATATGTCGTATACCGTGCCATCACCTCCAAACCGGCTTCTCTCACATCGCTGCCATTCTTTTCCGTGGGCAAATACTTCACTCCATGCACGAGTCGCCGGACTAGCCTTAAGATCTCACTCGGCTCAGAGAGCTCCTCAAATCGGGAATTAATGTAGGTCGAATTTGAATGGTCTGCTCGCACTTTGGCTTGCCAAATGCCGTTTCGTCGCCGCACCCAGACCCCATTCGTTGATAGCTGCCGTCGATAGTCGAAATACAGATCTTCAAAGGTACTCTGACCTACATTTTCTACCTGATGGAATGATGGCGAACCCTTGTTAAAACGAAATATATCTTTCGATTTTGGTCCGCAGCAAAATTTTCGCTCGACCTCGATCACTGAGCGGAGACTCAGAACGGCCGTTGCGCGCATTTTTTTTATGTTCGTAGCTGACACACTGGGACACTCTTCCCAGTAAAAGCGAAGATATCCGTCTTTGAGGTGACTAACCAAATCAATATGAAAGATCAATGTCAGGTAAGGCAGGATAGAGGAGCAGGCAGTGAAAGCAGGGTGGGAGTGGAAAAGCTCTTCATCTATAAACAAAGAACCATGACGCGGCTCTTTGATGCCTCAGCCCGTTCTCCAAGCAGGTCTTGCCACGGCATTCCTACTGCTGGATACACATTTTATATTTGCTAGAAGAAAGCTGTTGACACCGATATGTGACTAACAGAATACAACAATGGCTCTAATATCTATTACTATCATTCATTGCGCTTAATGAAAGTGCATCATTCTTTATTATTCCATTTGCTCTAGTACCTATACTTTGATCTACCTCTCCGTGACATCAACGCCTAGACCAGTATACCCAGCTTTCCTTCCTTTAATGCCGCCGCCTAGCAGGGATCTAGAACGGGTTTGCTTCATTGATAAAGGCCATTGCGGCCTGATGGAAACCGCACCAGTTTCATTATGGTGTCTTTCAAGATGATTTCATACATTCTGTTATTAGAAACATCAAGACATCTACAACATATTTGTGAGGTGAACTGAGTGCTATATATGCTTTGCTCTACCCAGGAATACCCCAGTGAAATATCCATTTGGAGGTTTTTAAGAGACATTCAGATCATATCCTTCTTTATCCATTACGCCAATATCTCCAATTTAAAACAGGAGAAATTCCCCAAGATGCCTCTATTCAGGAGCTCTCCTGACCCCCCGATGCAAAATTCTCAACACATTACCATCTATCTTGCGATTGTCGTTCTCATTCTGACTTACGTATTACTTTCCCGGGGATTGGGGCCGGCCAGAAAACCACCAGTATCGGTGAATTACCATTTCACCCGACAATGCAACAAGTCCTGTGGGTTTTGCTTCCATACTGCTACTACATCATTCAAGCTGTCAACAGAAAAGGCCAAAAGCGGCCTTTCCCGCCTCAAAGATGCCGGGATGCGAAAAATCAACTTTGCAGGAGGAGAGCCTTTCATGTATCCCAAATTCCTTGGGCCTATGGTTCAATTTTGCAAGGAAGAGCTACGTCTGGAGTCAGTCTCCATAGTTACTAATGGCAGCCTGGTGAAACGGGACTTTCTCAAACAGTATGGGCATTTCATCGACATTCTCGCCGTTTCATATGACTCCTTCAACGAGCAAACTAACATCGACATTGGCCGCGGGAAGGGAGACCAAGTGCCGCAGCTGTTTCGCATTGCAGAGTGGTGCCAGGAATACGGCATCAAGTTCAAACTGAACACCGTTGTATGCAACCTCAACCATCTAGAAGATATGAATGCAACCATCGAACGGTTACGGCCCTTCAGATGGAAATGCTTTCAGGTTCTCCTAGTCCGGGGAGAAAATGATTCTGACCAAACATTGAGAGACGTGCGGAAATTTCAAATCACAGATGAACAGTACCAAGCATTTTGTCGTAGGCATGAACACCAGCCATCATTTGTTGCGGAACCAAACAACCTTATGGCTAAGTCTTATTTGATTTTGGATGAATATATGCGGTTCCTTGATAGGGACGGCCGAAAACCATCGTCATCCATTCTTGATGTTGATGTGTTCACTGCTTTGAGCCAAGTATTCTGGGATGAGGAGAGCTTCAAAAAGCGTGGTGGAATTTACGACTGGAGCAGAGAAACTACTACTCAATCGGCTTGTGGGTCTGGAAACAATAAGGATCTAGCATGGTAAAACTTCCTATGTAATAATGGACAAGAATGCTGCTAAAACTGCCAGCCGATGCTGTAGGTCAGTCAGGAAATTGTAATTTTGAATACTTCGTACTGGAGTTTTTATCATTTATACAATGTTATGATATGCCGAAGCAAGTAGAAACTCATAGGCTGAATGGTGAAGATTGAACTGGTGAATTGAGCATACAGTCCAAGAATAGAGTCGAGAGAGCCTATGTATATATCTTGTTGTTACATGAAAGGGCAGGGAAATAGAGAGCAGCGATAATTTTAGCCGCTCCCAAATAAAAAACAGAAACCCCCAAAACTTCATAGACACAGACTCCGTTTGTTCGTTCCCAGGATCCCCCGCTTACAGATGTGATGTGGACGATATTAACAAAAGGGATGATTATAGAAATACATGACAAGAATTCTTTCAGGCAGAATGGATAACATGGGGTCAACAATAACTCCGTCTGAGGCGTTTAGTCGTTTAGAGGACACGGGTGATCAAACCTGTGGCAACAGTTCGGCCACCCTCACGGATGTTGAATCGCTGACCAGCCTCAGCCGCAATTGGGTGGAGGGTCTTGCAAATCATCTCGACATTGTCACCAGGCATGGCCTTCTTGTCTTGATCCTCTCCAGGCCAGCTGAAAGATGCGGCTTCGTCTGCGGTAAAGTATACGAGTTAGTGATGAAACAAAGTGGATGGTAGAAAAAGGGTTTACATACCGGCAGTACGGATGAACATCTGTGGGCGGTACTTGTGGGTGAATCCGTTGGAACGGCCACCCTCAGCCTCGGTCAGAACATAAAGGGAGACCATGAAGTCAGTATGAGCCTTGGTCGATCCGGGAGCAGCAACAACCATTCCACGTCTCAAGTCCTCACGCTTGACACCTCGGAGAAGTAGACCGGAGTTGTCACCAGCTCGGGATTCGTCACAAGACTTCTTGAAGGTTTCAATGTCGGTGACCTTCGTCTTGATGGGTGTATTAGATCCACCCACAATTTCGACATCGGAGTCCTTCTTGAGGATACCACGCTCGACACGACCGGAGACGACAGTACCACGACCAGAGATGGAGAAAACTTCCTCAATGGACATAAGGAAAGGCTTATCAGTGGCACGCTCAGGGGTGGGAATCCAGGTGTCCACAGCGTTCAATAGCTCATCGATCTTCTCAACACCCAATTCTGGTCGTCGAGATTCAAGGGCGCAGAGAGCAGAGCCAAAAATGATTGGGGTCTCCTCACCCTCGAAACCATAGTGGCTGAGCAGCTCACGCATCTCTAGCTCGACAAGTTCCAACATCTCTGGGTCCTCAACAGCGTCGACCTTGTTAACGAAAACGACGAGCTTCTGAACACCGACCTGGCGGGCAAGGAGCAGATGCTCTCTGGTTTGAGGCCTAGAGAAATGTTAGAATATCCAAATTCTTCCACGGCATGTAGGTTTCGCAATCATTTACATTTGTCCGTCAGAAGCAGCTACAACGACAACGGCTCCATCCATACTCGCAGCACCAGTAATCATGTTCTTGATGTAATCAGCATGCCCGGGACAGTCGACATGGGCATAGTGTCTCTTTTCGGTCTGGTATTCGATGTGAGCCGAGGAGATGGTGATACCACGCTTTCGCTCTTCGGGAGCCTTATCGATGGATCCGTAGTCAAGGAAGTTGGCGAATCCCTTCTCGGACTGACGTTTTGTGATGGCAGCAGTCAAGGTAGTCTGTGAACGTGGTCAGTTTTCCACACGAATTGACCGGTAGTTCCGCAGGAGGTTCAATGCAATTCGAACCTTTCCGTGATCAACATGTCCAATGGTACCTATACCAAGCATCAGAATTCTGTCCAGCATAGCCAATTGGACGAAGTTAGTAGCGCGTTAACTTACCAATGTTTACATGAGGCTTGTTACGTTCGAAAGCAGCAGCCATTCCTCGAACAGACATTCTGTTGTGAGAGAGGACATATTGGACTGGATTGACAGCGGATGGCCTCTTAGCGGCGAGCTTGCTGGTCCGTAACAGGACATTAAGGGATCTCTGTAAGGTAGACATTGTGGCAACTCTCCTGGAGAAGGAATTGTGATATGGAAGACAGCTTTTTCTACTCCTTTGTCCGTTCTGCTTTTTTTAACCAGAGAAATTCGTAGCAAAAAATCTGAAAGCTCAAGAGAAAAAAAGTTTGTGGTTGCCAGGAACCTGCTTAGTAATATAGATCATGTGACTAATATCAGGAATTAAGAAAAATGAAATGAAGATGAAGAGCATAGCTTTAGTATATATAGATGGGTTGGTTATATAAGTAGTTAGCTAGAATGGGGGATGTTTAGGGTTGGTTGGCACCGCTGCATTATTTTGGGACGGAGAACCCTGGTGTGGGCGTCGATATAAGTAGTACATCAGTCCGCACTTCATGGACGTGTAGAACAACCTTGGGGGAAATATAGAACAAATAATATAATACACAATGGGTGGTAGGCTATCTCTTAAGGCTCTTGCCTAAGTCTTCTTCTTGTCCAGAACATATTCCATATGCTCCATGATCTTGCCTCTCCTAGGCTTCACCTCTGTAACTCCGATTTCAAATAGCTTATCTTCGATGGCAGCCAAAAGTCGTTGTGCCTCATCTGGAGTGGCTCTTCTCTTCCGCCGCTTCTTCGTTAAAATCAAGGATACCCTCTTGCCCTTGCCCAAAAAGGTCTCCAGTTGACTTAGGCGGTGCTGGAGGTCATGAGGGTCAATTGCCCAGTTTAGCTCTATCTGCTTTATTTGATTGGTTGTCGGTTTTGTCTTGGATGCTCGGCTCCTCTCTTTTACACTCTTATCGTAATCTGTCTTATTCACGATCTTGCATATCGCAGGCTGACCTTCTGATTCCGCTCGAACTTGAATCAGGTAGTTTTGAGACCGATCAAACATAGTTAGAGCGGATTTGAGAGGCATTGGTTCCCCTAACTGTCCATTCTCTTGGACCACCACCACTATTCCACTGGGTATGCTTTCATCTTTCGCTGGGGAAGATCGAGAAGGGGAAGGTGCAGCAGTAGCGGCAGCTGGAGGAGGATAATGCGGGCGTTGTGAGAACCGTAGAACAGAAGTAGACTGATAATATCTTAATTGTCGTGTAGGGAGCCCGTGGAGCTGTTTTGTAGCTTGGGTTGCTGGTGATTCAATGGAGGCAATGAAGGTGCAACGCAGCGCCTGCGCGGCTGAGAAAAGAGGTCGTAAACAGGTCATTGGCCGTCAATAGATAATCCTCGGGCTAAGAGACGGGATCTTGTCTGTTCCCATATAGCTCTTGTCCTTTTGGTTAAGACGCTGGTCTGCAAAATATAATAATGACTTGCTCTTGTTTGTTGTTTAAAAGTTGGAATAAAAATAACTCCAATGCCAAGAATCCGCCGTCTTGGCACTTGAGCCTTGTTAAGACGGGAAATTTTTTGGATTTGACTTCATTTTTCATATGGTTTTTAGGGGGCTCAGGAGGCAAATAATAAAAAAATATCTTCTCTCCTTTTTCCTGCTTCTCTGCATTTGTTTTTCGCAAAAGCTAAAGTGCCGGAGTCGACTGGACCTCACCTTCGTTTTGTATCCTGTCGGTCCATCTCGACAAAGTTTCTCTGTTCCTTCCAGCGCCTTCGTATGTCCGCAGCTTCTGGAGGCAGATCTCACCGTGCAACTTCATCAACGGTAGATTCGGATTTGAGTCTACATCGGAGAGCCTCGTCTGCCTCCAAACCAACCGGATCCAGCTTTGATATTGAAAGCAGCTCGTCAGAACCCATGAAGGGTTCTCCCGCTATCGCCCCAATGACACAAAGCCAGAGGTCACGATACCTGAAGACAGGTGGAATCCTTGCATTTATATTGTTCATAATATTTGTGCTCACCCCTTCATCACGGACGCCACAACTTCCCGTTGCTGGACCAGACTCGTCTATGAAATGCACGAAACCTCACGACTCCTCCAAACCCCTCATCCAATATGCCTTAATGATCGATGCTGGTAGTACGGGATCGAGAATCCATGTCTATCGTTTTAACAATTGTGGCCCAACTCCGGCACTGGAGAGTGAAGAGTTCAAGATGACCGAGAAGAAAGAGGGCGGTTCCGGACTCAGTTCGTACCGTGAAGATGCTGAAGGTGCAGCCAAGAGTCTTGACCCTCTGATGGAGGTTGCCATGAAGACTGTTCCGGAAGAATACAGGTCTTGCTCCCCTATTGCCGTCAAGGCTACGGCTGGGCTACGAATGCTTGGTAAGGAGATGAGTGACAATATCCTAAAGGCCGTCAGAACACGCCTGGAAACCGTCTATCCATTCCCAGTTGTCTCGGAAGCACAAGGCGGGGTAGAAATCATGGAAGGTAAGGATGAAGGTGTCTACGCCTGGATCACGACAAACTATCTGCTTGGAAACATTGGTTCTCCAGAAGAAACCCCAACGGCTGCAATCTTTGACCTGGGAGGTGGTTCTACCCAGATCGTTTTCCAGCCAACCTACAAAGGGAAGGGACCAGATGGCCTTCCTGAAAAGATGCCCGAGGGTGATCACAAGTATGCCCTCAAGTTCGGTGGCAGAGACTTCATTCTCTACCAACACTCCCATCTTGGTTACGGTTTGATGGCTGCTAGGGCGGCTATCCATCGCCACCTTATTGAAACCAAGCACGAGCTAAGCCCCAACGACAAGGGTTGGCTTAAGCAGAAGGTGGTGAACCCATGCATTGTCCCTGGAATGTCTCGCAACGTCACTGTTGCTCTCAGTGATGGCCATGCTCTGGGTAAGGAAGTCGAGGTACTCATGGTTGGCCCCAAGGACCCCTCAGCCGCCCAATGTCGAAATATTGCCGAAAAAATTCTCAAAAAGGACGCAGAATGCAACTTATCTCCGTGCTCATTCAATGGGATCCATCAACCCTCTCTCCGCAAGACTTTTTCCAAAGAGGACGTTTTTATCTTCTCTTATTTCTACGACCGCACTTCTCCATTGGGAATGCCCGAATCATTTACCCTACATGACCTTCATGAGCTAACCTCGACCGTCTGCGGCGGCGAGGCTAGTTGGGGTGTTTTCCAGACCAACAGCACCGCTATGGAGGAGCTAACTAGCCGTCCTGAGTATTGCCTGGACCTTAATTTCATGCTCGCCCTCTTGCATACTGGATATGAAATGCCTCTGCATAGAGAAGTCAAGACGGCAAAGAAGATTGATGGAAACGAGCTTGGATGGTGCCTAGGTGCAAGGTTAGTAGTTAAACCTTTTTCTCTTAACCCTTACGTTCTATAAATGTCGCCGTGCTAACTCACTTCTTCGACAGTCTTCCACTTCTCAGCAAGAACTCCGGATGGGAATGCCGCGTCAAACAAATCTCTTAAACAATGAGAGAAATAGACTATAGATCTTCCGGTTTCAAGATTTTTATAAATATGTTTTTTGTAATGAAGAAAAAATAATTGGATGAAACAAGCTGCGATGCTATGATACCAAAGGGGCTAATATTGTTGATGAGTTTTTCGTACCCTTCCCGTATGCATTTCTTCTTTTTCTCTTGGGGTTAGGTGGGTATTGGTTGCTACGTCCGGTTTCTTTCTTTCTTCTACATCAATGCTCACTATATTTTTACACTAGTTTGCTATGTATTTAGTAGTAGCTAGAATGATATATTTCCTCACTTTTCTATACTGGCCTTTATCATTCATGTCTTGATTGCTAAGAACGAATGTAAACACCGTTCGAAAGCCCAAAAAATACTTCTAGGTTTGTCTGTATCGGTCTACCGCAGGTGAAACATAGGAGGGAAATATTAAAAATTCAGGCTAATAAATAATACACGAGGCAAGTAACGAGTGAATTTCATCCTGGGTATATATGTAACGAATGGAATCATTTCTGGTCTGGCTGCGGATCAAGAGTCTACCTCTTCAATATTCGGTTTTCTGGGAACAGATTTCTTTCCCATAAGTTTGTCAATAATATTTTTCTCCTGTTTTGTGTTCTTTTCGGCGCAGTCACCACTTTCTGAGCCTTCACTAATATGATCATCTTCCCCTTCTTGAAGCACGCCCAAACCAAGGTTCTAACATAAGAGTTAGTAAACATTATCTCTACTAGGACGATTAGAAGGAGAAAGAAATATAAAACTTTACCATTTCAATATATTGACCCTTCCCTTTATCTGCGTTGTCTACTTCAAGGGTCATCGTCTTTCCAGCTGCAATTTCTCGCTCAAGATCTTCATTCGCGGCTTTCAGAGACGGTATAAAACTTGCAAGCCTAGCACGTAGGGCGGAATTGTTTGGAATATTGGCAGAAGGCCTTGAAGGTATGTGAATCGTTTGGTTATGCATCTGTTCATCATCGTCAGATGGCTCTTCATCCGAACTCTCATATTCGGACTCAGAATCCGAGTCCCCCGAAGAAGCAGATGGTGATGTTGGATCCGAGTCTGATAACTCGGGCGAAGAGCCCTCAGAAGCTATCTCCGAACGAGTTGCTAGTTCGGGCTCTTTGGTAGCTGAGTTGACGTCTGAATTTCTGTGATCGCTATTTGATTCACTCAATTGGCTCTCATTACGGAGAGCCCATGTGCCAGTTTCTAGTCTCGACCGCTTTGAAGAAGAGCATAAGCCTTGATCAGGCCCTATCCGCCTCTTCGACGGTGACTGCGGTACGTCGGCCATTTTATTAAAACAACAAGATGAGGGTATGAATAGAGGCCCAGTAGCGCAACAGTACCAAAACAAGAGAATCCTTAATCTGCAAGGAAATACTTCTTGTCCTATTTCGATTCCCTGAAGTATGCCTAAGCCATTCTTCCAACATATAACAGTAACAGAGAAGTTTGTATCAACCCGGCTCCCTAAGATGGAAAAAATCCAAAAGAATGACAAGAGAGATAAAAATATTTCGGACCTTCTGAGAACAGGGTGGTCGCTAAAGGGTATATTAAATGTAGCTATCAATATACGTGAATCCGATATCAATTTCTCATCGTGTAGTTGTTTCTTTTGAAATATTCAGCGCGCCGTTACATAATCTACACGTGACGTCACCAAACGCCAACGACAAAAAAGCAATTAAGAGAAAACGACCGGAAAAGCGACAACGACAGCGAGGGCGCCAACGCCAAATCATCATTGAGATATACGACGCAGAGTTTGCGGGGGCCGTCGGTTCAGTTTCGAATATGTTTCGCCCTTGCGGATGCTCCAACCAAACCCTGAGAAACCCGCTAGTTCAAGCTCCAGCCTTGTTGACAGGTGATACACCAGCTATGAGCCAATGAGCCAATGAGCCAACGCACCTATGTGCTCCAGATGTCACTTATTCATGCAAGAACTGCGCAACAAGCAACAAGTGGCCAGGAACCAGAAACCCTGTCAAGAGTGCAGAGAGGACAACGGAGGGTGTCAACGGCCGTGATTCGTCTGGTGTTGCTTTGTTGGAGGGCCTCAAGATCGAACATGGGTTTCAGTCCTTTGACTACACTGCATATCCCTGCCCTTTAACTGGCACAAGGCAGGGGTTTTTATTGATGTCCCTTGGGGGAAACATGTGCATTTTAGGCGCCGTCGACGACCGGGCCCCGCTTCAATGGAGCTCTTAACTGGGAAGAATGCTCAAATACTCTGTACTGAGCGCTGGTTCTTTTCTTTTCTTTATATAAAGGGAGTCCTTATAAAGCCATTGTTTTCTTCCCCTTTTGTCTATCAGTCTTGTTGCCGAGAGATTATCCATCTCCAAAGCAAATATGACACTTCAACCTCCCAAGTTTACCGTCTTGGAATCGGTGACAGAAGACGAGTGTCAAACTCTTAACCCAACCCGCAAAACACTTCATCAGAATATCATAGGGAAACTGAGACCTTTGCCCTTCCAGTACCGCTGGGCTGTATGGCACGAGAAACACTCCGAGTCTGCCAATTATGGCAATAGATTATACCCTCTTCATGACGACGTTGCTGACATCGCGACCTTTTACCGGATATACAACAATTATCCTTGGGACAAGATCAAAGTTCGCGACACGGTGCACATCTTCCGAAGGGAAACGAAGCCCATATGGGAAGACCCACAGAATTTGAAAGGGGGATGCTGGACATTTCGAGTTCCCAAGTCTAAGAGCCAGGCGTTTTTCCATGAAGTGGCCATCCTCTGTATGGCCAATGAATTCCAGGCTGCTGTACAATCTGGTATGATCTACATCTCTTTGGCTTCTCCCATAGATACCTAGATACCCTGAGACAGTGAATATAGTAACCCACTAACTGTCATATCTAGAGCATGATCATGTGCTCGGTGTCTCAACATCGGCTAGATTCAATTCCAACTTAATTTCTATCTGGAATAAACAGGGATCCAATCCAAAAGCCATCAAGGCGCTGGAAGACATTATACTGCAACGCCTCTCGCCCGAGCTACGACCAACTGCTGAAAAGTCTTACTTCTACAAACGCCACGATGAACATGACGGGTACCAAAGTGCAGTTGAAGCATCATTAAGCTCTTCCTCCAATGCTTAAACCTAGCGGAAGCTTATCAATTATTACCGGCTGATAAGGCGATGGAAAAAGAATATAAGTGAATGATAAGCGGTTGGAGCAAGTGTTTTGTTTCCCCTTACCTGTTTCTATATATACTACTCTTATGTTCTGTTCCTTTTTATCATGCATCATATATGGAGTTTGTTTGATTAATTAATTTATTCTTATAAGATTTGCAAGGTGCTCAAACTATCCTAACCAAATTTCCAGCGCCCCTACCAATTGTGTAGAATTCAACCATGCCCACATCATTTCATAACTCCATATCAATGCAGAGTAATTAGTATAATTTATTATGGTGTATCTTGGTCAAGCCATAATAATGCTTAACGGCTCCCATCTCGATGTCTGCTTCTCCTGTCATCCCTATCAACACTTGTTCCCCGGGATTCCTTTCCAGGGGCTCCAGGAACATATCGGTCAATATCTGGAAGCCTGTCTCTCTCCCTATCCCTATCCCTATCTCGACTCCGATCCCAATCCCTATCTCTGTCACGATCACGGTCTCTATCTCTGTCTCTGTCTCTGTCCCGCACCCGATCTCTGTCTCTATCTCTGTCTGGTGACCTCGCTCGCCGTTTTGGCGACCGGCTTCGCGTTGAAGTTGGAGGAACATAACGATCAATATCTCCCCCTGCATTTCTTGACGTAGACCTAGCTCGACGGCTTGGGGAGCGTGACCTTTCCCTCTCCCGGTATCTCCGGTGAACTGTTGATCGTGATCGTGAGCGGGACGGGGATTTGGACCTCCGTAGCGGCCGATGTGACGGTGCTCTAGAGCGAGACCTTGAACGGGCACTAGGGCGATAGCTGCGATACTCACCTCTGCTCTCACGTTCACGGTCACGGTCACGCTCTCTTTCTCTTTCTCGCTCCCTCTCTCGATCCCGGTCCCGATCCCTGTCTCTATCACGCTCTCTTTCTCTATCTCTTTCCCTGTCTCGATCATGAGGCCGGTATTTATCCCTATCGTCTTTTCCTCTGCTTCTGCTCCGGCTTCGGCTACGACGTCGAGACCTAGCACGGACGGAACGGTCGTCCCGGTCTCGCCTGTCTCTCTCTCCTGGTCGGTATATGTCAAAGTCGCGGGGACGTCTTTCCGAGTCTCTCCTATCAGAGTCTGCATCTCGATATCTGTCGTTATGCCTTGAAGACCTCCTTGTTCTAGTTCTGCTTCGGGACCTACTGCGGTCACGTCTGCGACTACGGCTGCGTCGACTTTCACGGTCTTCAGTCTTTGGTCTGGCAGGCTCCTGAGAAGAAAGGGACGGATCTGCTTTTGATTTCGAGGGCACGCTCCGGGTGGTGGTAGCAGGCTGCAGCGCCTGACCATTTTCTAGAGCTTCTGCCTGTTCGAAATCAAACTCTGGCTTTTGTCGCGATTTGGCAGCAAGCTCCTTTCCTTCCTTTAATAATAGCTCAAGGGCCGCATCTTCCAGTGCCTTCTCATCCACGGGAGGGGCAGAAGGCTTATGGAGCCTGGATGTATCTCGGGGTGTACCGCTACCATCCCTTCCACGGTCAAGGTCTGATCGTCTGCTCTTATCTCTGTCGTAGTCACGCTCCCTTTCTCGATCTCTTTCACGGTATCGTTCTTTCTCCTCTCTTCTCCTTCGTTCGTAACGTTCGTCCCGTTCCCGTTCTCGCCGTTCCTCTCGTAGCCTATCCTCCTCGCGCTGCTTTTCCCTTTCCAGTCGCCGCTTTTCCTCTCGTTCTTCTCGTCTCTTTCTGTCCTCCTCCTCTCTTTTCTTTCGTAACTCGCGTTGCCTCTGTTTCTCTTCGGCTTCTGCCTTCTTTTTCTCTTCCTGCGCTTTTCTTTCTACCTCTAGCTCCTTCTGTCTAATCTTCTCGCGTTCTTCTCTTTTGGCTTGAACAAGCTTCTCGTACTCCGCATCTGTAGTAAGCCCCTTGGCTATTTCTGCATTAGCCGCATCTTCACCAACGTCCTGAGCTCGAATTTTGCGAAGAGAAGCTAATATATCATCAATATGATTAGATATTATCGCGTCAACTGCTTCTTCTATTCCAGAATGTAGGTCGCTGCGGTCAACGGCTCCAGAGATAAGTGTTGCAGCCTTTCCTCGCTCACGAGACAATAAGGATGGGTCACGCTCAATCTCAGACTCGGCCATTTCAATTAATGACGCCGTAAATGAGTTCTTAGCGTCCTATAAATTAAAGCAATTAGCAAGGGCCTCTTGAGCGACGTAGTGAATCAAATAAACGTACACTGTCGTTGAACTTAGCCCAAACTTCTTTTCGGACCGCATCGAAACCTCCTTTCTTCTTAAAAGAATATAGCAGGTTGTCAATCGCTGTCCGCTGGGCTGTCGATATTGGCAGCTCCGATAATTTGAACTTTTTGCGACGCAGGCTCTCCATGCTTGAGCCAACGCGCTTCACGCCAGCCATGTCAGCATCTAGTTCAGCCATCATCATCTAGCATGCCGGAGTCTTAGTATGATGTTATTAATACCCCCAACAACCTCAGCCCATACGGTCCTGGAGAAAAAACAGCATAATAGCTTGATCGCTGGATCTGTACCCAGGCGGACCTTGGGCATCCATAATTGATATGCGGATAAACTTAAATCCATACCCGCCGCGAACGTCCCGACGTAAGGAAATCAACATCCAACAGCGACGACATCGACGGTCAAAACGGAAGAAATCAAACATATATCGGCGTTGCTCTTCCCTGAAATGCTCTATTGACAATATCCGGTTGAAAGCAAAGCACTCACGTCAGTTTCAGACCTAATTGTTGCGTGAACAGGCTTCGCCGCCGCCTATTTCTTCACCAGCAAACCAATCCGATACATCGCATCATGCCAGTCCATAAAGTGCTCTTCTGGAGCGGCTTCGGTTTGTGCTCCCTGTTTCCCTCTCGAATACCAAATCAATTGCCATTTTATAGTCCACTCTACCTCTATCCGTATACCAATGGCGCTCGTTCTCATTCCAACCTATATACCCCAGGCAAACTAGTTTTTACGTGTATTATATCTAACATATTCTCTATAGGCGTTGCCGTCCGACTATGGCAGCTCGGAATTGAAATGCGCCCATTCTTCAACAAGGAATCCTTATGGGTCTACCCCCTCTTCGCTACTGTTGGTGGAAGCTTTGGATACTGGCTAGAAGGTGTGGAGGGCCGACAATTGAAGATGCTTGCGGAGAGGAAACAAATACTCCTCGAAAAGAGGCAAAGAAGGGCCGAGAGAGATGCAGCTGAACCTGTTGGACTCGATAAAGCTGAACAGGGAGGGATTCTAGCCAGTACTTCCTGAAATGGAATCCCGATTCGGATACGATAATTGTGCGAGCAGCCCCAAAACCAGTATAGACAAGTGGATATATTGAGTGAAGGAATGGAGGGTTGCTCAATCTCGCTTTTAGAAGAGAATAGAATGAGAAGCTATTAAAATTGTACTTATACCAGTATCCTATTTTGTTTCATCTCCCTACCGTTTGCCACAATTAACTCCAAGGAGTCCGCATCTAGACATCATTTATTGGATTAAATCCTTATTGGGACAGGTACAAAGGTAAAGATGCATAAAAGTCACGTCTTGCCTGCTTTGAATGATTGGTCACATTTTTGTCAGTTCAATAGCCTTTAATATTCCCCGAATAGATCGGTTCGTAAAAGACTTGCGCCGATATTGATACTTCAACAGCAGGTCCACGACCTCAGGGCTCGGTCGCTGGCGGGCAATCGTCTCCAAAATTTGCTTCCGTTCCTCCTCTGTGGCACCCGTCACAGATATACTCCGTGGAAGATCAAAGGTCCATGTCTTCCGAGCCCCCCAGTTTAAGATTTCTCCTGCCAGACGGCAGCATCCTTCCGGGCAATTGCATTCCATAAACTTCAGTTCAAGATTGGATATGAGCAGTCGCTGACGAAGAAACGTCAAGGTACGACCAAATAGATAGTCTTGCATACTCTTGATATCCTGGGCATGGGGGAGTATCGGCACTGTATTTCGACCAACATTGCTGTCTCCAGCGGTATATATCCTGGCTCCAAGAATACGCGCCCGGTGTTTCAAGAAATTTCTCGCCAGCTTATCTATCTCTTTACAGTTCTGCTTGTCCTGCCGTTTTAACGCAATACTCCCAGCAAGCAGGTCATCGCAAAACGGGCCACTGAGGTACTGAAAATCGCGGTGGTGGAAGACGACCTCAATGCTGTGCATATGCTTCAGATGGTCTCTCACGCGTGGGTATTCGTTTGATATGTCCAAAAGGACGTCTGGATGTAGGATGGAAAAGGTATTCTCGGCGTAGAAGACTAAAGAGACTTCTTTATACACTTTCTTGCAGGCCAAAAACAACGCCATATTAGGGGCCTGATGTGTGTAGAGCCTTCTTTGGTCGTGTATATAATGAAAGGAGACGAAGGGACGAACAAAGATCTTTCCTGGAACAACGGAATAGCGGTAGATTTCTTTGCGAACATGCTGGGGTAAGCGGAAGAAGTAAGTCTTCTGAGGGACCAAAGGCTCAGGTATCGGGCTATAATAATTCACTTAGTCGATAGGTAGTGAGAAAAGAGTAAGACGGGACATACATTGCATCTTCAGTGGTGTTTTCTTGTCCGGTATGGATACTTCCTTCATCCGCTATAGACATGTCGCTACCAGTGTTTATACTGGCAGCAACCACAGGCTTGAGAGACGACAGCATGTTTTGGCACTTGGTATCTAATGGTTCAAAAAGGGGGTAACCTGGAGAAAAATAGCCACAAGAAGAATTGGTAGGTTCCTTTTTATTTCCTTTTCATTAAGATTTTTTTAAGAAACCTGGGTGATTCGTTTATGGTAATGGAAGTTTCCAGTGTAATGGTCATGGTTGCTAGGAGACCGTAGATTTGAGTGTTACTCTGCGGATATCCCACTGTTGGGGAGTATATAATAAGATCATTAACAAAAGGACGAAGTCATGTCGAAGCAACAGTGAACTGTAAAGAAACCTCCCATTTCTGCACTCCTGTGCCATATTCGCCTCCAAGCCGGTGTTTGATCATATTGACTATCCGTTCTCTGAGTAGGGTGACCGCTTCCTCTGACCCGACCACTCTAAGCTTGATATTAGCCATACACAAGCCATAGTGTACCTGCCAGAAGCGAGCTTCCTCGACGTCTGTGACTGATGGGTGTGCCGCAATGTCCTTCATGACAGCAGAAACACCAGGCCCTGCATATGACATCAGCAGCATCGAGCCTAGATTCACTACTAGCCGAATCCCTAGGGCACACATAGAGAACGCAAGAGTAAAAGAAATAATGGGATCTAGGAAAGTGTAGAAGGACATTGATAGCAAAGGAAGTAACAGAAGAAGCGAGGAACATGATAGAGTGAGAAAATGAGCGGGGTTGCTGAGTAGGGAGGGTAGCGATTGTATATAGGTTACGCGCATTGCTTTGCCAATACGCCCATGGTTTTTGAGCCCAATGGCAGAAATTAGGGTAGCGCCAATTGAAAGGAGTGCTGTTATATCCACGCTGCCAGGAGTCACCCAGTCATGTTCATCGTGAGGGTGTGCATGGTGGGAGCCTCCAAGGACATGCTGCACCGTATGGGAAATCAGATCACCTCCCATGAAGAAGAGTAAAACGGATAAGGCAAACCCAGCAACAACTTCTGCCCGTTCTAATCCAAATGGATGCCGGATACTAGATCGTTTCCAGACCTCGAAATTCCCAAGAATATCAACCACAACGCATAGCATTGCCCCGAGAGAGTCGAAAAGCATCAAATGAGAGAGGCCAGTCATGGCCATGGAACCATGAGCGCTCCATAATGTGTATCCTGCCACTGCCATATGGCATAAACTCCACCAGAACCGAGCCTTTTGGTCTCTGGACATGCTCTTGCGGTATTCTTTAAACGTTGGGATTGGCAGCGAATTTGGAAGAGCCAAGGGTGCCCTTGGAGGTGGTTCAAGGAATATCTGGTGAGATACGCTGCTGTGTTTGTATTTGTGCCCACGGCGCTGTCCGACGTTCTATCATAGCCACGAACGTTAGCATAATTCCCCGAATTTCCGCTAAGAAAGGATATGTATACCGATTTCAGAACCGGCGTTTTTGCTAAAGTTGTGGGTTTAAAATTAAAAGGGCTCGGGACATCCAGACTCGGCCGCCTATAAGAATTCCAAGATGCATCTATTGGTACAAATTGGTAAGCATTAATACCTCTAGCGGCCAATGGCGAGAAGAAGATACCTGAAGATCCTGAGGAGGGAAAGGTGTCTGTCAATGGTGAAAGTGATGCTGGATCAAGAGAACCTTGTTGCTGATATCCCATTGAGATGTTTTCAGCAGGAGAAGCCAGGTTGTTATCTGGCGGCGGAGTGGGTGTCCGGGGAGGGAGTGGAATGGGGAGACCTGAGGCCATGATGGCCACTACAGAACGAGTTGCCAGAGGGTATTAGTCAAGGAAGTTAGCAAATGAACCGCCGTTCCTAACTAAAAAGAATTATCTATTTGCGAACTGTGGGGGGAATGGATATGCTGCAGTCATCACAAATTCATTGAGTGATGACTTGTATTCGAGCCTCATGGATGATGTTGATCTTATCTCTCTTTTGCCGCTTGGCGATCTCCGCGCGGCTATTTCTCCGCGCCAGCCTCAAACGGCCAACATCACCAAAACAAATTGCGAAGAGGCCAACAGAAGCTCTGAGGAGGGAGTGGGACATGGATTTTAGACTTGAACGACAGGCTGGCTGAGCTTCCCGGCCGTCATCCTCCATGGACGGACGTCGTGGTGTCTTTATCTTCATCCTCCTCTTCTTCCTCTTCACTGCCCCTAATCCTCACCCACCGTCCTCAGTGTCAATACGCGATTACAAACGCCGACTAGCAGACGAAGAGCGTGCTCTTGCTTCGCTGAACTCCTCGAGTTATGGTGATTTGGATCCTCTAACTGGTCGATGGCTTCCCCTTGCTGGCCTGAGAGACACGGACGGCTATGCATGGAGCTTACTCCCGTCTGTCCAAGAGAAGGCCAGGAAGCAGCTACAGGTAGCACTCGAAGCTTCAGGTATCCCAGATACAGTAACTTTGAAGACGAATATTACCGGTCTCTCCCTCCCGGTTTATCATAATGTCTCGGGCAAGGTTCGTGGTGAATGGGTTCACGCCGGGGAGACAGAGAAGCTGAGCCGTCCAAAGCTCAACCTCACCACCATAATTACTGAGCATGAGTATTTCACTCGGGAATATGGCCATAATGTTACTGCTCCCAATGGCCATATCATTCTGAATTTACATGAAGGCCAAGGCCATACCCTCGGGGGCGGTAACAGAGATGGCAGTGGCGCCAAGGAGATTAAGGTAGAGATGCTTTTACGCAGCGACAAGTCCCTTGGAGAGAGTTGGACCATTCCTCTATATGGTGTGCATTTCCCAGCATCAGGAGGAATCATTCTTACTACAGCAAGTGAGAAGTATGCTGGTCTCGCAGTAATACCACACTTAGCTCTATCGAACGACGCTTTCGAGCTCTCTCGTGAGCTGCTTAATAACTCCCTCACGGCAGCGCTTTCGGATAAATACAATCACCTCAATACCTTTCTACCTTGGTCATCTCTCTCTCAGGCAACGCACCCCGCCTCTTTCCCCTCCCCCAATTGCGAATATGTCATGTATCTACAACAACATGCTCTTATGTCTCGCGGTAAAACTATCCCAGGCTCTGTTATAGAAAGTATCGAACAGGAGCTCAGGTTCCCTACGGGGGCACCTATTCCAAATCCACCTGCACTGGTGTTATCAGGTCTTATATTTTCCCCGGACTGTGGTTTCGTCCTTGAAACCAAAGCATCGCCGGAATATCCTCCTACAGACGAGCTATACCTGGTTGGGTTAAAACAAGAAGAATACAGCAAATATACCGGGCGCTTTATAGCAATCATCGCCGGCGTACTCGCCTCACAGATATTGTTATTAATGAAGCAGATGAAAGAATCCTCGACACCATCAACCAGAAGCCGAGTAAGCTTTTACACTATTGCCATGATGTCTATGGGAGATGCGTTGTTTATGTCCTTTATGCTTCTAGAACTTTACTCAGAGACATCGTTTTTGTTACTTACCGCCACGTCATTCCTCACATTTTTCGGTGTGAGCTTTCTGGGCATGAAGTTCCAAATTGAGATATGGCTGGTACAAGCTCCGGAGCGAAGAGAACAGCAGCAGCGGCGGCGGCAACAAACTGCTGAAACTCAACCCACCCATGAAACTCTTCCATTACCTGTAACGACACCTCGACCCACTGACACTGGCGCAACGCCCGTTATCCTCCCTCCGGACCAGGATGAAAATCCCAGAACAGTGAATTCTACACCTTCAGATCAAAGCGACGACACAGCTAATGCGGGTGCAATGTACTCACGTTTCTACTTTCTCCTTTTCAGTTTACTGTTTTTCTCGTCATGGGCGCTGTTCTGGCCCAATCGCCTCCGAACTATATACACAAACACTTTGTCATTCATTTATCTCTCGTTCTGGACGCCGCAGATTTACCGAAACATAATGCGGAACTGCCGCAAGGCGCTTAGATGGGAGTTTGTCGCTGGGCAAAGTTTCCTCCGTCTCTTTCCATTCTTATATTTCTACTTTATACCCCAGAACGTCTTACTTATCCGGGCTGATGGGATCACAACTCTTTTACTCACATCTTGGATATGGATCCAAATTTGGAGCCTTGTGAGTCAGGATATACTTGGGCCACGTTTTTTTGTTCCTAAAAGTTGGGTACCGCCCGCCTACGATTACCATCCGATCTTACGAGACACATCTGCCTCCGGTTCTGCTGATGATCTGGAGGCTGGAGATACCTTACCAATTTCATCACTCCGTGCTGAGCAGAGTGAACCTTCTCCAACGTCAAGAGACGAAGTTAAGGAGGTGGACACTCGCCAAGATAGGAGGGATTTTAGTTGTGCTATATGTATGCAGGATATCAATGTGCCAGTCATTGCAGGAGACGGTAATAGCACTGGGGCTGGTGTGGCATCAGGTGCAACGCACCTATTCAGTCGCCGTGCCTATATGGTAACACCTTGCCGCCATATCTTCCACTCCCAGTGTCTGGAAACGTGGATGCGGCTGAGACTGCAATGCCCTATCTGCCGAGAATCAATACCACCAATTTGACAAATTGGTTGGGTTTCCACGTTCCCTGTACTATATATATAATGTGTCATCTGTACACTGAGCCTTCAATAGATAGAAACAAACTTTTTTGGTATTTTACACCTGATACTTTTGAAAAGGTCCAGGTTGCCCACTGGTGTAAAATAATCTGCGATATTATAATTTGCTCTGGGTATAGTGATTTGAGCTGAAGCTGCTGGACCTTTTGTATCTGTTGAAGAGTATATACACGGCCTAATAATATAAAAAATCGAATAGGAATGGTGACTGCAAACCATATATCAACCCGTCAAACAACCGAACAGTCCTCTTTCGTTTTTAGTACATCTCTCTTGATTCTGGCAAGCATTCGCATACAAAGCCAGCTAAGGTTAGATCTAAAGCATTCAGCCGTCTAGAAGCACAAAGTAAAAGGTACAAGAAGATCCATTAACAGGATCAGTAACTAATCGAATAAAAGAACACAGGGAATCACGGAAGGACTTCTGAGGAACAGGTCAAAGCCATCACTAGTTTAATCGGTGTTCTCCAATGAGGCCTTGTATGCCTCGGCGTCCATCAATTCGTTCAGTTCACTAGAATCGGTAATTTCAATCTTAGCGAACCATCCATCTCCCTCGGGCGAGTCGTTGACGGTCTTGGGCTTCTCCTCTAGCACCGTGTTGACCTCGATCACCTTTCCGGTTGCAGGGGACATGATATCTGAGGCAGACTTGACGGACTCAACAGCACCGATGGTGTCACCAGAAGCTACCTCATCCTTCACGGCGGGTAATTCAACGTAAACAACATCTCCTAGAGCCTTGGCAGCATAATCGGTGATACCAATGGTAGCTACCACGCAAGTTGACGAATAATGTTAGCTAGCGATTCTTCCCATCATACTCTGATTCTTGCGGCACCGGTTGAACGATTCGGCATGATCCCAATGGGAGCTCGAGTAGGCCTTTAGGGCCCTGCGATAGGGAAAACAGAAAGGAATAGATATCAGTATATACCGGTCTTGCCATCAGCAGCCACATCTATCCATTCGTGCTGTTTGGTGTACTTCTTCGCTTGAACTGTTCAAATTGGCAACAGAATAACCGTCAGTCAATGTCCTATAGCTCTGTATAGCTGTAATCGAGCCCAATGCAGCATATAACCATGTAAAGCACTCATCTGGCTCTCCAATTGTACGTACGCAATGAGCTCTGAGAGAATGCCCGTCTGACGTTTGGTTGAGCGGCGTAGCGGAGAGCGGAGGAAGCTCGGAACCGGGGAACGCTGAGGGCGCTTCGGAGAGGAGCAACAAATCGGACAGCGGAGGCAGCCATTGCGGACAATGCTAACGTGTAGCACAGCTTCAACGTCGAGAATAAATATGCTAGAATAAGAGATCGAAGTTGATGTTTGGAGGTTGTTTGTGTGGCGGGGAGGACGGAAAACGAGTTCGGTGAAGCTTCGGGAAAATGGGAGGAAAGCAAAAAGTACAGCGTATTCAGATTACGCGGATACAAGGCCTGTAAACACGTGAATATGCCTGGGTATCTTGTGTCATTGGTCAGTCTTGTATTAATTGTTACCATATCAGTACGAGAAAGTGAAAACTCGGAGTTTCATTGCTTTGCAGCTTTCAAACGTCGAAAAAACATATTGATATCAATAGCGAAGACAATCAGACAAAGTCGCGATGTTGTACGAATTAGTTGCAATTGTACGTATATCTCCGCCTACTAGTTCCGCCGAAGTTGAGAATTGTTGAACCAAGCTGCTAATTGCTCTCTCACAGGTCCGTCAGGGCAGTCTTCAAGAAGTTAAAGAGTAGGTCGAAACGGGTTCCAGTTTATCCTGATATACATGGATATATATAAAATCTTGTTGCGTGCCAGGTTGTCTAACTGCGAGTAAACAGTATTGCTCGCACTCTTGGCCTCCAAGTTATTCGGTCCGGCGGTGTTGTGCGCGGATACACCAATTGGGGACCCTTTACCCTCCCACGACCTACCACGAAGCATCAAGTCAAGAACAGTGTAGGCCATCATTTTATTATGCGTTTCGATGCCTCTGCCCCTGTACAAAAGGAAATGCGACGAACACTCGGTCTCGACCCTCGAATGATACGATATTCTGTTGTCAAATTGGGCTCTACTCTCAGGGAAATAAAGGATACGCCTGGTAGAATCGAATGGAACGACACAAAGATACAAGAAGAGACTTTTGGAAACGAATACAGGCCCTCGCCATTGACTAGATGAGTGACTGATCAAGGAGGGGGGGGGGGGGGGGGGGGGGGTTTATGAAGGGATAATGGAAAGGCAACTAACTGCCTTGCATCGCATTTTACTTTTCTTTGCCATGGTATTGACGGAGTTCTGTACACTATCTTTTTTTTTTTTTGCAAGAGTAGAGTGGGAATATTTGCATGTATAATACTTGGATTTATGGCATACGGCTGGGATATATTTACTGTTTGAGTGCCTGCCATGCATACCCAAAGTTACGAATGGAGGTCCTACTGATATTCTCCAACTACGGACTATATGAAAATCTTGGAACGATATTATTAGATTTTTTTCTTTGTATATACATAAGGGAGTAGAATGGTGTTTTGCGGTTAGAGTGGACCAAACACTTCGCAAGACAGTTGAAAAATAGGTCAGACAAGGTATATATCTCTGTAACCAAGCCAAACCCAAAGAACGCCGCCGAAGTCTGGTTTATTGGTATATTGAATAAAAGGAGAAACAGTCATGAGGAATAGTACAATTCAGGTCATCTTGGGGGGGGGGGGGGCAGTCACTTAAAATAGACGCCAGCTTCCTTTCACACGTTCCTTTGTGGCGGCTGCTTGCTGAGAATTGGACTTACTGCGTCCTTCAAGTTGTCGTAAACTTTCAATCTTCTGCAAAACCAGCTCGAGCATCTCTTTCTTCTGGATGACGTCCAAATGTCGTCGAATTCGTGGATCTTCACGGGCGAATCGCTCCACCTCTGCTTCAGACAGGTGGCGACCTAGCCTTAGGTCTAGTTCTCGAGGGAAGTGGTAGTAGAATTCGGATAGTAGTTCAACGTTGAGGAAAAGAACGGCAGTAGCTGTAAGTTTATCGGCCACAACATCTAGGAATACTTCAGGGCAGAAATATTTGTTTTTCTTGGAAGAACACTGCTTAGAGCGAACAGCAAGGAGTCGCATCTTTAGGATGTCGGCCCTATCTCGTAGGAAAGCAGCATTACGAGCTAAGGATAGAGAGTCAGTATAATGATATGGACGAAATTTAATGCGTGAGAATTGGAGCGTACCCTGCTCAATAAGGGAAGCACTGAAGCCTCCAGCACCGCCACTACCGTCGCCTTCAATGTTAATATCACCTTTTCGTGATTTGTCCACGAATGCCATGACATCCCTAAGCTTTCGCTTTCCAACCGTGTTTTCAACGTTTCTTAAGGAATTTTCACATGCTTTTAGCTCTTCCTTAAGGCTTCTAGTCACATTTTCTCGGCCCTTGGACCACTCCATGTCGTCAACTTCAATCTCAAACTTGTATGGCTTGATACAGTTCTCCACTTGATCACTCGTGCTGAAGAACCTATCGTTAAGTATGGTCGTGGAGGCTTCCTCGATGATTTTCCGGGCATATGGGTGTGCGTTGAAGGTAGACGATGCGATTAGAGAATCTATGTGGTTTTGTAACGAGTTTGCAACAATAGTGGTTGCAAGACGGCCAATTCCTAATTTTGTAAGAGCAGAAGAAGAAGCATCAAGTTTCCGTCTCCAGTATATGGAGTCTGAGTTTGAAGTGGGTAGGCTGCTCAAAGGATCAGGTTCTGGTAGAGCCAATGAGATATCATCTATCGGCTTATTCCAATACCGCTGAGCGAGAATGTCCAAAACACGTTGGTCAAGGTGAGCTTTCAATAACTCGCGAACCTGCGGCCGCCCGAAACCTTCGCTAAACTCCTTAAATGAGCGCTTGAAGCTATCTAGACTCTCAGCAAGATATGACTCGGCGCTCAATGGCCTATCGTTGTACTGGACTTTGAATTCGTATGTTGCTTCTTCCAGCTCCTGGGAGACAGCGTCGCGAGTTCCTGCGAGGTTAGAAGCCATACTCTGCTCTAAAGTTTGCATAAGCTTTTTGCGCAAAACGTTTGTTCCCACGAATAGTTCGCTGTCGGGGCCAAATATCTGCGGGTGTGCGTTAAAATATGCATTTTCATTCTTCATTATAGCATTTGAAATGTTTCCACTTCCACGAGAGAACAGGCCAGCAGATTGCGGGATGCGACTAATGATACCAACATATCCCAGGCGCAATGGGTATTTCCTATCAGAGAGGATACTGGCACCCCTTTCAGGGTCAACCAGATCCATTTTTGTGATGACTCCAATAGTCCTTTCTCCACGAGGGTCTACTCTCCGGCTAGCTCTTAGGGCTGTGGAATTGGCCAGGTCGACATCTGCTGCGGAGATTGCGAGGATAATGTTAGGAGCTTGAATGTATTTATCACATAGGTCGGAAATCTTTTGCTTTAGTTCCTGGGGTTGGCCACGCCCAGCAACCTGAATGTAGCCAGGTAAGTCAATAAGGGAAAGGTCGGGCACATGTGGGGAGTATATTGAGAGCTGAATCGGCTCATCTATGACACAGTCCTTTTCCGGAACTGCGAGGTTTAGATCAGTCAGGGTGCGCTGAATCTGACTAAAATCTGTTATCTTTCCAAGCCCAAGAGCGGGAAATTCGCCATATTCCGCCGAAGAGTCAGGGGTGTTGACTAAAGTTAGCTCTATGGGACGACGCGTAACCATATTGAACCCCTTAGGCAAAAATTCATGGCCAACAATAGCTTCTAGTACTGAACTCTTGCCCGACGATTGTGAACCAATCACCACTATGGATGGCAATGTGAGAGTGTTGGATTGACCAACTCTCTGTAGCATATTCCGAATTTCAATCATTTTCCGGGTCAATGTCATCATTTGCTCATCCAAGGCTAAACTGGCTGCACTCCGGCCCTCTTGATCAGAATCAAAGCCCAAACTTGAGCCTGCAGCTGCACCTGCCATGGCAATTCCAGTATTGCTCTTCTTTGGGCCTCCACCGTTACTGTCGCTACCGCCGGAAGATCCGCCATGGCCAGAAGAAGCGTATTCATTCAATCGGAGAATTTTTTGTACCCATACCGGTACTTCAATATTATCCTTCGTATTTTGAATCCCTTGCTGTGTCTGCTCGGCAATATCACGAAGTCCCTGTAGCGCGTTCAAGGCCACTCCGCCTGCGGTTTCACCGGCAGATTTTATAACGTCAATGGCATAGCTTCCGGCTTCTATACTCACACAGTTGAGGATTAGAATAATGTATCTTGAAATAAGAAAGTAGATAAATTCTTATATCACTTACGAGCTGCTTGATACTGTATATACGCAAGCCCTGCTATCATCGCACCGCCAAACATGGCAGGTATGCGGGCAAGCTTCAAGGCAAGCTTGGGCAGGACGCGTGCGAACGAGATGGTTCTGATGGCTGGAACATTGTGAATGGCATTTGTTCCCAGAGGCCATGACCTCACGCGTAAGTAGGCGCTGCCCTGGGGGCCGAAGAGCCCACCAGCTCTGGTGACGCCAAAGTAGTGAAACTGGCGCGCAGCCGTTCTCTGTGAAAGCAGCCTAGCGCTGCGGGAGAGTAGTCTCCCACTCATAGCTTCCGTCTCATATGGCAATCCGTAGGGGTATGAAATATCATCCGTGTGGCCAACGCCTCTTCGAACGGGCAGTCTGACAATTAATATCCAGGCAGACTTTCAAGAAGTGACGCCAAAATTAACAAATTCCAGGGATGGCCCATGCCGCTCTTAGTATGACTAATGTATCACTAATAAATTCACGTGACCATTCAAGGTTTCTGAGATCAAAAGCTTTTAAAAAAGAAAAAAACATTGATCGAAAATGTTCTATGATAGCACTGGAAGATATCCTAGTTCGGAGACACAGCTGAGACTTATGTTCCAGCCCGCCATTTGAAGTGATTACTCAAGAAGGAAATATTTGCACCACCTTTATAACCTTCTTCAAGGGCATGTCTCTCTTTTATTTTGCCAACACAGCCGTGCATTGGGGCATTCTGTATTCTGTATGGTTCCCCAAAAGTATGCATGAGATATCTACTATGTAGGGGATATCATGCTCCGTACTCCGTACCTAATTAATACTTGACCTTGGGGAGGACACGCCATATATGTCATAATGATCTTCCACACTAGCGAACTATGTTCCTTGTTCTGGTTGTTATCTTTCTTTATCCCCATAAGGGAGCTTGTGAGACGTGGAATTTGAACAAGTGGTTTAAATTCCGGACCTTCCCACCATCGTTCGACCTCCAAATCCATCTCCTCAGTTCTATCTTTGATCATAGATCTGCTTCTACTTACCTCCCATTTTCCAGGTCGAATATACCCAATTTTCAAGCGCCTGGCGGCTTAAAGAATCTACCAAAATGAAATTTCAATATCTTTTGGCGTTCATGGCCATTGGTCTCTCCATGGCCCAGAGAAGCAACAGACCCGGCGCCGACGGATGTGTAAGCACTTCAAGCCACCGCATATTATAGTGATATTTACCCTGTGCTAACCCATACATCATATATATCTGCAGTCGATGATCTGTACTGCCGATTTTAAACCTGTGTGCGCTAGAGGAAGAGATGGAACTGTTAGGACCTTTGCAAACTCCTGCGAGCTAAGAACTGCCCGCTGTCAAGAGCCCGCTGCAGCCTTTTCTGTTCTTCGCGAAGGACAGTGCTAGCAAGGCTAATGCACTTCCCTTGAAGGCGTATCAAGTGGAATATTAGCTCCAGGTTTCTTTAGATTGCACTAACTTCTTGTGAGTTACCCAATTTCATGATCCTCTACGGAGCACAGAATAATGTCCATGGATGATATATGGGCTAAACACATGATTTGCCACTTAGGAGTATGAAGGTTACACTGGCTTTGTAGGACAGGAAAAAGGCACAAAGTATGGCAGCCTGGCCGTGTATGGTGGACTTCGTACGGAGTAGTATCATTTATTACATTACTTTCTCCTGCTTCCTTACGCTTTCATCTGATATTAAGACAAGAAGTGAAAGAAGGAATCGCTTGTATGATGGTTAGTAATATATGACTCAGCTGGTATATGAGCAACCGTGCACGTGATTAATCTTATTTATTACGACATCTTCTTAAGCTTAAAACGCTAAGTCGACCTTTTTGGCGTTTGATAATGAAGGTGAAACGGCTTGACCAACTCTCAAATTGTCCTGGTTATATAAATTGGCAGACCTCCCTCGTTTCGCGTCTGCTTCTCTAGATATTGATTTCCCATAGAAGAACGTTGGATGCGGTGTTTAGTTTGCCTGTGTACTTGAGCATCCCCCTGCCTCGATTCGCATCCACTGCGGAGACCCTAATCAAGAAAACGAGTCCCTTGTTTTATCTCCGCCGCTACGTCCTCGAGCTCACCTGAGAGCCTTCGTAGTGACTGGCTACATTTGTTATAAAAAATGTGTCGATTTTTGGTATGACTCCCAGCGCTTTCAGAATTCTTCGAGAAAAGCGGTCAGTTTCCAGCCAGTACTGACCATGATCAAAATTAATAGGTATACAAGGGCAGAAATGACATCCTTCTAAGCAAACTTATAACTGAGCCCAGTCACTCTATCCTAACCCAGTCTTATGATTGCCGATTGAGACTGGTGAGTTTAGTACTTCTCCAGGTCCCAATTTAATGGAGAGACATAGCCCAGAGTTAAGATAAAACAGCTTGCATATCTAACAATTGATCTTCTAGGACACACGGCGTCCGGTAAACGGAGATGGTTTTGGCGTCGGATTCTATACTTCCCCGGAGCTCGGTCCGGATCCCTGCATTTTCACCTCTACCCTTCCCGCATGGAACTGTGACAACCTCGAGCGGATTGCGTCTAAAACATGCTCTTCACTTGTATTCGCCCATGTCCGAGCAACAACAGAAGGTTCCCTAGCAGAGAACAACTGTCACCCGTTCCAACACAACACACTCATGTGGATGCATAATGGGAACCTGGGAGGATGGTACCATATAAAACGACCGCTTGGCGACTCGCTAGCTAACAAGTGGTATCTGGGCGTTAAGGGAGGAACCGATAGCGAGTGGGCGTTTGCTCTCTTCTTAGATCTGATGGAAAAGGAAGGAGTTGATCCCAGCTCAGCGCCAGAGGGGGGATTCGGCCCTGAACTGTTGAGAGGAGTGATGACTAAAACGATCAGGAAGATTAACGAGTTCATTGCTGCTATTCCGAAGGAATGTGCTATGACTGACCTTGAGGTTAGAAGTCTCCTCAACTTTGCGGTAACAGATGGGCATTCTGTCATCTGTACCCGGTATGTGAGCAGCAAAACGGATGAGGCAGCTAGCTTGTATTTTTCGTCTGGAACAAAATGGAAAGAAGGCAAAGTCAAAGGCGATTTCAAGATGGAACGGCACGACAAGGGGGCTGATATAGTCCTTGTTGCCAGCGAACCACTCACGTTCGAGAGGCGTAAGTCGAAGCATCTCCCGTATCACTGTATAGCCCACTCTGACCTTGTTAAAAATCTAGATAACTGGGTTACTGTACCAACAAACTCCATCCTTACCATTCATAAGCAAAAGGTTCTCATACACCCCATCATTGATGAGTTTTATGACGGGGACCCAAATCACGATAGATCATCCGGGTTTGCCGTCTCAAAGGGTCTAGTGAGCAAAGCTCCTGGAACCACTGTTGCCCCTGAAGGCGAGGCTGCTCTCAGGTCCAATGGAATAACCAAGACTAGCATTTCGGCATGCGCGGCAAGAAGAGAGCTGGACAGTCCGAGCCTAGAGATGCACCGGAGTACCAACGGGATCGCCCTTCCTTCTTAGCTCCTCATTTCCGCCAAATATTCTCCGTCATATAACGACTCTTTTCCTTTTTTTTTACTAAGACCTTATTTCGTGCTTAGATACCCATGCTGTTCTCATTCTGGCGACTTTTGAAGACTCGATCTTATCATATTGGCTATTTCTATTACCATGATTTATTTCCTCTCCGGCAACTCCTAGGGTATATAGATTGATATAAAGTTAAATCGTGGACATCGTATCCAGTTCTCTTTTTGCAAGCAATGCAGCCAACCATCCTTAACCCCAAATACCAATTAGAATATTCTCATCCATGAGGAAAGACAACAGAAAGGGAGAAATCACAACGTAATATACACAAAGCGGAATAAGTTGAATGCTCACCACTTCCAGATAGACCACACGTCATACTCATGTATCATCTCCCGAAATATTTGCGTGCCTGAAATATTTCATGCCCACCCAAGCAACCACCACCCAAACCCAAGCCATCACAGCGGTCAAAACTATCAATGCAGGGTAATAGCCTACAATCGGAAGAGTGGCATCATCCTCCAGCTCAGGTGGCGCGTAGGGGGTTTCTCCAACATCCCACGCCCAGCTCCAGACCCCAAGGCAGCTGCCCATACCGACAACAAAGACCAACCAGGTAACTATCAATATAATCCAGCCCCACCACTCCGTTTCAGAGTAGTCCCATACTTCTGAAGGGCTGGTTATTTCGGCTGTATTTGACGTGGCTAATGGTGAGCGGATCCGCTGAGAAGCTGAGCGTGAGCGCTGTACCATGACGCCCGTATGTTTGAAGAAGGACTCCGAGCTAGAAGAAGCTGTCTGTAGAGGCTGTAGTGGGATACGTCGAGGTGGTATAATGGGCGAGGTAGATATGCTGCTGTTGCTTGTTTTGCTCGAGAGACGAGAGAAGTTGGATGTGTTTCGTCGAGGTAGGGAGAGCCCGTCCTCATCGTCTGTTGTAGCGTCATCCTGATGAATGGAATTCGATGCACTGGGCAGCCCTCCAGGTGCGGGATTTGGGAAAGAATCAGTGCCTATCAGGGAGTGTCGCAACTGCTGCTTCTGCTGTTCCCCCAGCTGAGTTTGGCTCCATGGTGTGGAGAGCGAGTCTTCGCTGTTGATAGCAAGCGTACTTGAAAGACTAAAGCTTCGTCGAGGAGTAGACTCGCCGTCCTCAAATGAGGCCGAGATCCGCTGCTGAAGTTGAGGCAACTGTGGTTTAACCTCTGCAGCAGCATTCAGACCAATATTTCCATCTTCGAAGCTCTTGTCCCCTCCGCCACTATTCTCCTCTCTGTCCCCCGTCCCATCGTATTGATCGAGAAATATCCCTGTTGCTCGCTTCAACACTGTACCACCACTGGAAAACCTTTCCTTCCCTTCCATCCGCAACATCCCCGTACCAAGCAACGCAGTCTTCCTCAACGAGCCTTTTCTCCTCCGTGTCTTTCTCCTCTGTAGATTCAACATGCTGGCCATAGCCCTATCTGGAACCTTTAGCCGCGACCCCCCCATCTGCTGCTGGGCTGTCGCCCGCATCTTGCCACCACTGTCATCCCCATCCCCTTCCTCTTCCCCCTCGGCCCTGTCATGTGTTTTCTTCGTAGCGTCGTGGGAATTCATGCGCGAAAACGAGAACCTCGAGAGTAAGGAACCGGGGATTCCAATGCTGCCGGTACTATTTCTCTTGTGGTAGTTGGCTGGCACAACGCTCTCCCCTAGACGTGGCCCAGAGGCACCGTCAAGTTGCGTCTCTGCGTTTCCATCTCCCATGAACGGGAGTAGACGTAAGTAAGGATATCACGTTCAGTGGTCAAATAGGCCAGAGGGTGGGGGATTTGAGTAAAAATCGCGGCGTAGAGCAAACTTCTTCCGGTGAACTTCGTGAAATCCGACTTTGCTTACTTAGATGGAAATTGAGTTTGGTGGGGAGAACATCGCGACGCTTGGCAAGGTTGCTTGTTTTTTGATCTTATATAAAGATTACAATCTATAAGTAAGAGTTGATATGTTTATGTGATTGTACCCTGTAGAGAGACGGAGAGAGGGAAAGAGGTTTTGTATAATAGCTAGGATATTTTATGTATATAATCCAATGACCTAAAGAGGAGACTAGCACCTATCAATCTGGGCCTGAAGGGGGAAAAAAATACTTCGAAAGATCTCTGCTTGCTGGGAAGAATGCATTTATCATACCATATAGAAATCATCAAGTCGTCAACCATCATTATTAGAAAAAGGGGGTATCAAAAGCTCATGGGAAAAAAACCGATGACTGCTATGAAAAGCTCATTTTCTCACATCTCACCTGATAAAGCAGACATAAATAGAGTAATAAGAGTAGGTGGAAGGTAGAATAGACTCCCATCATCCTTTCTGTATGTATGAATAAAGGAATAAATAAACGAGCAAGGAAACCCCAAGGAATCAAATCAATTCAAGTTGTGATGAATAGATATAAGAAGACAGATTGAAGTCGAGAAGGAAAGGAAAATGTAAAAATAAAGACCGGGCCTGAGAATCATTATCAGGCGTTAAGCGGTAGAAACGAGAAGTAAAGGGGCCGAGGGGGTAAACACTTTTTTTTAGTTCAACTTCAGGCATCAACCGCTGTTGGTTAGAATTGGTCAGATGACAGAGAGGAGAGTTAAAGAAGAGAAGAAGAAGAAAAGAAAAGAAAAGAAAGCATTGTTCAAAAGAGACGTCAAAGGAGAAAGGTCTCACAGTCATCATAGTAAAGGAAAGACAGATGAGGCTAAAGACTAGCAACAAAGAGAGCTCTGAGAAATAAGCCAAAAAAAATATGGGGGAGGGGAAGGGAAAGAGACAACATAGGGTAGAAGGAATCCAAATTGAGATGGGGATGGGGTATTCGCAAATAGAGGGCTTCATTCAGGAGACACACAGAGAGATGAACAGAGAGAAAGGCCAAACTCAGGCATAGATGAATAGAGACGTGAATATGGAATGAAAAACCCCCCAGCAAGAAACAAAAAACCTTACTTTGAGCATGAATACCACTGGCAATTTGGGAATTGAGGGTGGATGTAGAAGAATATGACCAAAAGGGGGAGGAAAAGGGGGAGGAAAGGGGGGGGGAGAATAAAAGGAAGGAAAGTAAGACGGGTGGTGTGTAGGCCAAATGTGAAACCAAAACAAAATAAAAGTCAAGCAGTGAATGGATAAAAAAATTTTGGCATAGAGATAGAAATAAAGAAAAAGATAAAGAAAATAATAACAGAGCTACCCGATGACCAAACCAAGAAGTTACGCTCAGGGATGATGATAATCGTGATAAAGATCAGAAATCGGATGCAGGGTGTGTAAAGTATGGAGTGGTGTAGTGCAGTGCAGATGCCGAGGCAGGTGTGTGAGTCGGTGAAAAGCATGGAAAAACAGTAGAAGTAAACAACTCAAGTCTGATAACCACCAAAACCGTTACCAAAGTTTCCACCAGCACCACCAACACCGACACCGTTGTTAGGTTGCTGGGCCCATCCGGCGGAAGGAGGGTTGGACTGGCCACGGCCGTAGCCAGCAGAGGCGGCACCAGGCCCTCCGGGACCTCCAGGGCCTCCAGGGCCTCCCTGCACGGGAACTTGAACTTGAGGGTAGCCTTGAGCTGGGGGAATTCCACCTGTGACGAGTTAGCGATGAAATCAACCGTGGCCTTGGTTTCGATGCGGGGGACCGAGTTGGACAGAGATACATGGGAGAAGCCAGTGACAGGGATAGGGGTGGGGAAACAATACCTTGAGGAGTCATCGGGCCACCTGGGCCGCCGTATTGAGGAAAGTATGGCGAAGTGCCAGAGTTGAAGGCTGGGTTTCCACTCTGCTGAGGCGAGTATGCGTCGAATTGACCGGTTGGCGGACGGTCCTTACCCCACTGAAGACGGGAGACCCACAGTGTTAGTACAGCGGGATGAAAGTTTAAGAAAAAGGGTCGAGAGAAGATAAGAGTAAAACGGGAGAAAACATACACTACACTTGAGAGGGCGGCCGTTGACATTGTAGCCGTTGAGCTGGCAGATGGCCATGGCAGCATTCTCATGTGTGTCCATCTTGACGAAGGCGAAGCCACGGTCAGCCTGGAAGCGGGTCTCGACGACATACCCAAAGTTCTGGAACAAGGGGATGAGGTCGTTCTGGGTGGTGTAGGGGGTGAGGTTGCCGACGTAGCAGGTAGTTTGCCATTGGGGAGTCTGCTGAACGACCATGTCGTAGCTCTGGACACCGTGAGTAGGGAAGTGGTGATGCCCGAAGGGGGTAGTAGGAGTCATGCCCATGGCAGCCATGGCTTGTTGCTGGGAGATGGAAGGCTGGCCCTTTTGGTTGGCCCAGTTGCAGCGGATGGCACGGGAACCAAGCCACTCTCCGTCCATGGAGCTGAGGGCCTTTTCAGCATCGGCTCTGTCGCGGAAGGCAACAAATCCGTAGCCACGAGATCGACCCGTCTTCATATCCCACATAACACGAGCTTCGGAGACGGAACCGCAGGCAGAGAAGGCCTGGAGGAGGACTTCGTCATTGACTTCGTTGCTGAGGTCACCAACAAAAATGTGAAAATGGTTGGAGGTGTCCTCCTTGGAGGCAGTGTTAGACTGGTAAGCCCAGTTGACACGAATTTCCTAAAATTCTATTAGTGCCGACACTAATCAGGAAGGCTAGATAGGAGAAAACATACTGACTGGTGAACACGGCGGCCATTAAGGGTCTGCATAGCACGCTCTGCCGCACCAGGGTCGTCGTATTCTATAAAGCCGTAATTCAAGCCTTTGCTCTGGAACTGTGCGGGAGATTGGGTTAGCGGAAAGTGAAATAGAAGGGTGGTAAAGTTTAAGAAGTTAGATAGTAAACAAACAAAGAGGAAGACACCCCCAAAAAAAAGAGGAAAGCAAGATATATAATAAGTATAGTGTGTGAACGGTTTCACCAGCACAAGTAGATGGCAGGTACTCACGTTCTTGTCAGGGATGATCTTGACACTCTGGACATGGCCAGTGGTCTCAAAGATCTGCTTCAAGATGTCTTCTGTGACGCGAGGGTCAAGGCCACCAACGTAGAGAGCTCGTTTGTTTGGCTCTGGGGCAGAACGACGCACATATCCACCAGCAGCAGTGGGCGACATCATGTTGCCTGACATGGGCGAGGTGATGGCCGTAGGGATTGGGTTGGTGTTTTGCGGGATGACAACCGGCGGAAGCGGTGGGGGCGGCATGTGTGACGGGTTTGGCTGTCCATTTCCCTGAGAGTTGTCGAACTGCTGCTGCTGCTGTTGTTGCTGCTGCTGCTGCTGCTGGCCAGGAGCGCCGGCAGATGACTGATGGGGAGGGGGAGGCAGCGAAGAAGTCGCTGGTGGGGCGTTGTCAGCCATTGCGAGGACGGAATGAATAGGCTAATAGAAATCGAAGAGAGCCGCTGGACGAGTTGAACGGGCTAAGAAAGAGAAAAAAACTACGAGATGGTCGAAGAGTTGTGCGTATTGTGCGTTGTGCGTGTGTGCGTGCGTGTGTGAAAAGGAAGGCTGTTGAAGTTGAGGCTGGAGCTAGCTAGCTACTTCTTGCGTTCGAGGCGGAGAGAAGAAGAGAGAGAGAGAACAAGAAAAAACCCCTGTTTACTCTGGCGAAGTTCCCAAGGGCATCGAACGGCCAACGCTGGGAGAAGATAATATTATCAGAGTGAGAAAAAGAGAGAGAAGAGAGGAATACGCACAAACGACAGTTTTTTTTTTTTTATTTTCTTTCCCCCTTGCCTGTCTTGCTTTCTTTTTTTTTTCTGTTTAACTGAACTGATCTAGCTGAGTCGGAGATGGACGAGAGGGAAAACAGGCAGACGAGAAAGGGAGCCGGTTCAATGGCAGCGACTCGAGCCTGTCATAAGACGAACAGAAGAGAGAGTCAAGATCAAGAGAGACGAAGATAGAGATACGTAGGAAGAGGGTAGAAGTAGTAGAAGTAGTAGAAGTAGGAGAATTACAGACGACAAGACAGCAAGGAGCAAAGGAAACACGGAAACACGGAGAACAAGGAGACAAGGCGGGCAAAAAGCAAGGAGAAGGAGAAGAAGGAGAAGAAGATGCAGAGAGCGCTTCGTGGTGAAGAAGAAGAAAAGAAGAAGTTGAAGTTGAACGTCGAAAAAAAAAAAGAGATAGAAATAAAAGGCGGCCTTTGCGTTCTGTCGTTGACTAAGCGAAAAGTGCCAACACTTCACCATCTACATACACGGCAGTATACAGAGTACATGTACTTCTCTTCTCTCTCTCTCTCGTCTACTTATTATCACTCTCTTGGCTGCCGTCTGCCACTGGAAAAAAGCAAAGAGTGAAGAAAAGTGACAAGAATCAACAGTCTTTTCTACCAGAGAGTCATGTGACTTGGCCTTTCCCACGGTTTGAATGATGAAGTCGAAGATAAAAGTCGACTTCTTCTCTTGTCGCTTAATATGTTGCATCTCCATGATATCGAGAATACCTTGTCATCTGCTGGCTTTATACGAGTGTTGACTTCTTCTAAGGGAACGTCATTCCGGAGCTCATCTCCACACGGCAAACCAGCAAAATCTGGAGCTTCATCCCAGCAGTGCCAAAGCTTCTTCCTAGTCTCTCCGGCACAGGCAATAGTTATAAGGACTAATTAGCATCGTTTACAGACAAGAGTCCGTCTCAGGGCAAGCAGCTGGAAGGCACGACGTCGTCGAACCGACAAGCTGAAGCGAAGCAGAGATGGTGGCCCGGAGGCAGGCGTGTGAAGATGCCTTGAACGAGCTGACGGCCATGGCAAACAAGACGGTAAAAATTCCTGCGGAAAAGAAAGAGAAAGAGACAACTAACACTTGGGCTAGATGATTGCAACAGGACGGTGGTTTCGTCGTCCGGACCGTGGTACACACGAGCTGAAGCGTCACATACCACCAGCGCATGAGCAGTTCCAGCGGGCTCTTGACCGGCTGCAGCAGGAAATTGTACCGCCCTCCTATTTGTCGCCATATTTTAAAAGTCCAGTCTAACAGGCCTTTCTCGGTTTAGTTTCTCGCCAAAGCTCTGCTGGAGAAGGATTACCACGCTATACGTGAGAAGAAGGCGGCCACGAACAGGGCTCAGCAAGGAGGGGATGCGGCAGTAGGTGACCAGCCAGTTGCGCCAGCCCCAGCAGCACCATCATCGTCAACAGAACCCCCCGTAGCACCTCCAGCGGCAGCACCTGCCGTCGATGGAGCTCTGCTGCCGACCACAGAGCCGGTTCCCACGGCTACTCCCGCACCCACTACACAACCAGCAGATACGCAGGTGCAGCCGTCGTTACCGCCATCAGAACCAACAGCTGTCCCAACAATATCACCGCCACTTACCACAGCGGCAGCAGAGCCAGTCCAACCGCCAACCACTGCAACGGGGGACGCGCCGGATCCTGTATCCAATGACACTTCCCTCGATCTACCTTCTACCACCGCCGAGCCCATGGCACACACCCGGAGTAGCCTCAGCCATGCCTCAGGCTCCATAGGTTCGCTTCTCCCGGGTCTAGAGACATACGCCAATACCGGCGAGGAGGCCATTTTGGACCTCTTGCCGACGAACGGACAGTCCAATAACCAGGTCAATCAGGTCAACGGCCAGGTCAATGGTCAGGCCAATGGCCAGACTAGTATCCAACAAAACAATCAGAGTAATGTACAGAATCAGAATAATACGACTACAGAGAACCCCCGTCGCGATGTGGTGATGGAGGACGTGCCAGAGTCAAACTTTGACGACCTCTTCGTCGGGTCAGGAGACTTTGGCGGCGACGCTGATGACTTGATGCTGAATACTGCTGAAATGACCGAGCTGGATGATTCGTGGTTTCAGTAACAGTGTTAAACATAGCCTTCTAGTCTGCGTGATATCAGACGAAGGGCGACGTGGCAGCAGTATGTATACATGTCTAAGCATGTACGTATACAACTAAGATAAAATAAATCATGCATCCAGCTGCCATTCTAGCCTCACTAAGACTTTCAACCGTTCAACCTGTCAACTATGGGGAAACACACGTCAATCCCGATTCCACACCAGCCAGAGCATCGTATACCGCCCCATTAGAGGTGAGTCAGATATGCATAACTTTGCGTCTATCATCCACGTCTAACATCCATGTCCTAACAACCCATCCGCATGTTGTGAGTCCATAGCCTCTTGACACTGTCGGAACAACCACCAACATCCTTAACCCAGGACGGTTGACAAGCAGGCCGAAACGCTGTGGCAAGTAGCAAGGAGCCTCGCTTTGAGGAGCGTACTATGTAAGCGTCCAGTGTCCGGACAAGAAACCGATCAACCGTTTTTTTCCTTTCCTCCCCCTTGTCCCTGTTCCTTGCCACAACGGTGGTGATGACAACCCGAGAGACCCGGGCAAGGGGCAGGGATCGAAGCAGTGTTTAAAATTGATCCCCTTTTCTTTCAGTCATATTCTGTTTTATTATATTTGCAACAGAAATGGCTGCCTAATTAGCCCTTATGAATCACAGGTCGAGAACCAGAACACAGGCAAATTAACGAGTATCAAGGAGGCAAATGTCCTGCAGCCCTTGTAACTAAATACCGGTCGGAGAACAGTGACGATAATAAAAGTTGTCTTTATTTTAGTTTTCAACAACAAAAACGAAAGATGTTGCGAGTGCCTAGTCGGGAACATCACGAGACTTCCTCCTTCGTCCTCGTTTTTTCTCTTGTTTGATCCATCTTGTTCCCCTACACATACTACGCACAATAACATAAATACAGCTTGCGATACATATTGTAAATAATTTCGACAAATTGACAGCAGGGTCCGGAGAAACGGATGATGAAACCCATGGAACCCTCAGGCCTTGTCATGCAGACGATCATGCCGGCGTTCAAATTCCAACCACTGGCAGCCTCAAGAGAAGAGGATGTAACCAGTTCAGTCATTCCTCTCTTATCTTCTTCCCACAGACTGAGAGCTAACGCGAGACTTTATAGCTTCAACCTGTACATATGCATCTCCGTGGAGGAGTCATATCTCGTTGAGAAGCAGGATGCCTGGCACCCAAACTATCATAGCTTCCCTGCTGTCCCCACAGCCAAACAGTGAAAAACCCAAGCAAACGAAGGACCCGGCAAGACGGCGGACCACGCTGCATGATGACGCTGGAGCCCTTCGCGTACTATGTATGGTTCTTGTTGTTAGCTGCATCATCGCTTGGCTTGCACCCCTTGTCAGTACTTTTTTTTTTTCTTCTTCTTCTTTCTCCATCTCACGGGGAAATATAACTATAAAAGGCATTTTCTCTCGCCTTGCTCGGTCCGGAATCGCCTCCTTTTCTTCCTTTTTTTTCTTTGTTTATATAGGATCTAGATCCCTTCGTTCGACAGCCGGACTCTTTCAGATACGGTAGACGGCTCATTCGATCCATGGTACCATCCTAAGATTAAAAAACGGCCTCATCCATCTACCTTCTACCGGTTCGTTGCTCCCATGTAGAAAATTCAAGGACAAGCTTGGTGTCTTGTGACTGCGCTCGGTGGCGGTGGTTACTGATGTACTGTTCCCTCCTTTTATAGTGCGAATGAACGCCTCCCCGCTGGCTACTCCGTCATCATCGTCTTCTTCTTGGATCTTCTACGTAGTCGCATCTTCTTCTCGTTGCTGTATATAGCTCTTTTTTTTTCGGCGTACCGTTCTTTACAGGGAGAGACACTTCGTGTTTTATCTCTGGAATCGGTTGTATATCAATTGGGCTTTGACAAACCTGCGGCACCCGGAAGCTCACTTGTCGCCTCCATAAGCAATCTATAAGCTACCGGCGGCGAAACTGTCTAGCAAAAGAAAAAAGGAAAAGGCAGTCCGGTCAAACTGGCGTCCTACATACAACATGGAAAGCGACTCGTTCGCCGTTCTATGAACATTAAAGAAGGCCCTCGGGATACGAGCCCTAGTCGCTGCTCGTCGACGAGCAGCCGGTCATTGGCTGACCACGCTGCCAGCAGCACGATCATGAATAGCACTGAAGTTGAACGTACATTCGAGGAGCACACGAAACAGCTCACGGATACCCTACAAAGAGATTCTTTCTCCCGCGCATCCTCCTTGGAATCGTCCGAAGATACTTCATCCCCGGTACCGAACTCTACCCTTCCCTCGTTCCCTCACGAGCGCATAGTGGCATCGGGAAATGGCATTGTCGTGTTGATAGGGCTTGCAGAGCCGGTGCTCTTCCTCGAACGGTTTGATAAAAGGGTTCCGTCTGGCAAGAAGCGTGTCATCTCTGGCTCATTGCATCTCAAGATCACAAAGCCAACGAAGATAAAGAAGATAAGCCTCGGCTTCAAGGGTACCGCCAGGACACTATGGCCCGATGGTGAGGAGGCGCCCAATATCCGCCAAATCATAGAGCAGCCCACAGCTAACTTGGGATATCTAGGCATTCCCGGAAACAGGAAGAAGACAAAAGATACGAAGATAGTGCTCAATCTCGACTGGGCCTTCTTCGATGCCCAGGCTCGCACTTCACGGAAAAGCTATGGTGCGAATCATATCAAGTTTACCGAGCCGAAAGAGAAAAAGCCCGGAGGCAGTTCTTCCGTCATCGACCTGTCCAGTTTAGTTGAGTCGTCAGTATCATTGCCAAAGGAGCTCAAAGCTCTATCACTACACCGCTCGCGATCGAATAGCGTTGGAAAGGGTGATTCGCATTTGATATCAGACCTGGTGATTCAGAGAGGTTACAAGACATTCCCGCCAGGCGAATACATGTACGACTTTGAAATACCAATGGAGCACCAGTACCCAGAAACCGTCAAGTGGGACCATGCATCTGTCAAGTATGAACTCGAAGCTGTGATCGAACGTGCTGGCGCCTTCCGCCCAAACCTCGTTGGCACCAAGGAGATACCCCTTATCCGCACACCAGGCGAAGATTGCTTGGAACACGTCGAACCAATTGCAATCAGTCGAACATGGGATGACAAGTTACATTACGATGTTGTCATTACAGGAAAATCATTTCCCTTAGGGTCCAAGATACCTGTGGCGGTTAAATTTACACCACTCGCAAAAGTTGGCTTTCACCGTATCAGCGTTTTTATAACGGAAAAGGTCCAGCTATGGGCTCGTGACAGAAAAGTCCATCGCGTAGCTAGCGATAAGATGCTGTTACTCTTTGAAAAAAGAGCCGGTTTGCCTAGCAGAAGCATCTATCCGGGTAGTACTATGCGTCTCACCTCCGGAGGGAACCAACCTATTGCCCTCAACGGCGAGGATTTGGCTAGTGGTGGATCAAATTTTCTAGGTGACATCAACCACGAGAGTTTTGGTGTGGGCACAACAGAGCTAGAGTGCGAGGTGCAGCTGCCTAGCTGTCCAGTTATGAACAAGATGCCAGACGCCACGATGAAGCTTCATTGCGACGTACAGTATTCTAGTATTGAGATTTCTCATTCGGTGAAGGTAAGTAAAACAACGCGTTACTCCGAGAAATACGGTTGGTCTAACAATGTTACCGCAGCTTGTCTTTCGATTATCGAAATATGACGCCGCGGCTCCTCGAAAACGACGCCAGTTTGACATATCCATTGATTCGCCGATGGCAATAACTTCTTGCAAGGCAAACGCGTCAAATATTTACGTACCTTCGTACAATTCACCCTCATCCTACTACACAGATGAATATGAGTGCGGGTGTCCGGACGCCGCCACTTTGTCACACGACGTAAATCTCAACCCGACGCTCTCCTTACCACTCTCCTTATCAAACGTACAAACACCACCTCCCGAATTCACCAGCAGGTCAAACAGCACCTCTCAACAAACTGACACGCATCAACATGAACAAAACCGCAATGATCGACCAACCCGTCCAATCCACTTTTTGCGGGCGCCATCATTTAACCCGCCGCCGTTTGAATCTGTTCCACCACCGCCACCTCCCCTTATGAGTCCTCCACCAGCCTATTCAAGCATCTGTTCTGGTGGGCTAGGGAACAATGAGATTGACGACTATTTCGCCCAAGCTCACGTGAGAGAAGGGCAATATGACGATAACGTGCGAGGCAGTGGACGGGTGGACGTACCGCTTACCCCTGGTGGACGTGTTCATCGCAGCATGGACATTCCTAGGGAATTTTTTTCAGAAGTCATGCTACCACAACTGAGGAATACATAATCTTGCATCTATCTACATATCTATGGCGTATATATTACGATCTTCATGACTGATGAATTCTTTTTTTCTTTTATGGGAGGCGCTAACCTGGCATTTTTGCTTAAGACATAAGAGCCGAAAGACAAGATACCACAGCTGATTTATATTAATTATTAATAATTTGTGAATTAGTTTCCATTAATAGCCCTTTGTGAATACCGGTAGGGCCTATGTAAACATTCAAATAGAAAGAAACTGGCAAGTGTGAGAAAATACAAAATAACCATTTTTGTCACCACCACATTCTGTGACCTAAAATGGGAAACCCATATACCTTCAATTGCTCTATTTGGCTCTGTTCAGTTTTATACTTATATCTACTTCAATCTCTAATAGCACCTCCGCATTGGTTCCTTTTCAAGGTAGAATATATCCTCGGCCTATGTTACCAAAATCATCAGTGTCTCTCTGCCTGTGTCAATTATGATAACATCTTCATATTATTTGTGGGATACTGCATGTTTAGTTATCATCGCTGCCGTTAAAGTCCTTACCATCATAGAAACAAGAGCAAGTGCTGAAATATAGGTCAAGGTGTGGTAATCGGTGAGGCTCTATCAAGGTTCATACCTTGTCCAGCTTAATAATGGTTGCGAAGGCCGTTTTAAAAAGGTTTTCTGGGGGTAAAGTATCAGGGTAAGACGATGGAATGCGTAAGTTTGAGTTGGCTGAGAAAGCACAGTGTGCAATACAAGCTTGGTACATTACAGTGGGAACAGAAGTCCATTAACTCCTTCAAATTTGGCAATTATATTGTCGTGTTTCGTTCTCGTATAATATCGTAAATGAGGCGGAGAAATAAACTTGACTGCTGTGATGTTATACGGGAAAAACAAAACCAGTTAATTCGGTTAGATACACATGACAGATGGTAAAAGAGAACGAAGGAAAAAGAAGGGCTTAGGTTGGATACAGATATCAATGAGAAAACTCCAAAAAGATATGAAAAGGAAAATCATCTAAATCATTTGAGGAACAGGAACTGATTGTGCTCGTTCATCTGGCCGGCTACAATTGCTTTCAACCGGTGTGTTAAGGCCAAAGAAGACGAGATACTCCTGGCCAAAGATGGAGACCCCAGTAGAGGAAAGGGCCGTTGCTGCCCGTGCATAAGCCCGAAATTATCTTAGTATTAATGAGCGGCACATAAGCGTACAGTCTGGTGGAATGGAATCCAGCTTTCTAGTACCTCCTTGGAGGTAAAGTTGGACGTGGCTGTCGTGGGCGGCGTGAGTGTAAGCTTGCAAAGGGACAAATTTGGCTGTCAGAGATCCAAATTTTGCAATAAGGGCACCATGTCAACCCCATCTTCTCGGAGTGAGTCGATAAATGTTGAGTATTTGTATTTCAAACTTGACGAAGTGGTAACTCTGGGGAAGATGAACTGGGAGCCTATCGTCGGGGAGTTTGTTATTCTTGAAAGCTTGATGATTGAGTTAAAAGGAGGGAGGAGTAGCATGTCTCTTTATAATTTTTGTCATTGCCAAAATTGTTCAATCGTCCTGCCAATATCAAGTACGCATCTTGCTGCCTATCTTCCAACTGTGAAGCTACTGCCTTGGTGATCTCTCTATTGTCCACATGATTGCAAAAGCTCTTTCCAAAATGCCACCCGGCAGAGATGTATAGCCACCCTCGAATTTCTTCTTTTTGTATCAATGGCAACAACTTTGCGTCCAGTAGCCTCTGATTATCTTGGGCCATCCTCAGGGCATTTGGTAGCATATCTGTGCCGCTTTTTCTGCCTAGATACCCTTGTTTAAGGATGTAAATTCATTTTCAGACTTGGGGACTTGGGTGATGCTTTAGGATGTATGGACCTCATAAGCTGCAACACGAAAAGCGTAAGATCCCTTATATCTAATATAAAGTGGTAGGCTAGCTCAATAGCTTGGGTCAAGAAGCAAGCGAGCTTTACTTGTTCACGCTCTTAGCTTTGGGTCTGGCATTGAATGAGTACGTGGGCGTTGCGGAGCTTGGTGGAAAAGCATAGTTATGACACTTTCCACATTACTCGGGTATCCACTTTTGAAAAATATCAAACTTCCTATTGGATAAAACTGTCGAGAAGGTTGATGTGGGGCCGGAAGTATAGCTTATCCGCGAGATGATATAAAAAATATCGGATAAACAACGCGCCTTGGGGGGCATGAACTTTCATGCGACCTGCATTTGCAAGTTGGGTACTCTTGGGACGCACACGAGACACCCTAAGCCCCTTTATTCTAGGCTTCAGTGGAGTAATCAAAGAGAGTGTACTTCGATAGTGAGATGCGGCTCAATAGCTCAGTACCAAAACCGTGTTATGCGTAGCCAATAATCGCTCAGCTTCTTGTTCTAGATTCTTCGCTGGGGAGGGTATCACACACCCTGCCTATGGTAATTAATACGAGTTGCCTGCAAGGCAAAAACCCTGGTTAAGTGGTGGCCAACGCGGTGCAGGGAATATCAGCAGCCCTGCGTACTGTTGCCCTACGCGAGGCTAGAGGCATAATGGCTTCCCCTCCTCTCATAGCAGCCATCACACTTGTGTACTGCCTATGGGCGGTGCTGGGTATTGTTTCTCCGTCTATCAAGTAAGCCGACATACGGTACATGTGATATACATGTATATAAGTATAAGTGTTCCGGGATATGGTAGCTAGGCAGCAAGGACCGTATGTGCCTTGGGTAAAATGCCCGACAGGGAACAGGAAAGGGCAAGCTGTGCATGGATCTAGCAAGATGTATTCCCAACTGGTATAACTGCAGTATCTCGGGCCTTGTGGTTATGTTATTGATAGAGGCAATAAAGAAGCTAGAGAAATGAGGCCCTAAGCCAACAAACCACTGTTCCGGTCCAAGTCGAGTTATCCGGCCACCTCTTTATTTGATTGCGACAAAACTTCTTCCAAGTCGATTATAAACAGGGATTTTAATATAAAGGCTTGACTTCTTCTATTATGTTTGTCATCTAGTCATGAGGAGAAGATGAGGAAGCCTTTTTGCTCGGCGGTATCAATAAGTCGTTTTATTAGTAAGATGTCAGCCAATAACAACAATAGCTCTAATTGGCGCCCACCTTATATAATCAATAGCGTGACCCGCGCTTAGCATCAGGTGGATGTGAAGACGCTGATGGATTTGCCTTGGTTGGGCTGCTAACATCTGGATGCGGCTTGTTTCTGTCTTAAAGCCGAAGGTTAAAGGCTGAGAGAAGGGATGGAGGAAAAGATGTAATACAGTTATCGGATGGAAAACCCCTGAAACATTGATGGAAGTGCACCTTAACTTCAAATGCACTGGAATGCTATCCAATAAGAAGGGTACCATATATGTACCACTAAGATTTGCCGTTATTAACGTCCTCTTGGCCGCTTTATGGATGACGTAAGAAGAGACAGTGACGGTCTATATACTATGTGAGTCAAGGTCCTTCCAACTTGTCGAAAAGCAGTATTAAGAAAACAACCATCCATGTATCACCAAGCAGACTTGGCGTTTAGTATCTGCATCGATTGCGCGGGGAGCAAATGCAGTCGAGATTGATATTAACCAAATCGTTATCAGTACATTTTTATGCACCAACCAGCAGAAAGGAAGCAAGTACCAGTTCACCAACGACAAGGAACACCAGCCTTGCCGCGTGATAAGCAGGTGGAGACGGCTCGTTTGCTCCTGTACAAATATAAGGAAACCGGTCCGGAAGGGCTGATGTTTGCTTTTGCAGAGTTCGCAGCGATTCGTCTGGCTGATTTCGTATTTATATCCAAAGCCGTGCTAAGCGTCAGTTAAATAACAAACTAGTTCCTTATTCATCACTGCCGTACTTAATCCCGTTCCTCCTTTTCTGCGCTGAACTTCTGGACAACTGCACAACACAACGCAACATCCGCCTACATCGCCCATCATAACCAGAACTACCCACTCAGTACTTGCTGAGAGACCATAAGAGACAGAGAATAAGAACCCTCAATCGTTTTCGCCGAACTAAAACCTTCCAGAACTTGAAAGCAACAGCGTCGTAGGCAGCCGTATCTTCAAAATGTTGGTGGAAATCAGACGTATGACCAAGGAAGATATTCCCGGCGCAATTGAGTGTGTCCAGACGGGGTTTGCTGATGACCCGTATTTTCGCTGGGTGTTCGATGCATCAAAGGTACGTTGATTGTATAAAACGTACTTGTGAGAGCTGTGGCTGTGGATGTGGAAATATCCAAGTAGATATACATGCATATAAACACACTCTCCTCGTCCATAACTCCAAAACCTCTAGAGAAAACAGCATTCAAAAGAATATGCAAGAGCACGGGGAGGAAAAGACAAAGACGAGACGAGACTTCTAGGCTGACATTATCCAATTCCTTCGCGGACCGAGGAGGAGAGTCAACGAGAGAGCGAGATTGGCCGCTCTCTCTCCTCTTCATCCGCGAGAGCTACCGAATGGCTCCTTGACCTATACTTATAGTTTTCCAAAGAAAGAAATGATTCTTCTCTAACAAACCGATGCCTATGGGGGATCAAGAATGCTCTTTTCTACGTAGCGAGAGAAGTCCCTTCGGCCTGCAGTACACCAGCTCAAAAGGAGCCAGCAGAGCCCCATGAGCAAACAAGCCTTTTACAAGACAAGTCGTCCTCTTCGTCCCCCGCTCGTGTCGTCGGCGTTGCCATGTGGCTATTACCCCAGCCTCGATCGAAACCGGACAGCTGGTTCACGTACTTCCAAACATGGCTTCTGAGCTTCCGTCAACTCCTAACCAACATCCGCTTCATGGGCCATGGAGGGCTGCTCGTACATCGCTACAAGATCTGGAAAGCTGCACAGGCAGATATCCAGAAGGAGCTCTGGACGGATGAGAGGGGATACTATTTCTGCAACGTGGTTGCTGTCAGACCAGAATTGCATGGTAAGGGTATTGGAAAACAGCTCGTCAACGTTGTGACTCAGCAGGCAGATGAAGAAGGTATGAAGTGCTACCTGGAGAGTTCCAAACAGGTCCCGAACATCCAGATATACGAAAGGTTCGGCTTTGAGTTGATCAGGGACTTGGTTTGTCATGACAATGGGGAGTCGTGTAAGGTGCGTTTCCCCTTTATCCTCAGGCCCTTTTTTTCATCTTTTCGCCCACCATGCAATCGCTCAGTAGCTAAACGGATGCCGTCCAGTTATATTGCATGACTCGAGAACCAAAATCCCGGAGCTGAAGACGCAGAAGAACCGAGTGAAGACGGAAGCAGAGGAGTAGTTGTTTTTTCCTTTTACTTCCCTAATCCTTATCCCAACACCCAGCAAATTGCCAATGATTTCCTTTCTCCTTGTCTTTCCTTTGGTGAGCGTTCGAATCGGGTCGAGAGGATGAATTCAAAGCCGGTTTATTGGGAGATATAGATTAGCCGTAAGAAGTTCAACCGGGCAGAACTGCCTTCTATGACCAAATGCTCCGTATGTGCATCTGTCCATCCCTTGTACATAATTGACGACACAATATCAAATCGTCCTTTTGCCCTGATCATTATCCCTATTACATATAGGATCGAGCATGCTCTCAAAATCCATCGACCAGCATCTGCTTGTCATCTGAGATGACAACATCTTCTTCGCCTAGCTTGTTATCGATTTGCTAGCCACGAACCCCAGACGAACATGAAACATGCCTCGGGTACAAATGCATCGCCAACAATCTATCCCGGACATCCTCACCACAAGGAGATCCCAGACAAACCGGCTTCTGACCTTGGTTTTATCCTTGGACTAAGTGGACTCTCCTCTCTCTCTCTCGGGCGTTCCAAGTTATGGAGGAAACATCGCCGACTTGCCCCTTAGCGCCGGAAACGGGCATCGATGCCGCGAGACGCAGCCATGGATGAGAAGGAAGACCCTTTTTTTTTTGCCACGAGCTGTGTCTGCGTTAAGGATGTCATGCAGGCTTCGATCTTGATAGGATATTCATCCTTATTTCCCAAGTCGACTAATAATAGCATGACAATCCGGCTCCTTCAGAAAGCTACCGTTGTTACGGAAGATACGACGGCCTTTTGACTCTTTTTTTCTTCCTATCCTCCCTTGCCAGGCCCTCTTTTTTCTCTTACAGCCGTTGACAAGAATAGATTGCCTGCCAGCTTTACTCGACCCTTATTTTCATTTCTTCTCCCAATAGGAACGCTGGAGAGAGAATCGATCAGGCTTGTGGCTAAAGACGGAAATCCACCATTCTGATACAAGGGGACCCGAAAATCCGTTTCGAGCAAATAAAATTACTTTTCTCTCTCTTTTTCTTGACTATCAACCTTCTTTACTGACTATATGTCATCGTTACCTTCTCTTTCTCTCTTTCTCTTGCATCCCATTTGCTGCTTTTCTTCCCGTCATCCCCCCCTGTGGCCCTGGGGTTTGGATAATGGCATTTTTATATACCTACTATACTAGCATATTTCTCCTGTGGAGAGAAATATGGCGTCCCAGCTGTGGGTTAAGGTTGGCCTTCCCGGAAGTTGATATGCATGTCAAAAAAAAAAGGAGATGCTTGCCTTATATCTACATAACTTATTATACCCCCTGTATTGAGAGAACGGGTACATGTACTCGCATTGGTTGATATACGGCGTATATATCACCACCACGGCCATATATATTCCACAAACGGCAATTCCATGCTCATTGAGATCTAAACGACACTTGCCACCCCCACTGATCGCTATAACTATCATTGCATCCTTTATCCTCGCATCGGGACGATTGCCGATTTTCTTCGTTTGCTCCCTCTCCCTCTCTCAGTTAGTTCGTTTATATAACAGTTTTTATGTATCCAGTGATATCCTGAGACCATTTCCCCCCTCCTTCTTTTGTTTGCCTGACAAGCAGCGTAAACAACCTATATTCAACTCCGGCTATTATATCAATTTTGATACCCCCCTCTTCTACACCTCCTTTCATTCGTTGGGCCTGTCCTCGTTTCCGGAAGCAAGTAAAAGGAAGCTTGGACGACGGGGCACTTGTTTCAGACTGTGCCAGAGAGAAAAAAGACAACCCCTCCGATTGAAATTATACTTACATGAGAAACTGGAAGAGTCGACGCGTGTCATCGAATTGGACCCTCTCTCCATTGAATACTTTTTCCTTGGGCTAGGAATGAGTTCGAGAGGCAGGAGTCGAATGACGGAAGAGGCACTTACCGCAGCCTAAAGATATATCTTACAACGAAGTCATAGATGCTATATACCATCGGAGATAAACAACGGAATAGGTGGAACCCAAAGGTTTTAGTCCAGACTTGAGCCGACTTCCATATCGAGGTTTTTCCATCTCTCATTCTCAACAGTATACAACTATATAAATATGCATACTGGGCATATTACTTCGGCTTCGAGTCGTGTTCCGGAAATCATGCCACGCCTCAGTTTGGAGACTATCGCCCTAAAACGAGTCAATGACGACTTGGGAGCCGCAGCCGCAACCTACAAATCTAGTGGTGAAGGTGAAGTCGACGGCTCTACTGGCGGCCATAGCCCACCTCGCGTTGCAATCCTGGTTACAACTGTGGCTGGTAAGTCGTAACAAAATACATACAACAATACTACAAGAGACTAATATATCCATCTAGCCGTCATCATCGTTGGTATGTCACTATTCTGGTTTGTTAGATGGCGAACCAGGAAAGCGCGGTACCTCTCTAAATATACCCGCCGTCAAACTTCAACCAGAACTGGAAAATCTGAAATAAGCCTGAAGAAGCATTCTCCGCCACCAACAGGTAAATGGTCGAAGCCAACCGCAAAAAGTGGCTTAGATTGGAATCCAGAATCAACATTTGCAAAGCCATCTGCTACGAAACCATACGTGGGAAAACCATACGCACAATCACAAGCAATGCTCTCTTCTTCAAGCATCAAGAATTTCTGGCATAACTCCATAGGGGCAAGTCGAACTCCGAAGCTGCATGTTAGGGGTAAGCTCTCCTCCAGCTCAAAGGAACTTGAAGGACTACCTATACACCACCGAGGTGATAGTGGTGGCAATCCACTCCTCCGTGAAACCGTAACAGAAATCGAAATGCCACCAAAGGGCTTCCAGAGGGCACTGAGTACTCCTTCATCCTCCATATTCCATCTAGATCGACCTTCGGTGAGAGACAGGCCGCTGTCAACTACTTCCACCTTGGATCAAACACCCCATAATGCATCTACTGCCCAAACTGGGTCGATGGTATCGAAATATCCATGGTCACCAACTACGCACATAACCCCGATCGAACCATCCTACAACTCGATGACATTCTTTAACCACCGAGAATCATACGGCAGCAGTATTCATAATATCGAAACCACGGCAACAACCACGACGGACCATCCACGCTCTCATCACCAGAATAGCTAGATAAATCAAACGATTTATCCATTTACCACAGGTATTGGAGTATGGCCTTTTGCTTACTTCGGATACTATTCTTCCACATCTTTTTTAACATTTGCTTTTTCTTCTTTATATCCCCCATTTGTTTTTGCTGCGTAGATCCTCTATGCTTTATGTGAACTTGTTTTTGATGGAAATGGCGAAATGAGGGAAAGAGACTGACTGCATTTGGACTTCGGAGTATACTAATGACATGTTGGGAGAGTTTTGTGGGCATCAACAATCTAAATGCATTCTTCACTTCTTGTTTATTATTTTTATTATCCATCTATTTATACCGATATATTTTATTCAGTTACATACAATATGGCTTGTTCAGGCTGTAGACATAAACATGAATAGTTTACCTCAAGAGTATAGTTAAAACGTCGTGACATGATATTTCTAGTATATCCTTCTTTCCACCCACCCATACGACCCATACCAAACATCACCGAAACCACCAGACAATACAAGATAAAAGAAAATATTTTTATAAATAGAGCTGACCATTAAACGACAAGAGCATAATATTATTACACGCTAAAGATCTAGCCCTTGAAGCTATTATTAGCAAAACACTCTTGTCTTCCGCTAGACTTTTTTGGGATATATGAGAACACGCTTGATGTATGTAGGTAGTAAGCGGTGGATCTGCTGATTATACGGTTTCACGTCGAAGTCATGGAAATGAGCCAGATCCAGGGGGAAAAGGTACATTTATTCTCGGGAGACATCACGGCCGAAGAGTTTCGCCTTGAGCCAGTCAACGACCACGAGGACACGGTTGCGTGCTGTGGATCAAACTGTCAGTTCAAATCTGAAGCTTTAGAATGATGAAGTATAAAGGTGAAGACTTACTGCTAAAGCACATGCTAAGATAGGCACTTCTCCAGAAAAGATAGGTCAGGGTTCCACCACTGGCAATGTTGCCGCTCAACCAGCTGATATCTGCCACAGCACGTTCTTTACCAATATAGGCCAGACTTCCCTGGTGAGAGTACTGGAAAGGGCCAACTTGTCTAGTTCGTCTCAGTTGTTGTTGCAAGGCTCTGATCTCATCTAATACCTTGTTGCGATCTGTGTCGTCCTTGGCCTCCGATTGCGCAACTGATAGTTGACTGAGCTCTTTTTCAATATTGTCTGTCTTAGCCATAGTGTTAAACAGCCTAGCTAAGAAGGCACCTTCCTGGCTCGCTACCTGGGCAGTTGGAGCATAGTTGGTGATGGCACAATCTCCCACAGCCCAGATATTTTCGGTTCCGTTCACGACGAGGTACTCGTTCACGGCTAAGCCACGGCGAGATTTCTTCTGTGCTGGTATTTGGTTCATGAGGTCACGGACCACATCCCGCACTGCGTTGCCGGTGGCCCAGACAAGAAGGCCGTATGGGATTTTTTCGATCTCCTTGGAGCCATCTGGTTTAGTGACCTGAGCTTCAATATACTTATCAGTGACACTCTTGACCATGGTACCAGTTCGAATGGTGATGGCCTCCTCCTTGAATGTGGATTCTGTGTAGTCGATCAACTGTTTGGAGAACATGGGAAGGACCTGTGAAGTGTCAATGCTGGTTCAACCGAGTGCGCTGAGGAAGTTAGAGTATACTAACATTGGGAAGAGCTTCAACTAGGGTGACGTGGAAGCTGTCCTTGATATCTGGTATCCATTTTCTTAGGTCTTCGTTGAAGAAATCCTGCAGCTCACCAGCAAACTCGACACCAGTTGGGCCACCGCCTACCACAACCATATGTAGAAGCCTCTTGATCTCATCCTGCGTCTGATCTTTGAATATGGCGGTCTCAACGCAGTCCATAATACGGGTTCTAATCTTTTGAGCATCACCAACTTCTTTCAAGAAGCAGGAGTGTTCTTGAACACCGGGAATACCTATGATTCAGCGGTTAGCAAGCCGACACTTGAGAAGAAATTCATCAGAACCAGCACTATCACCTACCGAAAGTAGCGTTCTGAGCTCCAACTCCGACAACGAGGAGATCAAAGGGAACCTGTGTGTGAGAGGTATCACCCTTGATCTCCGATTCGTCACTGATGTGTACAACTCGGTTTTCATGGTCTATCTTGGTCGCCTTGGCCTCATAGTACTTGACGGTAGCTTTTTTATGGCGGAGAATGTTCCTGATGGGCTCCATGATCGAACGATGCTCTATCAAACCAGTGGTACATGATGGCAGAAGGGGAGTAAACAAGAAGAAATTTCGCGGTGAGATGACGACGACATTGTAGTTTTCGGTATCAAGTTTCTTCAGGAGAGATACAGAGCCCCATCCGGTTCCTGTTTTGGAGCAACTGGGTTAGATATTGGGGCTTGTGAAGTTGTAGCTCGTTAAAATAGTGTATATACATACCTAGAATGACGAGTGTTTTCTTGTCAGGGTCTGGTGGAACCTGGTCTGCTGGATTCCGGTGCTGGTATACATTGTATACCGCCCATCCAGTAGTCCCCAGTATAGACAGTAATATCAACCGCCAAGTCCATCTGAAGAACCGAAACCTCTTCCGCTTCGGTGGTGGTGGAGGAGGCTGTAGTGATGATGAGACAGTGGGAGGCACGACGGCGTCAGCGTAGCTTCTTCGAAAGCCATTTCCGACAGCCAGCTTCGTAGACCGTGCAGGGCCATTCAGCAGCGATATTCCATGATGCAATTGATGTCTCGTTGCTGGCGGCAGAGTGCAGAGCGCGCGGCGCAAAGCTGGCGATGACGAGAAGTGCCGGCCTGGCCGGGACAGCAGCAACAACCTCCCCGAAGCTCTCGTAGCCATGGTTTTTGGAGCTGCGTCAACAGAGGAGCAGCAATGCGATTACTGGGAGATGCCAGAACCAAACCAACGAAGCATCGAATCGCAAAGATCGCAAGATGAGTCAAGAGCAAATCTAAAGTCCTTTTTGATGGTTTTTTTTTTCTCAATCACGTTTTTTTCTTTTTGTTGCTTTGGCCGGTTCCGGTGGAGAGAAGAAACAACAGGTTTTAGTCAGCCAGTCACGGATATAAAGAAGACGATGAAGATGAAGGCCGAGACGAGAGGGAAGATGGAAAGGCGAAGAAGAGACAGAAAGAGGATGAAGAAGAAGGCAAGTTAGCTCGATGAGGATGTTGTGATGGCAACCTCGGCTCAGTAGTTAACCTGGACTAATCTGAACTATCTAGGGGCCGTTCTATGTCTTTGGACGGTGAACACATGAAAACGCAGAGAGGAGAGAGCTTTCATCTCGACGATACAACCATCGGTCTATCCATCGTGTTATCGCCATCGCGAGAATGGAGTTGGAGGAAGCAGGACGAGGTCGCTGACGGCTTCACTGCCAACCAGCATCCAGCCTGACTGGGAGCAAGCTAGGTATCGGTATCGACCAAGCTCGGTCCGATGCCTTGACAGGCTCGCATCGATCCAACAATTAAGAGAAGGAGAGAGGAGGAGAAGAAGAAGAGAAGACGTCAGTCCTTGGAGGCGCTTGGATGAGATCTAGAGATGTCAAGGCAGATGTTTTACTGCGACCTACAGGGTTCCAGTCTGGTCTGATGTCATTCTGCAGCCAATGGTTCCTTTTGCCCGTTCACAGAGAGCTCTGACTGAGGTTACAGCCTTGCTTTATTATCTATCCAGACAACTATACTCCAGTCCTGTACAGTATATGCTTCCTCAGACTTACTCTTATTATTCGACAGCTTCGCAAAGCGGGACGAGGGATAGATTAATAACCATCTCTTGCATGGTCCTCCCTCTCGACCAACCTTAACCGTTATGGATGTCCTACATCTACCGAGCTGCACACCCCTATCAGCTGAGTTGGATAGCGAGCTTACACGACAGCAGCCATGGCAGGCGGGAGGAGTACTCCCGTAAACGATATAGCAAATCCGCCTGGGAGCGTACGTCAAGGTCTTGCCTTGATTTCCTGTTATACCGTTCGTGATACCCAATATCCCAACTCCTAGCCAGTCCTATCGAAGATCTCATGTGCCACAACGCCCGTTCGGTCCTACATGACTCTTTTTCTTTCTCATGCCCGT